AAGGCTCCGGACCTAGTAGTAGTAGTGATGAATATACCTACTTAGTATGTAGTATGCCAATACGCATTCGAGCACGCAATTTATGGGCTTTTGGGCACCAAGAACCGCGTCGACCACCTGGGCTTATCGCTACAACGCATTGTGCTCAGCAGTTCCTAGTGGTTGGCCTTTGTTGAATGCAGTCACACAAGTGGTGATTAGTCGCATTTCCGCTCAGAACGCCAAGAAGACGTATCTACAGCTCCGCCGACTCATCGAGTACTAGTACGAGTAGAAACTGCATGCCTTTTGCTCCCAGACGGAAGGCTTTGGTCGAGGCTTGTCCATCCATCACATTCGCTATCAAGTATACTACGGCACTGCAGAAGCGTGTGTGGTACTACCTTTATCCCGTCACGGTGCTGCGTCATGCCCCTTCGTGCCTCGAGCCATGTCACCCTTCGTCGCAAGACTAGTATATGTACATTCCGGTAACATGCTGCAGGCGGCGGCAATGTCCAAATGTCGTCTTTTGGGGGCCCGAATTCCGTCACCAAGTCAAACGATGCAGTCAAAGGATGCATCAAAACGCGCGTTTTGGTTCGCGCCCTAATCCCACACTATTAGAACGGAGATATTGCAAACAAATCAGCAGCAAAACCCTCATTCAAAGCACAGGACCAATACCAGATTCGCCCAAACCGGTACAACTCCAAAAGCCAACAGATTAGTGGTTCATTTATTTTGCCCCTATTTCCTCCTCAGCCCAGCCGGAGAGACCTCCACGGCTATCGCTCGTCAATCCCAGTCCATTAAACCCACTGGTCCCGAAGCCAGTGCCAAAAACTGATCCAAACCCGCCAAAGCTGCCCTGCGGCGCATGCCCACCAAAGCCACGCGATGACGACGGGCCTGGCTGTGTAGACTGTTGGCCGCCGAAGAGCTCTTGTGAAAACGCTGGGAGCGATACAGCGCGAGAATGGGCACTCCTGCTTGCGCCTAGTCCAGTATTCGTAGGGGCTAGGAGCCCTCCAACGGTAGTGGACGCGCCATTGCTTAGAGAGCTCGAATTGAATCCCCCACTGATGCTAGCCTGCCGAGGAATATGCGAAGGAGCTGGAATTTCCAATCCGCTGTGCCCGTTCGGCATCTCGCCATACAGTGCTGCCTGTTGGTTCGCCAAAGCCTGATTCTGTTGCTGCTGTAGCTGGGCAAAGGTCAGCGTGTCGTCTCGCAAATCCTGTTCAGCTTGAGCTTGCTGTTGCGACACGTGGGACAGATACATTGTCAGGGGGTTGTTATTGCCTGCGTTCAGAATCGCTGAAGGTGTTGGCGCAGTCAGGCTGGGCTGACGCGCAGAAACCTGAGATTGTGGTCCCATTGTAGCCTTAGGGCCTGTTGGAATAGTCGACCTCGTAGGGCTCGAGCCTGACTGCGACACAGCATGGTCATATCCATTCATGCCAGCTGGGGATCCGGCGCTGTCAATGGAATTCTGGAGACGCGGTTGGTTGCCATTGGCGTTGTTCAGGTTCTGGCGTGGAGGATTGCCGCATCGATCTTTGCCGAAGTTGATCTTGAACCGCTTGTACTCTTCCCGCTGTCGGACAGCTTCAATGGCCTTGATGGCATTGGCGATGTTGGTAAAGTTGACAAAGGCGCAGCTTTTCTCCCGCAAAGTATTCACCAACTCGATTTCACCGTACTCGGAAAAGTCTTGTCGTAGCCGTTCTTCGCTCCAGCTCTCGTCGAGATTTCCGATATATACATTCCGCGAGGCTCCTCCGCTCACGGCCAGAGCAATGGCGGGGGGAAGCGCTCCCGAGTGTTTGCCCCAGCCGATCTTCAACCGCCTGTTGTGAATCATCAGCCCCTGAAGATTGCTCAGTGCATAGAAAGATGCAGCAGACGTGGGGTCGATAAAGGTGACAAAGCAGATATGCTTATCAGGGATATATCGGATGTGGTGGAGGAGCCCTCCGCGAACGACATTGCAAATCTCCTCGATGGTGGTCTCGGGGTGAATATTTCCAAGATAGACAGTTCGATTTCCGAGATTATTGACACCGCCTGCAGTAGTGGCGACAGCAGCTGCCGCAACAGACTGCTGTGCCAGGGCATTGGATATCAAATCGCGGTCGGCTCCATTGAGAACATGGGCGTAACCAGGGGCAATGCCCAGGTATTGTGCTGCGTTCTGTTGCTGTGTCTTGGAAACATAGGCACACCTATCCTTGCCGTAATAGACCCGACGGGGAGGGCCCCATTTAGGGTCCTGCGGCAGCTGGGCCACGGCCTTGACAGCATTGCTGATGGAGAGGAAATGGACGAAGCCGATCGCCTTCTCACGAACCATTTTGACCGTATCAATGGGACCAAACTTGCCCAGGTCCTCTCGGATCTCCTGTTCAGTGATGTCCTCGGGAAGGTTGCCTAGATAGACATTCCTCGATGCACCCGACTGTTGCACAGCGAGAGCTACCGAAGTAGGCACCTGGGACGGCTTTCCCCAGCCAATCTTAATGTCGTGACCCTTGATTGACAACTTTTTCAGGATGGCATCCGAATGAAAGTGCGTCGCAGAGCTGCTATCTAGGAACGAAATAAACGCACAGTTCTTTTCGGGTAGTAGCCTCACGGATTCGATCTGACCGCTTCGAACGTGACTCAGGATTTCCTCAGCAGATGTATCCGCTGGAATGTTTCCCAAGTACACTGTGCGACTTGTACCAGTTATCCATGAGTTGCCCATGCCTACCATAGGTTGGTAATGGCCGAATGCTGCACCACCTAGGCCACTGAAGCCGGTTGGGGACTGTGCGGTATAGGTTTCCGGCGAGATGACAGTTTGATACGCTTGCGGAGAGAGAGGATTGGCATTGGGCTGAGTGGGACTTGCGAGCTGCGCCTGGGCATGTTGGTTTTGTTGATACTGCTGGGTTTGCGTGTGGAGAGCATTTGTTCCAGGACCAAAGCGATTGAAGGTGGGAAACTGCGGAGAAGCGAAGGAACCAGGAGAACCCGGCTGAAAAGGGCTGCCCAGCAGGAGCTGGGAAGGCAACAAGGGTGTGAAATTCATATCAAAAGCGGTAGCTGGTGTCTGCTCTGTGACATTATAACTATGTTGTTGATCTTTCGTGGCAGTAGCAATCGAAGGAATGACAGGCTTTCTCAGGTTGCGATCAGGAAATGGATAGTTTGTGTGGTTCGAATTGTACGCGCCATGACTGAAGCCTGTATTATCAGTCCCAAATTTTGAAGAAGCAAAACGGTTGCCAAATCCCCCAAACACGTCCTGACTCTGCATTGCAGCAAGCATATGGGAATATTGATGGATCGTGTCCTCAGGACCAGGTCCAAGGACAGGTGGTGTTCGTCTTGCTTGGCTATAGGGAAGGAGAAAGGGTGAAAAGAAGCGCGAATCTGGCCGTCAAAGCACTGTTTCGAGCTTCGCAGAAAGATTGGTTGCTGGTAGTGTCTGAAGTTGCGGAGAGGACTCGGGATGTAGAGAGCCTGTACAAAAACGAAGGAGCTTGTTGAATATGGACTGGTATAAATGGATTTCTATAAGGAAAAGATCGAAAACAAGATCGGGCTCAGAGGAATGGAACGAGCGAATGAAGGGAACAAAACGATGGGATTAGAAGAGAAGATGGGTCGGAGACGAGGTAGAGAGAGAGAGAATGAAGAAAGAGAGTAGGGCTAAAATCAAGGAGAGCAACGGTGAACCAGCAGAAGAATGAGGGAAACAGCTCAGAAACGGAAGCAATCAATTGACCGGGGTCTAGAGCCTAGGAAAGTGCCAAATTGAAATGGGTGGCTAGGGAAGGGGATCAGGAATAAGGGGGAAAGTACCCGGACAAAGTGACCAGGCACGCGGGAGTGGACTCCCAACCGGACAATTTGCAAGACAAACCATGGCCAAGTGCCCAGCCCATTGCGTGCGCAGGGGACGTCAGCAGCATTCCATTACAAGCGCAAACCCCGTAGTCATGTTTTCTGACACAGGCTTGGAAGGTTAGAGAAACTCAGCGACCCTGCAAGAGGCTCTGGCAGCGCTTGTTCAGGCTGCAGGCGGGCGTGTTTTCGATAAATCTGATACAGGAGAAAACCGATTTTAAGGTTCACAACGTGTGGCTGCAAGATGATGGGACGGGGATGATCAATCTGCAAGCTGATGCAGGTAAGGCGGCACTATCGACAGTTTGGTTAGACGATAGATTGCTTTTATGGAGAAGCTGGTAGGGGCTGGGGCCCTGGTGGTGCTTGGGAAATGGCCAATTGAAGCCAGGTCTTGGGAGGAGCAATCAGGTCCGCCATTGCGGCAACAAATCCAACACGAAGAATAGGGACGGCAGCTTCTCCAAGACATGGGTAAGCTCTCCTGTCAATGTTGTCAGTCTTGCGGCGATCAATGCGGAGTGCCGTCCACCGTGTCGGGGGAGTCAGTCTGAGAGCGAAACATGGGTCATGACAGTCGAAGCTGGGACAAGTCCACTGTGCAGGGGATTGTGGCGCTGGGTTTTTGATTGCTCTTTCGCAGACCGAGATTGATTGGTCGTCGACTCTGCTCGCGCTTACCATACAGACGGAGACCGGTCCCGCGCAGTCTGGCGCGAGCCAATGATGCAGATATGAACTCTCGAGTTGATCGTCAGTGATATGTTTTACAGGCTTAACAAGTTGCTCAGAGTCGGGAGCGTAGCCGGGGTGGTTCCAGAGCTCCAGCCACAGCAACAACGATGTTTGTGTGACACAAGTGATTTGGTTGAGGCGCATTGGTGACAGAAGCGAGAGAGAAAGTGACAAAAGAGAACGACGAAATGTGAAACTGCGGTTTCCGGATCCATTTTAGCTCCTTGTTTTCCTTGCCAAGCGCGCTAACCGCCACTTCCCGCAACCTTAAATTCCACTCTATCCGATAAGCCACCCAAGGCCACCGTTGACTCACGCTGTCTTTTTATATTTTCCAGGATTTTCGACCTCATTCGTCTCTGGCCTTCTACAACAACACACAAAACATGGACACTTTCTACGTCGATGAGGACGTCGGCCGCGACGATGACTCCGCCACAGGGTCAGAAGACGCCCCCTACAAAACCCTTCTCTTTGCCATGATACAGCACCCCAAAGCAACATATAAGACTAGAAAGTCAGAGACCGCCCCGGCAGACGCCAACGCTGATCCAGCCTCGCGGCTAGAGTGGAAACCAGCATCAAAATCCGCTCTGAAGAAGGTCACCAACCTTTACGAACAGCATCAACGGAAGCAGGCGAAGGCAGCTGATTTGGCCATTCGGGAACAGCAAGAAGCCGAGAAGCGAAAGCAAGTGCTTGAGGAAGCTAAGAAAGTGGTCATCAAAGAAGATGAAAGCTTGCCCGCGCCTGTCAAGATCAAGCTCAATACTGTTGATCCTGCCAAGGTCAAGCTGGGCACTGCAGACTCCAAGGGCACCCGGGTCCGAGTCGTGGGTCGAGTTCACCATTTGCGGTCTCAGAAGGATATCATTTTCGTCACACTGAAAGATGGCAAAGGCCTGATGCAATGCCTTTTCTCGGGCAATTTGATCAAAACTTATGCAGCCATGACTCTGACTCTCGAGACCTCACTCGAATTCCGAGGTGAGCTCAAATCTCTGCCACCCGGGGCGCACGCTCCCCTCGATCGCGAGCTCCATGCCGATTATTTCACCGTGATCGGAGCGGCTGTCGGTGATAAGGAGGCCATCACCAACAAAGTGCAGGAAGATGGTGATGCCCAGAAGCTGCTCGATAACCGCCATCTCACCCTGCGTGGAGACGTCTCGTCAAGCGTCATGAAAGTTCGAGCAGCGGTCGAGATGGCCTTCGTCAAAGCGTATGACGAAGTGCAATTCACGAAAGTGTCCCCTCCGGCAATGGTCCAGACGCAGGTCGAAGGCGGTGCAACTCTCTTCGAGTTTAACTACTATGGTGAAAAAGCTTACCTTACCCAATCCTCCCAACTGTACCTGGAGACCTGCCTTCCTGGACTGGGTGACGTATACTGCATTGAAAAGTCCTTCCGAGCCGAAAAGTCCCTTACCCGCCGCCATCTAAGTGAGTACACACACGTGGAGGCTGAACTCGACTTCATCACCTTCGACGACCTGCTCAACCACATTGAGCACATGGTGTGCAGGGTCATTGAAATCACCCTATCGGATCCCGTCATCGCCAAATACATCTACGAGCTCAACCCGGACTTCAAACCCCCATCCCGCCCCTTCAAGCGCATGAAGTACTCCGACGCCATTGCCTGGTTGGTTGAACACGAGATTCCCACTGACGAAGGCGAACCGCACAAATTTGGCGACGACATCGCCGAGGCCGCCGAAAGGAGAATGACCGACATCCTCAACGTGCCCATTTTTCTGACTCACTTCCCCACCGAGATCAAAGCCTTCTACATGCAAAAGGACCCCTCGGACCCTCGCGTGACTGAGAGTGTCGATGTCCTCATGCCCGGCGTCGGCGAAATCGTGGGCGGGAGCATGAGGATCTGGGACTACGAGGAGTTGATCGCCGCTTACAAGCGCGAGGGAATCGATCCAGAGCCCTACTACTGGTACACGGATCAGAGACGCTACGGCACAAGCCCCCACGGCGGGTACGGCCTGGGTTTGGAGCGATTTTTGGCCTGGATGTGTGGCCGTTGGACCGTCAGGGAGTGTTGTCTGTACCCGAGATTTGCCTATCGGTGCAAGCCATAGTCGTTTTCAACGATCAATAGAAGTGGATTCTGGGATGATAACGACGTACCTATGATTCAGAGAGGTCAGAGTTGGTGTGGAAGATGTGGGAAATTGCGGCCGGGTCCGGGATACGTGGCTATGATGGATGATAGAACGACTGCCCTCGGACAGTTTGCCAGAGATAGATAGACCAAAGCACACGAGCATTAGCATTTTCTTGCTGACATTTATTCAACATTTTCCATGACTCGAGAAAATGCCCAATTTTCGAGCCTAGCTAATAGCCCCCCATGAGCTCTTGATTGTCTCATTAGTCCTACAGGTATTTCTTGGGCATCGTGCTCTTCCGCCATTTATACCATACAAACACACCAATGCAACATGTCTGGAACGCCATAAAACTATACAGGATGAATCCGATCCTGGGCGTGTGCGCAATGACATATTCCCTCAACCTCTGTGGCACGTGTTCCGTCACGCCCACATGGGTCTGCGCGATTTGCTCGCTCAATTTCGCAAACTGCGTGCGGTGGTCGCCGCTCTTCAACTCCTTCTCCAGAGAGGAGACGACCCGGTCGAGGTTGGCCATCCGGTTATCAAGACTAAGAATAGATTGTGCATTGGGCATGCGGGCCAGGATCTCGGCGTGTCGGGACTCCAACGAGGAAGAGACGCGTTGCACTTCGGCGAAGAGGTTCTGGATGGATTTCGAGATGAGGTTGAGGCGGTTATGGAGGTCCGCAAATTGGGTTTCGGTCGTGGTGTAATAGGAGGCCGGGTGATCGTCCATTTGCATCATCCCTTGGCCTTGATTTTGATTTTGCGAAAATGCTTGTTGGTTCGTTCCTTGCTGGGGCGTTGGCACGGTGATGGGCGATAGAGTAAACGCAAACACTTCGAAGGAGTCGGGAGGATCTCCTGACGCTGCTGTCATCCCAAAGCCATAATCCGATGGTAGTGAGACTTTCGCCGTTGTGAAGCACATTTTATCATCCATACGAACTTCGAGACCTCCGGCCCGAGTATGTCTCACATTGATGTGAGATGGTCGTCCGAGATTGCGGTAGACGTAGTCGCAGTGCCCAAATGCTAGGCTGTCCACGTTTGGGTGGTTTCTGTAATCGACAGTCCCATCATTGAGAAATCCTCGAATCTTCTGTATTCCTCCTACTGTATCAACGACTATCGCAAGTCCTTCCCAGTTGCCCGCGGTGTATATGCTGGACGTGCTCACTGTCTTGTCCCCATTGGCCACGTACCACAGCTGCAAATTCCCACTGCCTCTATCCGCAGCACTTGCTCTAAATTTGAAGTCCACAGTCCAATCTTGTAATGAGTTCTTCTGCTCAGTCCATAATGCTCCCCGCTTGTGGCCGCCATATGGAGGTGTAAGGATGACTTTGTCCGACAGCAGTTGAGGCAGATGTCCCTCGCCGAGCATGGACCAACCAGGAATGGCAAAGGAATTTGGCGAGATGGTTTGTTTATGTCCAAAGGACATTTCGTCGATGAAATTTTGAGCAAGTGACGCCGTGACCCAGAGAAGGGAGAACAACGAGGAGGAAAGACTGATCTTCATGGTGGATGTTATACAACTCTGGCAAAGGTCAGTTTGGCGGACGCAATCGAGAGCGACAGAGGGTCGCGCGCACAAGCTTTTGTGGACGACAATGCTGCCCACCTCAAGAGGAAGGCCTTTTAGTGTTTGACATCCACGACTTAAATATTGATACAGTAGCGAAGGTGATGCAAACGGCAATAACGCAGTAGCGGACTTCGCGCGCAATGTCAAGAGTGACTGGAGATGGCTCAACAAGATGTCGCACGTTTAAATTCTGAAACACAACATGATGCTTGAATCCCTCAAATGCGTCCATGAAAGTGAGATAGTAAAGAAAATTGAAAGAATCCGCTTGTGGCTCAAGCAGGAGGTGTCATGTCATGGCCACCATGGCATCTGGCAGCATCATCCTGGAAGCACCCTTGGAACGGGTTCGCGACTACATCTCAAACTCTCTCTGATGCTCCGTATAATGAGGTACAATTTGTGCGGTGGAGTATAAGTTCAATTCATGAAGCCCCATTAGCTTTCCTAACACCTCCCTTGGTGTGTACGAGTCCTCATCTTGCAGTTCCAGCTCAAGCCAGACGCTTCTCTCAATGGCGTCTGCCGTTTCGACAACCTTGAACCAACTTCGTGACAATACTCCTATTATCCCTGTAAGCACCCAATCCGAGTGCAAAGCAGCAATATCACGCCACTAATACTTCTCCAAGGAGCCGACGGCAAAGGCCAGAAAGCCAGGGCATGATCAATGGCCTTCCTTACTGCAGACAGCCATTGTAGCTGGTGCTTTGAAGATTTTACTATTCCCGGCCTATCGGTCAACAGACTTTGAAGTTCATCGAAATTGGCTGGCCATCACTCATTCATTGCCTGTGAGAAAATGGTACTACGAGGTTAGCAGCGGTCAATATCAGCTATCAAGGCTTACGCTTTCTCTAACTCTCGGGGTCAGGCTACATCAGAGTGGACATTGGACTATCCCCCGGCATTTGCGCTGTTTGAATGGCTTCTGTCCCAGCCTGCTGCCCTGATCGACGCCGGGATGGTCCAAGTTCAAAACCTTAATTATGATTCCTGGGCCACCATATACTTCCAGCGAAGCTCCGTCATCATCACAGAACTGCTGCTCGTCTACGCTTTGCACAAGTATGTTTGAAGTCTCAAACATGAGTGAGCACTACTGATCCGAAAAGGTATATGGAGTCCTCACCTGCCGCAACACGCCGTCAAAGTCATGCTGTGGCCCTTTCGATCCTGCTCTCTCCGGGGTTCTTGATCATCGACCACATCCACTTCCAATACAATGGCTTTCTCTACGGTATCTTAATTCTGTCCGTCGTCTTTGCAAGGAAAGAGTCGACGTTGCTTTTGAGCGGGGTCCTGTTCGCCTTGCTTTTATGCTTCAAGCACATTTACCTTTACCTGGCGCCCGCCTATTTTGTCTACCTCCTCCGGAGCTATTGTTTGAACCCGAAGAACATGTTCCAGCCCCAGTTTGCAAACACCCTCAAACTCGGGACAAGCATTATTGGCATTTTTGGAGCAGCATTCGGGCCATTCGCGGCCTGGGGTCAGCTCGACCAACTTAGGGGCCGGCTGTTTCCATTTGCGCGAGGACTTTGTCACGCGTATTGGGCACCCAACGCCTGGGCAATTTACTCGTTCGTGGATCGGGTGCTGATACTTGGTGCGCCTTACCTTGGCCTAAGGGTTGACCAAAATGCTGTGAACAGTGTTACCCGGGGCTTAGTCGGAGACACTTCCTTCGCCGTCTTACCAGACATCACGGCTCGACAGTGTTTCGGACTTACATTGGCCTTCCAGACCATCGCGTTGACCAAATTGTGGTTTGCGCCCAGCTGGGATACCTTCGTCGGAGCTCTCACCCTCTGTGGGTACGCGTCCTTCTTATTTGGCTGGCACGTCCATGAGAAGGCGATTCTACTGGTCATCATTCCTTTCAGTCTGCTGGCCATCAAAGACCGATCATACCTCGCGAGCTTCCGGCCTTTGGCAGTAGCGGGGCATGTGTCTCTATTTCCGCTTCTCTTCACCGCAGCGGAGTTCCCGGTTAAGGTGGCATATACAATAGCTTGGCTGATGATTTTCCTCTACGCCTTTGGCCAGTTAGCACCAGCTCCCACGCGGAGACGAGTTTTCTTGTTGGACCGGTTTGCCCTGCTTTATATTGCTGTATCGGTCCCCTTGATGGCATACTGTTCATTGCTGCATCGAGTGGTTTTTGGGGAGAGATATGAATTCATGCCCTTGATGTTCATTAGCACATACTCGGCAATTGGAGTGCTAGGCTCGTGGCTTGGGTTCATGGTCTGCTATTTGTCTTGAAGGAAATGTTGTGCGGGTTCCCACAGAGAAGCTCCGGCAGGGAGGCTGGCATGTATGTACGTACAACAACAACTCCACCAGCGGTTTCGAATCAGCAGATAAGACTCTCGCGATACGCGTAAGGTGCAGGCCCAGGAGGCACTCGAGAGGGCTGGCCTTCTTGATCTCTGTGGTTGTTTGCTATCGGACTGTTTCAGTGCTCCCTTGAGATCGCGGAGGGAGTGTTCCGGGCATCATAGCCATTGCCAATGGCAGAAGTTCCAGGCATGGGTTGCGGCTAGGTGGCCCACAAGGCTGATAATGGGCCATAAAAGGTTGAATCTGTGTCGCCGAAGATCAGGAATGGTTTCACTGAACTCGCATCGACAGCCGGAGTCGAACAAGTACAATTATGGCCATGATAGGAGCCGAGTGAGATGGTTGATGAGTGGCCATGGCTAGTCGAGGAGTCAAGTGGACGGTGATTGGCTGAGACGAGGAGGCCGCTCGGCGCTCATTCCGTCGATCCCTGGTCGCTGGTGTCGCCAATCCACGCAAAAGACTAAAAAGGTGGTGGCATGCCGCTGCTTGTGCTGCCTACTTGGGCATTCGGGGCCCTTAACCACGCTTAACCATTCCCTCCTAGGCACATTAACAGCCATTCTGCGGGTATTAACCACCTATGGCTGCCCAAGCCTGCTATTCAAGGGCTACCAGGCTCGGCTTGGAGGCGTGAGGCTCCACCATCCGCATAGCAAGCCACGCATCCCACCCGCCATCCAGGGCATCGTGTGCATCCACTGCAGAACTGCCACTTGCCCCAATTCCACCCAATCCACCACTCAGCACTCACTCTGCTCTCTGCGCACACTAGTCCATCCGCCTTCCTGGGCATTTCGCATTGTCTTTTCCCTCCTCCACTTCTCCTCGCCATGTTGAACTCTTTGTTCTTGACTCTTCTTTGCCTGCACTCACCACCAAACAACTCTGCTTGCATACTCCCATCACCACACCTCTCAGTGCCCGTTGTATTCGGGTGTTCTCCCTCCATGAACGCGTTTGTCTCGCCGAATGTACGTATATTCCCCTTCGCAAGAGGTCCTCCGACCGCGGACCGCGCCCGACACGACACCAGGCCCTCAAAACTTCCAAGAAGCTCACCAACTCTGCTCTTCTAGGTCGCGATCGCACTGAAATAACCTCCCAGTGGCCCTCTCCTTCCCCCTCTACCTCCCCGCCGGCCACATTGCGCTAGTTCGATCCGCCCTCCGCCTGCCAGGATGGTGTTATTCAAGAGGAAACCTGTTCGCTACCTACCGCACCCCCACATCGACGACCAGGAATCGGATGTATGGGTCATTGCCGAGGCCAACGAAGTATTTACCTCCTATGATGCATATCTCGAGCGCATGGACTTTTTCAAGTCCAAGAAGTTCACCTGCGAAGTATCAGGACGCTCCGGTCTGACATTCTTCGACGCGCTGAGGAGCGAGCTGGCCGGGTCGCGGGAGATTGACGAGGCGTTTCCACAAGCACTGCGAGAACCTGTCCTGCGCCGAGTGCAATTCTCTACCACGTCTCGCATTGACAATTTGGTCGAGGAGGTCTACAATGATTTCAAGAATGACTTCTATCCTGGCGAACTGGTCACCGTGATATTGGACGACGCATCCCGGTTGAATGGGCGAGTGCGGGACAAGGCCAAGTTTGCAGAAGTGAGGGCGGCAGACGGTTCCGTGGCCAGAGAGGCGTTCTCCCGTTACTTTGTCCGGCTCATTGATCGCCCAGACGAGGAGGCCCTGGTCGACGATAACCATATCGTTCGAGACCGCAAGGTCTTTACGAAACAGATGCTCCGCTCCTTCATCAAGAATACCGTGACCAGAGAAGGCTGGAATGGTGCCCCATGGATCGTCAAGCCCGAAATTGCGGAGCGCTTTCGCATTGACACCAACGTCCCTCCTCACCTTCAGTATGGCCATAAGATTGCCGCAAAGAAGGCGGAAAAGAAGCAGAACACCGAGCAAGGAGAGGGTATGTTTGGAATCTGGCAACCTCATAAGCTACCCGAGCTGAAGCCTGCCCCTAAAGGACGCAAGAACCAACAGACATCTCAACACCAAATCCAGCAGATCGAAGTGCTGATTCCCCCACCCTATCACGAGAACTATCCACCCCAGCCTATGCACGACCCAGGCCTGTTACCACGATCTTGGGATCATATGCACCCACCCCCACCTCCTCCGACTTTCGACCCTTATTATCATGGATATCCTCAATATATGCCGCCAAACGGCCACTATTACCCTCCGCCACCACCAGCGCAGCAATTGCCCCCGAAACAGATCATTCAACCTCCTCCGCCACCCCCGCCAATCAAGTACCCGATTGATGATCTTGACGTTGAGCCCGTTCGCGACGGTACGCATCGGCCGACGCTGAAGTTCGTCACCAAGGAACAATGTACTGATCGGAAGTCAACGACTCACGTGATTCCTGGCCTGAAGTCTGAAAATGTCGGCCTCCTGCTCGAGACCTGGAATACTCTCAATGTGTATTGCCAAGTTCTCAAACTAGACTCGTTCACCTTCGATGACTTTGTGGAAGCCATGATGTTCACGTCACATGAAGTTGACTGCGAGCTGTTTGTCGAGACGCATTGTGCGGTCCTCAAGCAGCTGGTTTTTTCCGAGAGTGACGATGGCGGAGCTATTCAAATTTCACTACCAGACCTTCCCGACCCAGATGAGGATGAAGAGGACGAAGAGGAAGAGGAAAGTAAGCCGCCAACACCAACTCCTGAGCCCGAATACCCCGCGAAACGAACACGCAGTAGTCTCCATAAAGTTCAATTTGCAGAGCCAGAGCCCGAGCCCGAGCCCGAAGAGCCTGACGCTGTGGTTCCTCATCGAGCAGCCGAAATGTTCAAAGAGTATGGCTGGATTGAGAGACTTCGAAAGCGTGACCTCAGACACGGTGGCTGGGAATTAGTCATGGTCGGGCTGCTGCACCAGCTTTCCGGCAGACCTCGACTCACGGATGTATGTAACAGGATTCTGTCTCATCTTGCTCCTTTAGATGCAGAACCGACGATGGAAACGGCTAGAATTCAGTACTCGAACATGGACATCAACTTGCGCGCCGAGGCTCTGCAAATCATATGCCAACTGTTTCTCGAAACCAAGACTGTGAAGAATTTCCTGGAGGAGATGAGCAATACCATGACCCATTACCGCAAAATCAAGATTGAGCATCAACGAGCTCGGAAAGATGCCCTGGCTAAGCTTAAGGAGCTTCAAATCGAACGAAAACTATTGGCGCCGGAACCCGAGAAATCTGTCACTCCGATGCCGGAGCTTGAAGAGGCTATCGAGGCGGAAAAAGGGGAAGATGGTGATATCTCGATTCCTGATACAGAAGACGAAGAACCCGTCATGAGGCGATCTTTGCGACGGGGCAGTGACCGAGCCGCGGAGCGTAAACGGAAACGTGAAGAAGAGCAAGAGCGCAAGGAGAAGGCGGCAGAGGCAAAACAGAACAAGGGAAGTAAAGAGTACCAGAAAGTTCTCAAGCAGATCGAAAAGGAGCGCGATCGCATTGAGCAAGCCGAGGAGCAGATCCTCATCGTCGATGGGGACTTGCGTGAGGCCGACTGTCCTCGGACACGGGTTCTCGGGAAAGATCGCTTCTGCAACCGATATTGGTGGTTCGAGAGGAATGCAATGCCGCACGGAGGCCTACCTGACAGTTCGACGGCGGATGCAGAATATGCCAATGGTCGGATCTGGGTGCAAGGACCTGACGATATGGAGCGCGAGGGCTTCATTGATATTAGTGAGCCTGACAAGCAGGCTTACTATCGACGATTCCAAATGACACCAGCCGAGCGGAAGAAAATGGAAGAAGGTTCCACAAACCTGGACTCGGCAAAGGAATGGGCTTTCTACGACACCGCGGAAGAACTTGATATGCTTATTGGATGGCTCGACTCCCGGGGATTTCGAGAACTCAAGCTCAAAAAGGAACTCAATTTGCAACGTGATGCCATCATCCAACATATGGAGAAGCGAGCTGCGTATCTCACACAACGAGAGAAGTCTGAAGAGCCGTCAACGAGGATGTCCACGAGGATAAAGACGCACCCCAGCGACAAGACACATCGATGTTTGAAATGGAAGAACTCTACCGCCCTGGCGGAATTGGGCCATCGCCATATCGACCCCGTGCCCAAACCAAGAGGGAGGGGCAGAAAGAACACTGCTTATGAGGAACCAGCAACGAGGTCAAGCGCAAAAACACCACCAGCTCCTTTGAACCGTCAGGGTAAGCCGGTAACAAGGCAGGGGATACGGTACAACTTTTGAAAGCTTTTGCTCTATGTCTGCGACAACGTGCATCACAAAGGAAAAATCATGGTGTTGCGGTGATCAGACGTGACTGGGGAAAGGGCATTATATGGACTCTGATTCTTTACTTGATGAGGGCTATTTTTGACAGCATCTATGTTTGTGGGTGGTTTTGTGTCTCTTCGAATTATGCGAGGCGTACGTCACTTGAGCTCGCAGGAGCTGGGTTCAACCGAATTGGGCGGTTTCGCGTTCCTGAGTCTCAGCCGTATGCGAGAAACGATGAGAAATGAGTGCATGAAAACAGGCGCTGGGCAGATCTTTCTATTTATCAGCCAACACTGGACAGAAGAGAAAAGGGTCATCGTGTCGGAAAAAGCTAAGAGCTATAGAGAGGAGTTTGCGACTATGTATCGATCGACGTTGCATTCAATAGATTTGCAGATAGAACTGCGCTGTGATAACAGGAAGCCAGTAATACTTGAGCTGGAGCTGGAGCTGTCGGTGTTTTTTGCGCTTGGGGAAACGATATGGATGACTCTGGGGCCAGGAGAACGCTAGCCCATAGCAATGGAGAGGAAAAACCACATTTGAGACTAATGATTGTTCATTCGTCTCTGCTCATCCTTGGAAGGGAGACCAGGACGGTATTATTCAACGTGCGAATTCGACCTGGGTCGTCTTCGAGCATAGTGCCAATGATTACATCCAGCCGTCCATGACTTGTCTCCATTATTGGTGCGAGACGAGGCCATTGTCGTATCTTTGCTTTGCTCCCCGTTTTTCCAGACACCCCCTTTTTCTTTTTCTTTCTACAACTCATCTCTCAAAACCTCCTGGACCTTTGCGACGATGCCTGCTGCTCCTTTCTTCGGGGCGATTTTCCTGCCGGGCTTTTCGATGACGACCTCCTCGCCCCGGTCCTTGAGCCCGCGCTTGACCATGCTGGTTAGGATCTCGTACGCGACCTGCGCGCCGGCCAGGGCCGTGGCCTCCCCGTGGCCGGCCTCGTACGCGGGACTCACCTCGACCACGTCGGCGCCCACGAGGTTCAGGCCTTCGACGCCGCGGAGGATCTGGATCAGTTCGCGCGTCGTCCAGCCCCCCGGTTCTGGGGTGCCGGTGCCGGGCGCCAGGCCCGGGTCGATCACGTCAATGTCCACGGATAGGTAGACGGGCATGGAGGTGCCCATGCGCTCCATGATCAGGTCGATGATGCCGCGGACGCCGACGCTGTCGATGTCGTCGGATTCGATGCGCAGAAATCCCTGGCGTTCGTCGTCGGCGTAGTCGTGGAAGTCGTCGCCGAGAAGGCGCGTCCTCAGCCCCGCGTGCACGGATGACCCGTTGTTGATGAGTCCTTCCTGAGATGCGATCCAGAACATGGTCCCGTGCGTGAAGTCGGCCTGCGTGGGTGTCGACGCCCACGCGCTCGGGTACGCCCCCGGGTGCCAGGTGTCCAGGTGCGCGTCGAAGTGGAGCACGGCGATCGGCTGCTTGTAGATCTTCTCCAGCGCCCTGAGTGCGGGCAGCGCGACGGAGTGGTCTCCCCCCAGCGTGATCAGCTTGGGATGCTCGTGGCTTTCCGGGTTCTTGTAACTCAGCGGTCGGCGGGAGAGGAGCTCGATGTATGCGGACGACATCTGATGTAGTGCCAAAGCGTTGTCGAACGGCGTGATGGGGATGTCCCCACAGTCGAGCACCAACGGCCAGGACGTGTATGGGTTGATGTGCGCTCGGTGGTTGAAGCCTCGGAAGGAGGTCTGGCGAGCAGAGGCGGCACGGATGGCACGAGGACCGAAGCGAGCTCCTGAACAAGAAATGAGAAAGACTGCGCAATACTGTACGAACGGGAAACACGTCTTTTCTGTTTTCGGTCGAAGAAGACGTTCCTCGTTGGGGAAGAACTGGGGCTTACCAGGTCGATAACTGACAGCCGTGTCATAGGGGGCGCCAATGATGCCGATATCAAACGGCTCGTATGGGGCGGTCAGACATTTTACATGCCTGAGGTGGGCGAATGTTGATATCCCTGAGAACCCCCACTACAAGAGGTCAATCCACCTGGCACAGACTCAATATTTTTGTTTCCCCTTCCCTTCAGAGACGGGAGTCGTGGCTGCCACCCGGAGCCTGGACTGTAGGAGACGGGTTCTGAAGGGCAGCTTACATCAAAGTCCCATTTCGCTTTCAATTCATCAAGCGGACTACCACCCTCAGGCGGAATCTCGAGGTCCGGATTGTCGTAGAAGGAGGAATGTGCGAGGGGAAGAAGGGGGAGTAATATGCACAAGGATAACGACGGCGGGAACATCGTTGAGTACTGGCACGGGACGAGTGAGGACAGACAGATATCTCCCACCACACGATATGTATACGATACCCAAAATCGAGAAAAAGAAAACTTACTGCTGAAGGAGAGACATTTCTCTATATCTATTATCTAACAGGATACCATGACCCGCCCCATCAGCCCTCGATTTACTTGATTGATTAGGGCGTCGAATGGGACTCGGCGCCGGGAAAAATCAAAAAGGGAGCAAAACGGAGTGAATCTGACGCCGCTTTGAGCGGGAATCTCCGGCATCACTCCCGCGTGCTGTGATTGGTCGGGGCCGACCTCCTGTATTGCTTTCCTCGCTCAGGCCGGGAGACGAAGACACAGAGAGCCACAGGATGAGAGGCAGAGAATAATGACCAGGAGATGCGGAGAGTTGTCGTGACCGGGCTGGGAGCTGTAACGCCCCTGGGTGTTGGTATGTTTTGATGATTTTCATTACCAGTTTCCGGTAACACGGGGTTCGATGAATTATTGATGATCTGTGTCTGTTGCCAGGAGTCAAAAGAACATGGTCCCGGATTCTACAGGGCCACTGCGGCATCGTCTCAACATGCCATCTCGGAGACGAGTTCAAGGCCCTTCCAAGTCAAGTCGCTGGTCTGGTCCCCGTTCCCTCATCTGATTCAGAAGTGGAAGAAGGGGTTTGGAGAGCTAAGGACCATGTCTCGTCCACGGTACGTTGCTGCCTCCCCTGTATATCACCTTCCGCCAAAAAAGTAAAACGCCGGTCAAATGGACTCTGATTGAGCGATACTGAGACTAAATACTGGGCTAGGAGCTTCGCCAAACTGCAAAATTTGCACAGTACGCTCTTGCATCGTCAGCCGAAGCATTGCAAGATGCCGGCTTTGGAGACGGCAAGGGTCTCGATCCGGAGATGACGGTATGTGACGGCAACACCCAGCAACATCCCACATCGCTCTGCATATGGTACAAAACAAACCATTGTCTTCGTGCATACTGCCTGGAAACCTCATGACTGAACACATCTGCAGGGCGTCTGTCTCGGCTCCGGAATCGGCAACCTGGAAGACCTCTACACCACCTCATTGGCATATCACCAGGACAGGAACTACCGCAAGATCCATCCGCTTTTTGTGCCCCGACTGTTGATCAATCTTGGAGCCGGACACATCTCCATGCGCTACGGCCTCAGAGGCCCCAATCACGCCGTCACCACTGCATGCACCACCGGTGTCCATAGCCTCGGGGACGCTTCACGCTTCATCAAATCCGGCGAAGCAAACGTGATGATCGCCGGGGGTGCGGAATCATGCATCCATCCCCTTGCGATAGGCGGGTTTGCGCGGTCGAGGAGCTTGGTGACCAAGTTCAACGAAGAGCCAGGGAAGAGTTCACGGCCATTTGATGCAGACAGGGCAGGATTTGTGATCAGTGAGGGCGCAGCTTGCGTCGTCCTCGAGGTAAGCCGAATTGATTCTCTCCTTCCGCGGAACGCTGAGCTACCAGACACATTCTGACGTGGTGAGTAAAAGGAGATGGAGCACGCCAAATCCCGCGGCGCCACAATCTACGCCGAACTCGTCGGCTACGGCAACTCAGCAGACGCTCACCATCTCACAGCCCCGCTTGAAGATGGCGCCGGAGCTCTCCTGGCCATGCAGAGGGCCCTCAAACAAGCCCAAATCCCGCCTTCGAAAGTGGACTATATCAATGCTCACGCGACGTCCACGCCTTTGGGGGATCAGGCTGAGAACCAAGCAATCAAGACACTTATGCTGGGGGAACAGGGCAGGGAATCTGCCAAAGACATCAATGTGAGCAGCACCAAGGGCGCAATTGGGCACCTCCTGGGCGCTGCAGGAGCAATTGAGGCTGTGTTCACTGTCCTGGCCCTGTACGAGGTACGTATTTTCAGTCACACACCTCCAAGTTCGGTGCACCCATAAGATAATGGCATTAATGATATGGATGGCCAGGATACCTTGCCACCAACCATCAACCTCGTCTCCCAGGCCGACGAGTTCGACTGCAACTATGTTGCCAACACGGCGCAACAGGCAGAAGTCAACGTTGCCTTGACCAACAGCTTTGGGTTTGGTGGGACAAATGCCAGTCTCTGCTTTCAAAAATGCAAGTGACGCCTTTATCGATATTGATGGACTTTTAACAGCTCGCCGCAACCACAATTTCCGTCCGAAAACTTTCGTTCCTCGGAAGGTTGTCCTGTATACTAAAAACGAACTCTCTACGCCACATCAATCGAGGTCTTTCGGAGAGGCGCTTTCAACCCAGGTTGGGCCATCCCAATACCTGTCGTTACGGGTGACGCCGATATTGCCGTGGTAAAAGTTTCATGGATGGCGGATTGGGGAACAGCGCTTCTGGCACTCTCGGGAGGCACACTGAACAAGCCGCCAGATCGGTTACCGCTCATGGCGTTTGATAGCATTTCCTTCATCCGGACGAGCTGGTATTTCCGCCGTGTTGGGAATAATGGTCTGCTGACGAGCGGCTGGGGTCGAGTAAGACTTCTGGCGATGGCTGTCATCACCGAGTCTCGCTCTTCATCGGAATCGACGGGACCAGTCAAACTGGGGTCGAGGTCTTCTTCGAGGAGAGCGGGGGCATTTGCATCCAGCGCGGCCTTCTGCTGGCGTGCCTGATTCTTTTTCTGGTATGCAGCAAGCAACATGTCGTAGGGTAGACTCCTCCCGGGGACAGCCCGCTTTGCTCCCATAGAGTGGCTCTTGCATGTTAGACTCCGTGCGCACTGTCCACCGTTTGGCAGAAGAACACCGCATTGCTTCTCGACGTCGACTGGACCCTTGGGTTTCACCACTTTCGGTTTCGGTTCCTCCTTTCTCTTCTTCTTTTTGGGCTCTTTGTCATCGTCGGCGTCGGCCTTTCGTTTCTTGGTCTTTTTGGAGCCGTCATCCTCGCCGTTGGCGGCGTCTTTTCTGGCAGGCGCTTTCACATCATCGTCGTCGTCATCGTCATCCTCTGCTTTCTCTGCCCGTTCCTTCGCGCGCGCTGCAGCCTCGCGTGCCTCCTTTTTCTTGCGCGCTTTGTCCTGTTTCGATTTCAAACACAAGGAGATGTGCCCTTTGGCAGTGCGCTTCAGAACCATCTTCTTACAATGCTTGCAGATGACGGTATCGAGGCTTTCGAGGTGGCCGTTGGGGAAATTTGCCATGGTCTCGTCATCGAATCTGGGTACTTCTGGCGAGGGCGCCTCTGCAGCATTCTTAACGCCTATGCAAGTCAGCGTATGAGGGCGAAACCTGATGATCTAACCGACCATTTACTTGGGCTTTGGCCTGGAGAGGCAACTTCTTTAATTTGACTTTGGGCGCCTTCTTGCTGGCTTTACCAAACTTGTAGCCGGAGGCGCTGATGAGGCTGTCTGTGTTGGATGCAACAGATGAGGCTATGAACGGGTGTCAGTCCTATCGTCACTGCGCAGGAGTTTCGACAAGTACGAACCTCGGGCCTCATTTGCCGCCATTTCGGAGACTTTATTCGACGAATACTGTAGTACGGACTATCAGTGAGGGGATCGATTCGGACTGCTCGAGTACAGATGATGGCAGCGGCCGATACTTGTCGAGTCTCGCTGTGTCGTTATCTGGTGTCACCACTTTGCGGAGAGTCACTGCACGATGGACATGGACGATGGGGGAAACTGCGCACCCACTGCGGGTGGTGCATGAAGACTAAACTGATTCGGGTTAGACAGGTCTGAGGACCTTACCTAAGCTATGGTTATATATTAAAGGCGCTGTTCGGGGCATGGAAGCCACGACCCACCTAGCCTGCGCCTATACACTATCTATCTACACTGTCAGACACCACCACCTTTACCACCTGCACCTACCACATCGCCTATACCGCATCATACAGGATACCAGTTACTGTCACACCTATCACAGCACAGGGTTGCGTATTAACAATTGCGCCCACCTGGCAGACACTCTGCAATAGTACGGCTGACCATCTGCGCTCAAGACGACGACCAAAGAATGAGACCCCCTTCAACAGCCACAGTTGGGCTTGAATAGACGACTCGACCGATCAAGTCTTGAGGAGAAGCCGCATCACCCCTCCGATCGATCCCTTACTCTTCCTCTTCCTCTCCTATCTGCCTATATACCTCCCAACCATGGATTTCGGCGGCGCCGAACCCCAACACCCTGAGCTCAACTCTCTCATGCAGCGTATCGGCGGGCAGTGGGCGGGCCCTGCGCTCCAAAGATCCTTCCAGCACGAAGTCGCCGAACTCCTTGGTCGAGGGAGAAATACATCGTTCCCTGGAGCCCAGCCTGTCTCCTTCTCCGCAGAACATATCCAAGAACTCAAGAGCCAGGACTACTACGTCTGCGAAAAGACCGACGGCCTACGCTACCTCCTGTATCTCACTCAAGACGGTGATAGGGGCATACACTACTTCATCGATCGAAAGAATGACTACTGGTATGTGCCAAATCTGCATTTTCCGCATCACGACGACAAGACCTTCCGGCGGTTTCACACCAACACAATATTGGATGGGGAACTGGTGGAAGACAAATACCCAGATCGAGAGCCCGTCATCAAATTCCTAGTGTTCGACTGCCTGGTCCTCGACTCAGTGGTCTTCATGCAGCGGCCCCTCGACAAACGCCTCGCCTACTTCCAGACCCACGTCCTGCAGCCCTACAATGCCATGTTCAAGCAACATCCGGACTACACGAGGCCGTTTGTGCTCCAGGACAAGCAAAATGAGTTCAGTTACGCTTTGGAAAAGATGTTCAAGGAAGTCATACCAAAGGTGAAGCAGATGCATGGAAACGACGGCTTGATTTTCACTTGCAGGGATGCACCTTACAAGATGGGCACAGATCCGCATATTCTTAAATGGAAACCACCCTCTGAAAACACGGTCGATTTCCTCCTCCACATTGACTGGGCGAGAATGGAGCCGGACCCGGATGATCCTGATCAATCGCTACAGCCGGACTTCTACTCCTTCCCCGAGAAATTCTCTCTCTTCATCCACGTCGGAAATAACGAGTACTCGTACATCGACGACATGTACGTTGAGCCGCAGGAGTGGGAAGAGTGGAAAACCCTGGACCACCCTTTGCAAGACATCATCGTCGAATGCTACCAGGACGAGCTGCAACGGTGGCGCTTCCACCGATTTCGACACGACAAGGAGAACGCCAATCACATCAAGGTGTTCAAGAGCGTCATCAGATCGATCCAGAGCCACGTGACGGAGCAGGATCTGTTGAATCACGCCCCCGAAATTAGAACAGCATGGAAACTTCGGGGTGAGGAGGAAAAGCGCCGACAGGAGGAAGAAAAGCGGAGGAGAATGGCGGCGGTCAAGCAGGAGGGCTAATTGGGGCATTCTGCTCGGTGTTATCCAAGACTAAGCGTTGGAATTACACATGATGTTTGGCGCAGAGAGGAGACCTGGACTATCAAGTTTATCCTTTTTCCGAGTATACGATACCCCCGGTAGTTTGGTTGGATTCAGGGAGAACTTTTATGGGATGGAACAGCTACAAACACCCGTTATGGACGTACCAAATACCAAGTACCACAGCATTGGAAATGGATTTGCTTTTTTCTCTTGTTTTTGCGCGGCCGGGTGTGAGCATGTGTGGGTGTGGGTGTGGGTGTCTGTCTCAAAGTTACGACATGACATCTCTGGGCCTTGTTCATTGGAAAGTCTTAAAAAGCCAGATCAGGAGAGAAAAAGGGTAGATGGGTAATGAGATGGATGGAAAATCAGGAAAATGACAAAAATGAGAAAAATGAGAAATGATGGGATTTATCTAACATGATCCAAAAGACAACCTACCTACCCATCTAGGTACCTGAATTGGAAAGTATTTACGAGGGAGCATAACCACCTGCGCTGGAAAGCTCGCGCGAGAGGGTTCCCGACTTTTCGCAAATCCAGGGCATGTACTCGGTACTGCATTGTATGTATGTATGTATGTATGTATGTATGTATGTACCTCGTGCAAGTTGCGAGAAGCATTCCCTCAAAAGTCGTTTCGCTGTCCGAATATTTTCTTTGCGAGAATGTGTTGCCGTACAGGAAGTAAGTAAGTAGCCTTGAAAAGCTCCAATCAAAGCTACCTAATCGAGTAGATTTCCAACTTTCAGTGTCAGTATGTACCTCGTATGATATATGCATTACATTACATGCGTGCCAAATATGGGACCTCTCCAAGTCCCTCCTGCACCTCGTGAATGGATGAATGTGGAGCTCTCACTCAGTATCCGACATGTCCCATGTACAGCCCTGTGTTGGTGTTGGCGGGTTGTCGTCCCGAGGAGGGTTTTGCGCCGTTGAGTTCGCTTCTTCCGCCTGCGTGTGCGCCTGCGACGTCGCCGTCGCCGTCGCCGGCGTCCATCATCTGCGTGTCTGCGCCTGTTATGTTGGTACTATCGAGGTGCCGTCGCTCGCCGCCGAGAAAGGCGTAAGGCGTACTTGTCCAGTCTGTCTCTAGCCCACCTATACCCGGCCTGGCGTCTTGAACTTCTTGTTGATGGTTGCCGGCCTCGTCGCGCTGCTGCGCCGGCGGTCCTGGTATCCAGGCCAGAGGATGCGGAGGAAGCGGATTTGTCGCCGTAGCGTGAGCGGGAGGAGGTGCACTCTCGCGCAGGGACGACAGCATGTCTGGACTTGGCAGCGCCATCCACTGGTCGAGAAAGGCCCAGTCGACGTCCAGGTTCAGGGGCATGGTGCCGATGGATCCGACGGCGGCGGCCATCTCCTCGGCAGCAGCCTGCTCGGCCGAGGACGATGTCCCCGTCGGTGCGGTAGCTGACGATGATGGGTCTGGAGTCGGTGTGGGCGGGAGCAATGTCGTGTTGGGAACGAAGGGAAGGAAACTCATAAACGGATTTGGTCCGAGACCTGGGTTCTGGATGCCCGGCATGAGACGCAGATTCGGGTTCAATGTGGCGCCGCTGTCGTGGACGCTGGAGTTGTTGAACGCCGGCGTGAAGAAGCCGTCACCATCAACATCGCCACCTCGCCCTCCTCCGCCGCTGCCGTGGTTCTGACTTTGCTGGATTTGCGACGACGTTGACGACGACTGATAATCCGGAAAACCCTCCCGGTCTTGTTGTTGATCTTGTACTGTCAGCGGGACCATGGTGAAGTCGTACTGCATCGGGAACATTGCGGAACCCCCGAATCGCCCCTGTTGCATGAATTGATGAGGTTTTGATGAAGTTAATGCAGTGGGCTCTTGTGCTTGACCTTGTTTATGATTGATTCGCACCGCTGCCCAGGGATCCCCCATGTTGGAGCCAGTTGAGCCTGACCATGTCGATTGGGTCCCAGCCTCTGCGCTTGTAACCTCACCCAGCACCACCTTCAAGACGTCTGCCACTCTCTTCGCCTCATTACTCGTCGGACTCAGATCCTCACAGATCCCAAACGCCGCCTTCAAAAGCTGGAACTGCTCCATCATTCTGGCGTCCTCGGAATTCTCGAGTTCTTTCCCTGGGTTCGCCTTCCTCCACATACTCACCCCGAGGCACAGGACCATGGCCGCCAGGTAGAAATCGTTCATCGTGAACGAGCTCAACATCCAACGATCCTGGAACAGTTGACCCCCAGGCTTCAACTCCTTGTGAAGATCCAGCATATGCTTTGTGATGGCAATGGCGGCGTCGGTGCATACTTTGGTAGATGTTGGGTGGGTGCCTTGTGTCATGTATTTCCGATGGAGCACGAGGAGAGATTTGTGGTAGAGGAATTCACAGTTTGTGCGTACCATGATGAGATAGCTAGGGTCGGCAAAGGACTGTGACATAGGACGGATGTGCAGAATCTCGGGCACAGTAGCGTATACGGCGCGGACTTCACGATCGAGGTCCATGACCTGCTGCTGCGAGTAGTCACGGAACGATAGTGCATGCGCGCAGACTTTCCCGAAGGCGGTCATCAGGCGAGTCTTGACGATGAAGTACAATATTTGCGTCGGTTCTTCTTCTGGCCGGGCCAGGGGTAGAGACGTACTATTCTCATCGAAGTCGCTGTCGAGGAGGTTCGATGGAGATAACGTGTCCCAGCTATTCGGCGGGATCTGGTTTGGCAGGCCGAGTTGGAAGGAGACCATGAGATCGAATTGCAGACACATTGCCCACATACGACGCCTCATTTCGCCTTCAAACACGGAGAAATGAGGGAATTGGGAGGGGTCGCGGTGGTAGCCACTTCGGTACGCGAGTCGTACAAGGATGGGGAATATGACGCTGACTTCTCGTGACGGATCGAGTGTGGCCATGTATTTACATTGGGCATAGAGACCCAGAGCTTCCACCACGTAGTGCTTAGGCCGGACAAATCCGCCCAGGCGGAGGCATTGGCAGGCAGCATTCAGAAAACTCATGCGCGGACTTAACTGATCTTCCGGCGTAGAAGGCTCAGAGCCCACGGCTTCGGACAAGGTGGCCGACACGCAACAGATGGAGAACAGTATGGAAACCCAGAGGGGCGACATCTCCAGCGGGTTGAGCCAGAATTGTTCGTATTCTTTCCGAAACTTTGACGTGTGGATGAAGGGAATGACCAGATATCGACTGTTAAAGTAGGTAGAAAGGCGACGGTCGACTTGAAGTCGTGGAGGAAGGGCCTGAGCCAGGATCTGCGAGAGCGAAATATGGCTTGTCGGACCGAACAGACCTTCTATCTCCGGAGGTTCGAGGTCCTCACTCTCATCGAGTTCGGTGGTCGATGGGCGGCCGCCTTGGCCATTGCTGCCGCTCGAAAGTGCCGACTTGAGTTCTTGGAGGCTTTCCAGGATCGCGGACCAGTGGGTTGAGCCGACGTAGCGCGATTCCGACGACCCGTACTGGAGATGTCCTTCCTTTGCGATGCTCGCAGTTGACGTGTCGTTGTCAGGGGGAGAGCCAGGGCTAGCAGCGACTTCCGAGTCTCGCGAAGACTGTGCGCTCGTCGTGTTGCCGACCATTTGCATGACGAGTTGCTCCAGATGCCGGAGCCTATCCTGGGCCTGCCCTCGTTTGTTTGCAACTTGACCCGTGTTCGCGCCATTGGTGGTGGTTGTGTCGGACGCCTTGTGCAGAGGGATGTTACCGTAGACGCAGCTAGCCTCGTCGCCCCGTTTGACGCAGGTCTCGCATGGATGGCTCTTGTCGCATTTCAATTTCTTGATCCTGCAGTTATAACAGGATACGGGTTGTCGGTTTCGTTTGCTGATTTTGTGCCCTGGTTGCTGACTGTCCAGGTTGGCGCGGAACTTGGTAGTCAGAGCAGAGAACTCTGCCATTGAAGATAGCCTTCTTCGTTTGACTCAGAATCCAGTTTCAGTATGGAGGTGCGCGCCTTCCAATGAATACGTTGATCGAAGTAAGACGAGCCAAAGTTCGGCGTCTGATGTCGTTGGCTGGAGTGGCGCGATGCAGCAATTTCAAACGTGCTGACAGCTCGACACTGCAGGTTCAATATCGACCACGAGAGGATGTTGGCGAGGCTACACGATTGGCAAGGGTTGCTAGGCAATAACCACGAGAATAGGAAAGAATAGTTGATTTTGTAGTTTTGAGGAAAGAAGATGATAACCATGATTGATGAAGGTGAGGAAGACAAATGATGATATTAATTGACCCCCGCAGCTCGCATCCTGGCTTCAACCGTTCCAGCCCAACTTGTTCGAGAGAATTGAATTAAAGTCTACCAACTACAACCGCCACACCACATGCCATTCACTGTTGACATGCTTGTCCCGAGGACTGTCACGAATGCAAAGGAACACAGAGAATCAACTATCGTGTCGTTAGTGCTCTGTCCTCGCCTGTCCGCAACAGCCCAATTTCCTTACTGTTAAAGCTCCTGGGTGCACCCAGGCTTGACCTCCTCATACAACGCGCTCAATTCTTGCCAGATCCTTCTCGCTGTCTGGTCTCCCTCGGCGCTCTTGACAAAGGCACTGTAAGGTTTGACCCGACACTCGCTCAAATACTGCCCATGGGTCTCTCTTCCCGCCGTAGCTCCATGCACCAATGTCCGCGCTCCGTGCTCACTAGACCGCCCGATAATTCTGACCAGGGCCTTGGTAGGTGGCGTCGCGAAGTTCTGAAACAGGTTGGTCTTGCAAAGCCCAGGCGCAACATTGTTGATGACCACCAAGGGTTTGTTGGCCGGGTCTTTGTCGGCTGCCTTTGTCAACATCGAAGCCAGGTATTTCACCAGCAGCATGACAATGAGTTTGCTGAGGAAATAGCGAGCCTTCATATCTGCCTTTTTAGGATCCGACAGTGTCTTGAGAATTTGTCCTTCAGCAGGATCGGTTAACTCCTTCGCACTGACAAAGAAATGGACTGCTGATCCAACAATGGCGAGTTTTGGGGTAATGTTGAAGTTTTTCGCAGAATCGCGCAGAAGAGGAATGAGTAGGACAGCCAGGAGAAATGTCGAGATGACATTCACAGTGATAGTCGTCTCATAACCCTCTGCTCGCGTAAACTCCACCAGGTTAATGCCCGCATTGAGAATTGCGGCATCAAGCCTGGGGAGATCTTTGCATCGCTCGGAAAAGGCGACGACGCTTGGGAAGGAGTCAAGATCGAGTTCCCAGATGATAAAGGTCGGCTGCGAATGTCCGCGGGAGCTGCTGGATGCTGATTGCAAGATGGTCTCCCTAGCCTTCTCCCCTTTCGCGAGGCTTCGGCATGCAAGGACGATGGTGCTGCAATTTAATTGCATCAGCAATTTGGCTGCTTCAAGGCCCAATCCAGAATTCGCTCCTGTCAGCAAGATGGTCCGTCCGGTCAAGTCAACTTGAGGTAGTGGTGGAGTCGAAAGCTGCCCGCGAATAAATTGGCCCGCCATGATGTGATGTTGGGTGGAAGCCTGGCTTGTGGTAGTCCAAAATTGAGGAAGAGAAGTGCAAAATCAACACGGAACGGCCTTGAATGAGCAATCGACAGTTAAATATATCATTTAGTCTCGAAAGTCGTCCACGTCTTCTCGGTAGCCTGTGTCCGGAGACGAAGACGTCTTCCGGACCGTGGCGCGGTGTGCTGGCATTTTATTCATTCTCACAATCTCCGACAGCGTCTGCGGAAGTCCAGTTCGCCCTTTAGAGGATATCAACCACATTGGAACTCAGCTAGGCACTTCGAAACTGAAACCGAGGAGATGTCTCTGCCACTATCAGGGAGGGCGTTGGAGGGTCTGACCAATTTGGCAACATGTTAAGTCCGAGTTGTGGAGCACGCACACGGGCAATTTTGATCCGCTGCGACAATCAATGCCCAAGACACTCGAGGCGGTATGGGTCGAAGGAAGAAGCTGCTCCCATTCGTACCTCAAGGGCTCAGGAGCAAGGGGTTTTCTCAGCAAGCTCGTTCCCTGGTCTCATTTTCGTGGATAACGTGAAGTCTCAGCTGATTCGGACCATGGCCGACGGTTCTCGATCAGCCATACAGCATCCTCATTATAACTCAGTAATGCCTGCCGTACTCGTTCCGTGTGCATAAGCGGGGCCAGAAGCATAAAGACCTTGTCCACATAGTCTTCGGAGATTTGAACATGCTGAAGAATGGTGACCAACAACGTTACGAGGGCTTCTAGTAATTGTCCGTCTGAGGACCTGAAAGGGCTGCTGTATGGAGCCATAGAAGACTGACCGGGTGACGAGGCAGACTCGTTTTTCAGCTGCGTCGAATCGCTGGGAGAGATGATCAATCCTGATCGTTTGATGTTCGGGATCCCCACTGACTTCTGTCGCGTTGTTGACCTAAGAACGGTCGAACATGTTTTCTCGAATAGGATTTCAAGCTCATCGAACAACGCCTCGATTCGACTGGACACGAAATCACCTGCGGCACGGCAAATATCGGCCACCGTGAGGGCGGCAGCCCTCGTGATGTACGGCGCATTCGCCGCGGTTGGATCACTCCCGGGCAGCAGTCTGGACACCACTGCCGGCCAGATAGAGTTCACCAAGGGTAAAAAGGTATTCTCATGTCCGGCAAGGAGCGGAGATATCTCTTGCAGCAGTTCCAACAAAGTAGAGCGCACCTTTGGTGAAGGGGACGACAGATGCGGGACCGTGGACTTTGCAATGTTGAGCAGAAGTTGGTGAGACTTGGACATCTTGGCCTCCTCTCGGTCGGCTGCCTGGTCGAATGGCTGATCATCCTCCGTGTCTTCATTCGTGTCGGAGAGGCTTCTGTGCTCCTCGCTCGGTTTACTGTCTTCGGCAGCCGTCCAGGGACGGTGGGGAGCAGAAATAATCTCTTCATGTTCCTTGTCAGATTGGCGCCGTCTTTGTTTCCTGCTTTCCAAGTCGTTGAGGATGTCTTGAAATTTAGATACATGAATCGGCGCGTTTCGGTGGCTTTCAGGAGACCTTCCGGACTGAATCGCAAGAATGGCAGGCTTCTTGGAGCTTTCTGTCACTACGATCTTGAGAACATCGAACAACTGTTCGACGAGACCTGGATATCCGTGGAAGGTGTCCAAGGCGCCAAAAATGCTCCCAATAAGGTCGTCAAGGTGCGGGAGGATGCTGCCACCACAGAGCCGGATCATCATCACTATCACCTGGAGACTTGTTCGCGATACATCAAAGGCATTGAGTCGCAATGCAACAGCATTGATTAGATAGTCCACATTCTCAATCAACATATGAGAAGCTGAATCATATTCGCATGCTGTAGCCAATAGATTCAGAGCCGTCATTGCGTGCTGCTGGAGCAAGGCATCACTGGAACCAAGCAGGGTCAGGACCGGAAACAGTGTCTCCACTAACTCAGGACGGTACGATTGCCTGAGCTGAGAAGCTTGAAGTATTGAACTCTCGAGTGACAGTGCCACCAGCCGCCAGTCTGTGTCCCCTTCGCCTGCGAGATCAGGATATTCTGTCAGGAAGGGCAGAACATTTGAATAAAGATCGCTTATGAGGAAAGGACGGGAAAGCGAGAAGTCACGCGTGGAAGCATTGTCCTCCACCAGCTCCATCACGTCAAATGACTTGCTGCTGTCAGATCTCAAGAACTGGAGAGCGAGCCATGCTGCCGATAACTTTCTGCTGACATCAGGATCATGCAGATGATCAACAAGGTTGCGGGTAATGTTCTGACTGAAAGCGTGTGTCTTGAGGGTTGCGATCAAGCTTTGAAGCTCTTTCGCGGACGACTGCTGGCTCTGGTGACTCAAGACAACCGGCATAAACTCATGTTCCGAGCTTCTAGACTGCTGAACAAGGTCGCTTGGGAGAATCCGGGGTGCCTCACTGACTAGGCTTGAACTTTTCGACCCCGATTCAATAGCTGCTGCGACAGTATCAATTAAAATCGAAGCAAATTTCGACATTTCTTCACCAATGGCATTCGAACTGTCTGTCAATGCGATGAAAGATGTCGTTACCTGCTTGAGCAACTGCTGCTTGGGTCTATCGTCATTACCTTGCATCACTCGGGGAAGTGCTTGGGACCAATCATAGAATTTAGCTTCTAGTATTTCCGTTATCTCTGGCCTCGAGGTCATCAAATATTTGAGAGCGGAATTTGCTCTTGATGCCCTGGACGATCTGCAAAGGACTGCAAGAGTCTCAACCATCAGAGGGACAGACTGAGCGAGGGTCTGCGAACAGTCATCGATCACCGTGAGACAAAGGTTGAGGAGGGCTTCAGCAACATCAGGGCTGTCATGTGTCCTCAGTTTGACCACTTGCGTTAGGGCCAGATCGATTTGAGCGGCAGTCGCATCGAACCAGGATTTGTCCAGTACGACCTCATCATCAGCGCCGCGTGCTTTGGAAGACTTTGTCTGAACCTTGGTACTAAACTTGTCCGAGGCGACTCCATCAGCAAGGACGTTTCTTAAAGCCTCAGTCAGCAGGTCCAAGTAGGCGACAAGGACCTTTCTCGTTCGACGGGCCTGTGTACTGGATCGAAGGACCTTGACCAGTGTAGAGACTGTACGGGGAAGCAAGCTGGCCAGTAATGTTCGACTCTTGATAGCACGCTGAAGCTCAAGAAGGGCGTAGGTTGCACTGATCTGCACGTCCTCCTCCGACGCCTCTGCTACTGCTTCAAGGAGCTGATAGACTAGCTGGTCTACTATGCTCCTGCTGCCAACGCCTTCCAGGACTGCGGGTGCGAGTGAAGCACTTTGCCGGATGAGGACGGCCATGCATTCAAACGAAGCAATTTTCAGCTCCTCTGTGGGAGGCTGATTCTGTTGGTCGGGTCCTCGAGACACCAGCAAACCCATGAGAAGAAGCAACTGTTTGGCCATCTCGGGAAGAAGCTTGTCTCGCCATCCTCTCGACACCAGGATTTGCACGCATTTGACAGCTAGCTCAAGGCCTCGTGATGATATCCGGGAAGATTGATTGAAAACGTGAGTCAGTGGGAAGAAGGCGTATTCGGCTAATTTCTCGTCGAGAAGATCTTCCTCTCCAAGAGAGCAAAGAATGCGGTGTACTTGCTCCAGAGCAAGAAGCACAGACTTCGCAGATGTCTGATTAGCCTTGAGTTTGAGAGCGATGGAGCTCAGTTCGACACAAGGTGGACGCAGCTAAATGGCAGGTTAGTCGTGGAAATTTCGCTCAGTATTTGTGGCGCGACCAACCCGCTGAAAAGCCTGCTGCCGTGAGGACTCCATCGTGGAATGACTGTGGTTTTCCCTAAGGACATGCCGACCGCAGGAACCTGCCTGATTCCGATAGCATATTCGTCCATTCGAAGATGGTACACAGACTTCGGGAACAACTGACCTGCCAGGCTGCTCCTGGAATGACAACAGTACAGCCTGAGCCACAGTGGCGGGAGAAAGCGTGCGGCACAGCTTGGCACCTTGGCATGTTTGGTGACTCCTTGAGTACCTACCTAGCGAGCTAGGTATCTAGCCTTGCCTGGCGAGCTGGCTACCTGCTGATAGAACCTGCATAATTCACAATCAGGGCAAACATCTCGCTGAACCTGCCCATAGAAATTATGCAACATCATGTTTCTCTGTATGTTACATATGTCGTTGAACTGAACAAACCTACGACACTGGGATACAAACTGGCATGGCCAATTCAAGACAGAGTCAACAAATACCTAGGTAATCAACGCTTGCATTGTGCGTCATGCGGGGTGCAATGCGGGGAGCACCACCAGTACGAGGCTCGGAGGTACCAACCTACGGTAGGTAGCGAGTAGCAGGCTAGGTACTCGGCGAGTCGGTATGCACTCCGGTGAACTCCTTATCGCCCTTCACTCGCTGTTGTGCTACAATTGACTCGGTACCTATCCAGGAACATGCAAAAGCCAAGGAACTCTGTTTCTGGGACACGCATATGACTACTCGGGCAGAGTCGTTCCAGAACTTAATGCCAGATAGAAATCTCGCAAGGGCCGATGCGCCTCGAAGCTGCTTGTTCCCTGCCCCACCATGTTTTGGCTGTCGTTTCTCTCTTTGCTTGTCAGAAGGAGTTCGCGGGCAATAGTACTTCGGTGCTAGAGTATTACTGTGCCTACAATCGAAATTATATCCAGGAGCCAAATCGAGTACCTGGCACGGACGTGAAGGGTATTCGGCTATCTTGGACACCATCCCTGTTATCGGGGAAACACGCTTGGGGCGTCATCAATACTGGACAGCAGCTCCACCAGCTATGTGCGGGCCACCAAGACCCATCACACACTACCACTTGCTGGGTTCTGAAGACCTCACAGTACGAAGTACGACCAGAACTCAACATCCAGTGCAAATGTGTTGAGACTTCTGCTTTTCCCCTCCGGCAACGTACATTTTCGCGGACAGAGCAGTGGCCGGGAGGAAACTGTCCAATCTCGGTTTGCTCAGGCATGTGCCAATCAAAATGCCCATCCGAATAGAAGGATGGGCTGGGGAGAAGCATACAAGCGTTGGACGGTGATGCAGCAGGGAGTCAATTTCCACCCTGAAACGATGCTATGCTGCTGGTAAAAGCTCTAGAAGCAAGGAAATCGGCCAGCAACACGAGATGGTGATTCAATCGCAATAATACTTTCGTGGTGCCGCAACTGGGAATCCCCACCCCGGCCATTAAGCAGCTACGGACAAGGCACCCTCAAATGGTTGACAGACACTTGGTCGAGGGTAAGCTAGGCGCCTCCGAGCAGACTGTGACGGGAGCCATGATTTGGCAGCGTGAGGTTGACTGGCCACATCTTTGGTCTCACCGGCCTGCAGCTCTCCGGGCACCCAGCCGGGCCTTTCTGTTTTCTTTGCCCTGCATATGCTGAAGTTAGTGGCGGTCACGGTGGACGCGTCCTCTCCTCTTGTCAACAATATTGGAATTGGCATGGATGTAAGTCCGGAGGCCATGGCCATGGGAGCATCTCGACAATGTCTCTGAATCAGCTGGACACAAGATGCAATTCTTGTGGCGAATATTGACACCCAGTCCCGCTACGATTACCTAGGTATGATGTGATGGCGGTTTTTTAGGGGCCGTGCGGAGGTACCGGTAGAGGGCCACTTGGGAAGAAGTGAGGAGTAGGAACCGCATTGACGAGCTGGGGAGCGCTACCAACATCCTAATTCGTGTCGTCACTGTGGAGCTTGGACGCTCAGGCCAATTTCCATTTCTCTGGGTGCCTGCAGTCGCCGACTCTGGTGCCACCCCAGGCTTCCTCCTGCTCATCAGTAACAGCCTCAGCGAAACGTCTGGTCTGTCGTACAGGCTGGGACGAGGCTCGATTGGGACACGGTGTCGTCGAACCTCTGTACCCCAGAGAAATTAGGAGTGGACAGATGAGCGGCACACCCTGAGTAGAGGTACCTGATGGAGGTCCATCTACACGCCCAAATGCTCCGAAGCAGGATTTTGGTCACGACTGCGGATGGGAATCACCGAGGAGATCATCGATTGGGTGCTGACTCCAAGATCTCCAGAGCCCGATGCAGCCATGATGTTCAGCTCGAATCGCACGGGGCTAGAGTGCGTTAGGCATAGAGTTAGGGATCGCCACGCGTTAAAATGCCCGCTTCAGGGTTGCAAGTCATGCCCGGGAACGGCTCGAGGGGTTTGGGGCCTAGAGAGCAGCTAGAGAGGTACCGGAAGACACCCCCAAGCAGCCCCAGGGACCCGCTGTGGCTGAACGGGTGGCGGTCAAAACAGTCGATTGGACCAGAATCGAGTTTCCCGGTGTCATTGTGTCACAAGGTGGCTGCGGTCATTTACCTGGTCCGGCTGGTAAAGTTCAGCCTCCGCAGTTTCAATGACCTAGCTTGCAAGGGACTAAACTGCCATAGGAACTCGTCGAGCTGTCTGTAACCACTGAGTGGCAGTGAGTGCCACTGCCAGCTCTCACAGCATGAACAACAGCAAACCCAGTCGACCAACCAACCTCCCCGTCGACCCGAATCCCCTGTTGGCCTGGAAAGTATAATTAATGGTGGGAAAACTTGGTTCCTGACTCTGCATGTCAAGCTTTCCTCCTGGTGCTCCTGAAGCGAATTAACACTGACGAGCATCCATCTCGCCATCGACTCGGTGTCCAGCTACTACTACTAGGTAGTACTCCATACTCAGCTGCACCCTGCTGCATAACCTACCTCGGTGCTGCAGACCGCAGACCGCATCGACCTCTGTACCTCGTACCTCATACCGCGTGCCGCCCCTTCAGAGCTGTGCGTTTGCCTGCTCCCTCGTCACGGGCAACAGCGTCTCCACTTCCGTCACTACCCCAGCTCGACCTTCACTTGACCTTCACTCCTTCACTTTCCAACCTGGAAGTCAAAAGCTTCCCACTTCCACCTTCCACCTTCCAGCTTTGAACCCCCTAAACCTCCAATAAAACCTTGTCCGTCAGTTCACTTTGCGCCTCGAGGTTGCTTTCTCTTCCTCTACCACCACTTCACTGCACCTTGTCATCTCTCCTCCCTGCCTTACCCACGACTTACTCTCGACGTCGCCGTCACGTACAGTGCATCATCTTATTGATCGCACCCTTTACGCCGCGTAACACTCACCTTCATCCACGGGCCTTGATCCCTTTGTCCTCAACCATGAAGAGCTTTGTCGTCGCCGCTGCTCTGGTCAGCGCAAGCCTCGCGCAGACATTGTCCAGCCTTCCAGCATGCGGTGTAAGTACCTCGTGCTCTAAGCCGGCTGCTGAGAACGTTGACTGACCTTTGCTTCAGCAACTGTGTTTCAACAACATGGTCGCCGAAGCTCCTAATCTCGGCTGCCCCGATGTCAATGGACAGACTGACGTCGTCTGTTTGTGCAAGAACTCTGACTTCAGCTATGGCCTCCACGACTGCTCCTCTGAGGCTTGTCCGGTTGGCACAGACATCTCACCGATTTTGACGTATGGGCAAAATTACTGCGCCTCTGGTGAGTGAAGATGGACGTCTTTTGCTGGGAGTCGGACAATGTACTGATTCTTGTCAGCTGCTTCTTCCGCATCCAGCGCCGGTAGTTCAGTTGGTCCTCTCTCCGGAACCTCTGTTTTGACTGTTGGTGGTACCACTGCGACTGGCCCAAGTGGCGCCGCTGCTACTGGCACTGCTTCTGGGTCCAGCCCTGCTGCTTCGGCCTCTGGCTCAGGTTCTGGCTCCAGTGGCTCCCCAACGCCAATATCTACCGAGACTCTCTTTTCCACCCTTACCTCCGGCGGCAGCACCATTACCACCGCTGTTGGGACATCCCTCATCTTTGCTGGCGCAGGCTCAGGGGGCAGCGGCGCCTCTTCGACTCCTATCTCGACTGAGACTCTGTTCTCGACTGGCACCGACAGTGCAGGCAGCACATTCACCACGGCTGTGGGCACATCCACCATCTTTAGCAAAGTTGCAGGAGGGGGGGTAAGTACCATCATTCCGTGTTGAAAGGAAGTGTCTAGGATCACTAACGGAACTTAGTCCTCTGCCTCAAGTCATGCGTCTTCGGCCGCCTCTGGCGCAAGCGCATCGGCTTCGTCCATCTCAGCCTCCCTTTCCTCCGAAGTCTCGTCGGCCTCCTCTGCTGCCTCGAACGCTGCTTCGTCCGCTTCGGCTTCTGCATCCTCAGTCGCCAGCTCTGCATCTTCGCATTTGGCCAGTGCCACTAGCTCTGCCGCCTCGGCTGGTTCGTCTGGTGCATCCGGTGCATCATCGTCCGCTTCGTCGGGAGGATCTAGTGCCACAGGTGCGGCAATGCCCAAGGCAACAGTGGCTGTCAATGGTCTGGCAGGTATCGCAGGCCTGGCTGCTATCATGATGCTGTGAATGAAGACACTTGAGCCACATTTGGGCCGGGTAGGAGGGTCGATGAAAATTTCCAATTTGTTTCCACATCACTGTTGATACCCACTTTCGAATGGCGCGACTTGCATCCTTGCTTCACGGGGCAGGGCAAAGGGAACAATCGGCGGACAGAATCTCAGCGCGATTGGGCTTGTTCATGGTCAATGCAGCGTGCCTCTTGATGCGTAACGGATTTTACGGACAACCAAGCGGTACCTTTTAGCACGAGCATAAAACTTCTGCTGTAATAGGCTCGACTGAACGGGCTGATAGCTAATACCAGATGCACTGAACTCGAAACAGAGATAGCTTTTCAAAAGTGCGAGTGTCGTGGTTTTGAACTAATTTGCGCTTGGCTGTCCGTGCTTTGGCTCAGCCTCGCTTCCTCTGCCGACGCATCCGAGCCGCCCTTGCGATCCCTTATCACTAGATTACCTACCTACCTACCTAGGTAGGTAGGTAGGATCCGAAGCACAAGAGCTAGCAAAACACAATTGCCATTGGTACGCTCCGCGTCAATAACCTGGTATGTTTACATGTCACCGGCACCTTTGGACATGCCCATTTTTAGTTGTAGGTATACATTCAGTACTGACCTACACGCGGCGGGGCCGTGCCCATTCATTGCCCCTCGGACAAGGGATAGCAGCCAGCGGGGGTGGGAGAAATCAGTACGTGGGTCTACGGCGTGGTCATGGGCGTCCGCGCTCTGCAGGTGGCTTTGACGGTGATAACTGGAATGAACTCATCCCCTGAAGGGCAGAGCTTAGTTGTGATTGTTTTTGTATTGGTGGCAGGGTATCATTATTACATGGCATGGCATAAAAGTTTCAATACCAATCCGAGAAGAGCAGCAGCACTACAGCAGCGACGAACAGCAGCGACTGTTTCACTCCCAGTCCTCTTCATCGCTCTCCTCGTCCACCTTCGTGGGCGACCTTCCCAGATCGTCTTTCGGGCTTCCTGGGGCCCGGCTATTGGCCCCGCTGACGAGATCGTAGCTGGCGTCGCTGTCGGCGACTGACTTTTCGTCGTGAGATCGACGGCCTTCGGTGGTGGGCTTGAGCGAGCTCGATTCAGCGGGTAAAGGAGTCTGGTGTATTGTGGTTGAGGAGTCGTTGGTGTTCTGGGCGACTAGGACTTTGGGCACTGCCGCGGCGGCGGCGGCGGCGGCGTCGTGGTTGTCCCGCGGCTGGGGAGTCGAAGATGTCGCCTGCTCCTCCTGCTCCTCCTCATCGCTGTCTTCGTCCCAGCCAACTTCCTCTGTTTCATGCGTAGATGCTGTATTTTGATCCCGTCAGCAGACATACTCTGATAGAGTCCAGGTCACAGGTTTGCCATACCTTTGAGAAGCTCTTTTCTCTTTTCTTCTTGCGTCTCCACGACATGTCTCAAGAAATAGTATCTCGTCCAGAAATCTTTGTACTCGACTTTCTCCGGCACGAGCTTCTCCATGGAGCTTCTCAGCTCGCGGTATTTGTCGAGGTCTTGCGCAATGCGTGCGGTCATCTTGTCGATGTCAAACCCCTTTTTGAAGTCGTCCCACTGGTCGCCCGCCCCGCTGGGGTCTTGAGTGAAGCTCGTCATTGTGGTGTGGACGACATGTAGCTGTGCATCAAATCTGCTTGTGTGAATGACTCTTTTGCCTGAGGTAGGGTCTCTACTCTCGAACAGCACCTCGCCAGGCCGGCGGCTTGCGTCCTCTTCGTCGTCGGGAGCAGTTACCGATACAGCGTCTCGCAAGAAATTCCTGATGTTTGTGCCGAACCTCAAGAGCGCCTCATCGGCTGCGTCTTCTGCCCGTTGCACGTCTTTCAGTCTCTTTGCAGCCTCGGCTTTGAACCGCTCGAGGAATGTCTCCGTCTCTTGGATCGTATTGTTCTGCTCACTGTCTTTGCTGGTGCTAGGTAACTCTGTGTCCCCGTCTGTTGTTCCTGAAGCATTCTCCCCCTCCTTCTGTTCCGTCGCGAAACCGAAACCCTTGACACCCTTCAGGCGCAAGGCTTCCATGTCGCTGGCCATTTCAGCGGCCTCCTTCTTCGCCTCCTCGTATAGACTTTCTCCTTGCTTTCTGACATTGCCCCAGAAGCCACCTAGCTTGACACCCCATTGTGAATTGGAAAATGCTTTGAAGGTCTCCTGAAACTCTGCTTGGAGACTCTGTCTAGGAGAGCTTGTCTTTGGCGTGGAGGTATCGTTGGTGTTTGAGATGGTCGTCGCAGGTGTAGGAGTTGTGGCACGATCGCCGGGATTGTACGCCTGTTCAGCAATATGATCGTACGCGAGATCCATGGTATTGGGGAGAAGGGTAGTCAATGTGAGGTTGTGGAGAGGGGCAAACAGATGAGCAGATCAACTAGGGTGCCCTGTTCCAGTGGAACGACTGTATTTAGCGACCGTAAATCTAAGAAAGAGAGCTGATTTGAGCCGCTGTGTTGGGCGTGGTGATTGACGAGACACGAGGCTTCGACGTGCATGGAGAGGTTGGAGGGAGTGATCAAGGGGGATTCGTCGATGACAATCCAGGGACCACGTGAGGTGGACTGGAATCGCAATAAATAATGTGTCTGACAAGTGCCCGACCAATGCTGTCTGCACTAATCTTGGCAGGGTTGAGGTTGTCAGACATGGTGAAGGAGCTCAGCAGAATATCTTGTCACCGGTGGTCCTTTCTCGCTTCTCCCTGTTGTCAAACACTCATGATCAGCCACGCCCCAGCAGATTCGATCACATACCTTTTTCTTTCTGAAGAAATGTTGCTGCCTGCTCAATCTAACCGTGTCCCGTACTGACATTGCATTTCCGATACGATATACGGCACGGGCGCAGGTGTCGCATACGCCGGCGAACCCATTATGGTTCCTCTACCCCTGAGCCCAATCAGTGATCTTCGAAACCTTCCAGCAGACTTTACGCTGGTGCCTGAGGGACTGCCGACATGAGCTTAACCAATCTGATGATGGCAATGCAGACTACTTGTGCCGACAAGTTGGGAAGCCTGATGCCGATTGTGGCAGCATTTGGAGTACCTCGTACACTGCCTCAGTGAGCTAACCCAACCTGGTAACCACTTCGACCTCGCTTGATATAGACAGATTCAATATGCAAGCAGTCGTCTACTGATGTCAATGCGTAGGTAAGTACAGGGCTGACCCGGTAAATGATCAATGTCACGGCTCTGGTGTCCTGCCTCCCTTTCTTTATATGCTCAGTCACTTCCTATATATTCAGGTAGGTATCCTGCTTCCAGCTCAGAACATGTCCCTCACATCTCGACACAACCTTCCGCATATACGTGAATCCAAGATTCTCAGACCGACACCGGGACTTCACACTAATCCTTCGAAGAATATATATCTGAAAGCATGAGTCGCCGCCAACGAGATGGGGCCATCAATCGGGCAACCAAAGGAATTGGCGGTCTCATAGGCCTTGCGGTCGAGGCGCATGCCCAACACAAGAACAAAAAGTCAAGCACAGTTGTCACGCGACATGATGCCCTTGAGGACGCCAACGGCGCAACGAGGAGCGCAACACTCGGTAGTCAACATGAAGTCCGGAAGATCGACGAACAAGAATCACTTTCCGACGAAGACGACGAAGATGAGGAGGATGCTTACGCCCTCGAATCCATCCTTCCACCATCGTACGATGAAGCAATCTCTCCGAGCTCTTCTAGCACGACCCCATTCACGACCATAAAACCCCTCCCATATCCCATAATCCTGCCTCAGCGTCGCCCCCACCGTTCTTCGCGAGGGTTCATTCGAGCATACGCCCCTATCCTCCAAACCCACAAAAACATCTCTCAGACCACCTTTCTCCAATTCCTCAAGGATTTCCAACAGTCCTCACGTGCCTCCCCCGTGTTCCACGCAATCAACATCGGCGCCATAGCCGCCGGGTTTGCCCCCAGCATGATTGCCATGGCCGTAGGCATGGGTGTGCAATTTGGCGCGCAGCATGCCATGGCCATTCAGGAGAGGGTGAGAACAAACAATTTCCTCGACAAGGCGAACAGGGACATGTTTTGGCCCGTGGGGCTGCATGCGATGATCACGACTTTTTCACCCGCTCAATCTAACCAACGAATCCTGGACGTCGACACGGGCCGTCCACTTCCCTCATCTGCCGGCGGAACAACAGACCGACGTGAACTCGCGATTCCCCAATCCGCACCGCTGATCTTCCCAGATGTCGACGAAGAAGTAGCAGGTGACAACAACGGCCAACAGCCAGCGTCGTCTTGGAAGCGGGGATCAAAGTTCGTTAACTCGTACTTTGATAGACGCGCCCAAGCCGCTTATCCCGACACGTACGCCGATTCAAATGCCCAACAGACATTCACCAGCCGCTACAGCGACCCAAACCATCCCGCAAACTCGGGAAGTCCTCTCGCCCTCCTGACAGGTGGCATCATTAACCCCAGAGGCGACCAGGGCGGGCTGCTCTCGACAGCAAGGGACCTCAGGCGATCAAGCTCACACAAGGACGAGGGATTGTTGATGCGGCTAGCACGGACTGTCTCGGATGCTTCTGCTTCTCGATCTCAACCCCATCATAATTCTCCCGACTCGGAAGACCGTGCCACTGGCTATCCATCATCCCGCGACAGCGCTGACCGGCGGCCCCATCGTCGTCAACGACGTGACCGCCGCCGCGAACGGTCTGGGAGCCCACAAGGAGCACATGGAGCAGCGCAAGGCAGTTCCGATGGTGGACGCGGCGGACTCAGGCAAGTGCTCAGACAAGTCCCCTCGATGCAGCAGGGCGTGCTGTACCTCGTCATCGCCGAGATTCCAGACTCGGTGAAAGAGGAAATGGCGCGCACAAGACAAGGGTAACCTAGCCCGAATACATAAACGCCAAGGTGAGAAAAATTAAAGGATTAATGGCGCTGGTTTAAACTAAGTACCTAGTAGTTTGTCTTATATCATGCATTTCTCGGTTTCCCATAAGGTCTGGGTTGGGGATTGCAGATCCGCCTTGTCAATATGTGCTTTCTTTTCAGGTTGCAGGTTCACTTGATGATACAACGAGCAATTCATGGGTCGGTAGGGGAATGATAACATCACATCATATCATGAACCCCTCATACCTCCGAGTCCTCCTCCATCCTCGCCATGACCAACAACAAGTTGGATGATCAATCGAACCAGCGAACACCCGCCACGTATCTAACCACCTCGCTCGTGTCATGTCATTCGTAGTACTCTTCCTCCGCCTAATACTCAAAGTCGTCATCCACGCCAGTTTTGCTCGACTGCTCCTTCTGCATGACCTCCTGCTTCCGATACATCTCTGCTACTTGGGCGCTGCTCGTCGCCTCTTCCGGCTTCTTGTCGTCTCTCCGCTGAATGAACCGAGGAAACCTGAGGCTTATCCCGTTCTTGCCGCCCATTTCGTCGATCGCGGCCCTGTATCTGGGACTCAACGTAAGATCTGCGGTCTTCACTTCCCAGACATGGCGCGGCTCGAACCAGACGTCTGGTTGATCGTTCTTCACAGTCGAATGAGAGTAAAAGGGCTTGGGACGCTCAATCACGATCTCCGAGAGCTCCTTGGCAAGCTCCTCGAGCAGGGATTCTGAGAAGCCGGTGCCGATGTTGCAGACTGTTTCGAAGGTTTGGGTGTCTGGGTTGTACGCCGCAAGGAGGAAAGCGCCATACCAGGAAGTGCGCTTACCTTTGCCGTGATAAGCTCCTAGCACCACGAGATCCAAGGAGTCGCCAATGCCAGCGAGATAGTCCTTCTTCACTTTGAGCCAGTTCCTCGACCGTTTGGACGGCTCGTAAGCTGATTCTTCCGTGTCGAGCATCTTCACCATTAACCCTTCGCAGGATGCCTTGACAGCATCATCGAGCAGGTGCTGAATCTCTTCGACGTCCTTCGCATCGCCAAACTGGGCAAACTGGAATTCACCCTCTGTTGGCACAAAGGCATCATGTAGTATTTCTCGTCTTTCACGGAATGTCTTCTGTACTAGCGCTTCACCGTTATAAAAGAGCAGATCGAAGGCAAAGACACAGACTTTGACAGTGATTTCAGATGTCTTCACATCTTTGCGCTTGCGGGTCATGAGCTGTTGGAAGGGTAGGACTTTCTTGTTTTGAGGATCCCAGGCGACGGTTTCGCAGTCCAGCACAAAACTCTTCGTTGAAGGCTTAACCCAGGTGTTGAGTTTCTCCAGGATATCAGGGTACTTTTTGGACAGATCCTCAGAGTTCCTCGAGAACACGGCTGCCAGACCTTTGAATGCCTTTGGATCCTTGGTTAGTGTATTCTGTGCTGCTGGATACTCGGACATGGCTTCGGGGGCAATGTAATGGATCTGCGAACGCTCCCCATCGTATTTGTATTCGCATGTGAAGTTCTTGCCCTCGAAGCGGTCAAGCACCTCAGTGACAGACTTGGTCGGTTTGGCAAGCATGGGTTTCAGGGGCACTCCCGGCTGCAACTTGCACGTCTCGTGTAAGTTGAAAATGCCATGTTCGAGCATTGCTGGAATGATCACTTCATACGAAGGCAGCTGACTGTAAACCATTTTCAGGGCGGCCTCACCCTGCGCCAATTGATCCGTGGTTGGTACCTTGCCATCTTTCGCAGCCTCGTGAGTCACTACAGCCTGTGCGAGGGCAATGATGACGGTTTTCTCCGCCAGGCCTAGTCTCAGTTTTCCTTCAAGGAAACGAACCAAGAACTTGGCCTCAGACGGTCCTCCTTTGTCCTTGGTGATGTCGACAGTTTTGCTTGTGGATGAGACATCTGCAGACGCCATGAGTTTATTGATAGCTCGAACTTTCTGGTCTTGGGAGCCGTGCCCTTCCATCTTGGCGATATCGAGTAATCCCTGATGGACGCCTCGGACAGTGAGCGGCTTCGGCTTGAACATCTGGCCCTGCTTAGATTTGCTCTTGGCAGCTACCAGACCCAGGTCACCAATCTTTTGATGATCCGCCTTGATGACCGATAGTGAGCGGCCCGAACTCTCTCCGATGGCTTTCATGATCAGGGATTCCCCTATTCCAAGTTCGATCCCGGCATAGTCAGCGGCGAGCTTGTTCAGCATGAGTTGGATCGTAGGCAGGAGATCCTGAGGGGTCAACCGGAGCACCTGCTGCAGAAAAGCCGAACAATAGGCTGTGATTTGTAGCCGCTTTGTCGTGAGTTCGATCAAGGAGAAGGTTGTGCACAGCGCCGCGTAGGGGACGGGTTCGCCAGCCTTCCAATCTGGATAGGGGTCCTTTCCCGTTGATTTGATGGTGGCCTGAACTTTGGCGACTTGTTTCTTATCGACCTTGGGATTCTCATCCTCACTTGCAGAGACATCATCTTCGGCTTCTGAGACGCTGCTGTTCCGATCTGACGATTCTGGTTCCTCCTGCTCTGATTTGACCGTTTTCGAAGATATCTTTTCAGTGTTGGCGTCAGATTTCGACTTTGATGCCACACCATTCGTCTTTGGGGACTCTGTTGGCTTGTCTTTGGATGCAGATGTTGTTCTCCGTCTCTTGACCACAGGCTGATCATCAGAATCTTCCTCCTCCTCCTCATCCTCTAGCTTGTGTTTTCTACTTGGTGAATCGTTACTTTCATCCTTGCCATTGTCGACATCATCCGCGAGTTCTTTTCTCGGCTCAGGGGTCCCATCATCCTCTTCCTCGTGTGGGTCATCCACTTTCTTGCCGTTAGATGTTGACTTCTGGTTGAAGGAGAGGGTAGACTGAGTTTTAGATTTATTGCCGTCTTGCTTGTTCCCGAGGAACTTGCTGTGAAAGTTAGCACCAGTCAGAATCCACCAAAGTGAGAGCAGCTGTACCCAAGAGTTGATTGCCGTCCTTGTGGCATGTTCGGCTGCAGTTGGAGAGACAGAGACTTGAAGGCAAATGTAACAAATCTCGAAGACGGACAGAGGACGGCAGGTGCAAGGAAAGACCGTGACAGGAATGTGAGGTGGTATGGAAGATGAAAAGGCAGGAAGGTTCTGAGAATGGCCTCAGGTGCGAGCACACAACCCAACGGCACCAGTTTCATCCAGGTCAAGGTGTGGCTACAACAATTACCTGCGCGGTCGATTTTTCAATACATCGAGAAGCGAAAGCGCGTTCGACGCGTGGGGTAATTAAGGCCGTTGATTAATTCGCGTCTGTCACGATGAAATGACGTGTGACGTGTGGGAAGCGGCGGAGGCGGATGATGCCTGCCAGGCAAGCCAGGCAAAAGCCAATACTACCTACTAGGTACCTATCATCCCTCGAGCACAGCAAAGGCGTTGAAGAAGCCCGCCATTTACATTTGGGTCCGGCATTGCTCAACCATTACTGTCCACCTCGAGCTTTTCTACCTGCTACTCTCCCAAATGTCAGCCTCCTTGCTGACTTTCCTTTGTCGGACTCGTTCGGGTCAATGCTGTGGTGCTCCTCCCTCCGCCGTTCTTCTTCAGAGGTGCCCCGACTCGAATCTTCATCACCATATTCTTTGCTATCATAGTCGTACTCCTCTCCCCTGTCGGTGAACAGGTGCTCGGGATGGACCATCTCCTTGGACCGGTAGCACTTGAAGCACAGGAAACCACCCCCCCCACACTGGTCAGTGCGCTGGGATATCTCGGTGCCAGCTCGCAGTTCAAATACCTGTACTTCCTGACTGGTCGACACGACTTGCCGTTCTTCTACGACGAATCCGTCGAGCTCCAGCGATCGTTCCTGGATGCCTGTTTGAAAGGCGAGGACCGGGAGGGATGGCTGGTGCCTGGCAAGGTTGCGCCGGTGAATTTGTGTATCCGACGGGGAAACCCAGGTTATAGCAACCCCGAGGCGGAACGGAGGACGTTTCCTCGAAGGATGGAACAGGAGTGGCCATTGGCGAGGACCAGGTACACGGACTATCACCTGCACCCGGTTGGCACTCTAGGCCTCGACAAGCCGTCGAAGGGGGCCGTGGTGAAATGGGAAGCTCTAGACTCGACATCAAGTGTTCGTTTCAAGAAAAAGCCGGCCGAGAAGGAGATTGAGATCACAGGCCATCCATCGGTTCGGCTCTCAGTGTCAGCTAGTCCTCTCAATGGCTCAACACCCACCGAGATCGACTTGTTTGTCACTCTTCGACACTACGACGCTGCCAACCAAGAAATATTCTACACTGGCGCCACGGGAGATGCGGTGCCTGTGGTTCGAGGCTGGCTGCGAGTTTCGCTGAGGAAGACTGTCAGTAGCCCTGGCCCTCTCAGCGCAATCATGCCCGAAAGGGACTACTATTCCACCGACGTCCAGGAGGTGATTGCTGGTGAGGTCTACACCGTCGACGTCGAGATCTGGCCAACCAACGTGGTTCTCCTGCCGGGCGAGATGTTGGAGCTTCAGGTTTCCGGTACGGACAGTGAGAATGTCGGCATCTTTGGACACGATCATCCAGAGGACAGACCTTGGGAGAAGCTGCTGGGTTACAATGAGCTTCACATCGGTCCTCAGCATGAGAACTTCCTCAAGCTCCCGATCATCCCTGAGAAATAGGAGACACTACCTGTATATAATCTTCAGGTGAACAAGGTATATTCCTTAGTAGTAGGCCAAAGATACTAATGATTAGCGTGTTTATTCTGCCAAGGCCGGAAAAGGTCGAGGCCCTCAGCTAATAAATCGACTGTCCCACTTCAACTTCCCCAGGCGAGCAGCTGCCCAACCACGCCAACTTCTCCCTGCCACCTTCATCTCCCATTCCATCTCTTGCTCTCAGGTTATTTATCAACCCTCTCGCTCCCCTTCACCGTCTGCCTTCGTTTGGATTCCCTACTATTTGTCTTTCCCCCTGTCCTCTTCCTCTATTTCCTACCTTCCTCCCGTCTCCCCTTCCTCTGCCTTTTTTTCGCTACGACGTCCAGTCGTCGATGAGTTCGCGTTGTGGATTCCCATGTACACGATGCCCAAAGTCTTCGAGTGATTGCAGCTATCCGACGTATCGAACCCTACGGCTTGGGCCCCCTCCGGAGCTGGGCATTGACTGGAGCTGGTTACTGGTTCGACCTCACTTTGGTGGTTTGGAGCCGATGTCCTGCTGCGGAACCAACGCCACATCGGGCAAGAGGAAGGATACAACTGCAACTCTCACAAAATGTCGAGAATGCAGCAAGCCCCTCACCACATGGAGCCGCTGGCGTGCGGGATTTCTGCCTTTTCCTGCCTCAAGGGGTGGGCGGAGGAGATCTTCTGCGGCTGGTGGGAGGAGTACTCGCGGAGTGTCCGAGAAAGGCTCGGGCAGTTTGGCAGTGACGGATCGTACCTTCGGTCTCGTTGCGAAGAACCGTTGTAAGCCTTACAACGCCCGCCTCCGTGTGGAGCTTGCTTGCTTCTCCTTAGGTAATCCTGGAGTCGCAAATGGTCGTTGGCTAGGCTGGCAGATGTGGTTGTGCCGTCCTTCGCTCTCGGGCGTGAGGTCGGGAATTGCATTCACGGGTGCGCCCTTCGCACGCTGTGGGCCCAAGGGACAGGAGAGGCGTGCTGGTTGTTATAGGCTGACCAGCCGATGAGGCGGCCCCAAACAGGAAGGGCTTGTCCTGGCTCCTTACTGCAGGGTCCATCAGCTGGTCAGCCGGTGACGGCTTGACGGCGGTCGATGTGATCCTTTCTGGATCGCAGGTGATTGCCCAGCGAGTGTGTCTAGCGCCCAAGGCCTTGCCATACCCTTCCACGACGTATTGCTATAATGCGGTCTTTCGAACCGAAGAATACTGGCCAGCCTGGCTGAATTACCCGGTTGTCAAGGAATCCCCTGGAACCGCGGGACACCAAGGAAACCTGTTGTTAGGCGCCCGTTCGCCGAGAAAAGGAACCTCCTGGAACCACGAAGGTGTGAGAAAACGATTCGCTCGCTCTTGAACCCGAAAAGCAGCAAGAACAGATGACTCAAATGCTTTCTTCCTTTGTACAGCACCTCCTCTGGGCGGTTTCCCCAGAAGGAGGACAAATGCTGGCTTGGGCTCAATAAAGGAACGCAGTGTATCTCTGTTCTCAAAACCGTCTGCAAGAGGCGACGAGCTTTTCGTCAATCACAACCTCAAAGAATCATTTGGAAACTCGACCCACTCGTCTTGACGAAGGCCTGTGGGAGATGACCTCTGCTGTCGAATTGCGGCGCAGGAAGCTGTCCAGAGTGCAACAGGCACCTGGATTTTCTGCCTTCTGACACAGAAGGTGCAGAGGTCATGAATACATCCCTTGTGCCATGAGCCTGATCAGCCATGGACTCGGGCATGCCAAAGAGGCGTGAGAGCTATATCCTCTATGCTTGCAACCTGGAGCTGTGACCCTACGATGAGAGAGCACGTAGAGGCTAAGAAAAAGCCCGCGGGGTCAGCAAGAAGAAAGGAGTGAAGAGCGAGAAGCTATCCTCTGTGCTTGCGGCCTGGAGCTATTACCCTACGATGAGAGAGCACGTAGAGGCTGAGAAAAAGCCCACGGGGTTAGCGAGAAGAAAAAAGAGTGATCCAGTCTCGAAACGTCGGGAAAGAAAACATGGGCGGATATCCAATCCTCACTTTGAAATTGGACCACGACCGTCATGAAAATCCACAATACTTTGAAACAATACACGGATATCAGGCCCACGGAAAAAGGCTTGCTATCATTCCATTACCACATTTGCTGGGGGTTCATCGAGCGCGGCCGAGTTCAAGATCCTTCAAAACACAAACTGGTCCCATCGCACCATACCGGCGTTATGGTCCAAAATTCACGTTCGATCTCGGGGGCAATTTTCCGAAGAGGGCGGTCACTGGCGGCAGCGTACCATTCTGAGGGGCACTTTTCCAAATCGAGATCTCAACATCTCAATACCCTCGACCGGGTGACCAGTGCGAGGGTCATTCAAAACGCAAGATTCAACTCTTATATGCGTGCGTGCGTGTGACTGTGGGAGAAAAAGCAATGGACAAGCCAAACCAACCAACCAAACACCGACACCAGCATTCCCCCCTTTTGCTCTGTGCCGTGTTGTTTGGGATGGCTGTGTTCCAAATGTCCAATGTCCACTGAATTGGAGCAGGCAGGGAACGGACCGCCAGACAGACAGATTTAGGCCGATTCCTGATTCTCGTCTGGCTGAGCTGGCTTGTTTCTCTATCATTCGTTCATTCATTCATTCACATTACCTTTTTCATCATGGCTACTTGCCTTGAGGCAAGTCCATGGGGAAGAAGAAGATGGGCCGTATTCCATAGTCAATCTGCGCGAGGATGCCGTGATTGTTTCTCGTTCTGGGTGCAAGCGTATGAAAATCCATAACTGCGGCACTGATGATGGCACGATGGCACGATGGCACGAGGACCACTGGATGCTGGTCAGAGATGCCGACACTGCTTTTGATTCTGCTGCTCCAAACTATCTGAGGGTGAGGACGTCCGTCACAAATTGACCATCTCACAAAGATTGGCTTGCCCCCTTCACTCCTTTTTCAGGTTATACTATGCATCAATACCATCCATACATTGACAAATGTCACACGACTTTTCTATGCCTTGGAACAACAGACCAACCGATCCTTTTATTTCTATATGTTGCCTTCGAGCCAGTAACACGCCGTTATGCAAAGGCTCCTTACTTGTTCCGCTCACTCCGCTTTCTAATGAGAGTCAAGGTCTTCGGCATGCATCGTCGCCTCCACCAGCCCTTGACCCGATCCAGCATGTTTCGGTGCTTGCACGGAAAATTCGACGTTGGAACTGTATCGCCCAGGTCCGGATGTGGATACTCGAATGACTGCTGTGTCTTCATATGGTATGAATTGCAGAGCCTCAGTGTACTGGTCTCATGCTGGGTAGAGCTATGTCGCGTTCCTAGCAACCCGGACGACTTCGTGAAACCACTCCGCAAGCTGTGCAGGTCAAACTTCTTTCTAGTAGTTGTTGGCTGTTTCTGCGCCAAGGCGGTCGTGCTATCGTCGGAAAAGAAGCTTTGAACTTCACGAAGAGGCGGCCTAGACAGTGTCTGAGATTGATCTGGAAACCGAAGACTGAGGTTCAGCTCTGAAGATGTGAGCGGCGGTCCCAATTCTGGAGGAGCCAGTTGGGGGATCGACCCTAAGCGTGGGATCTGAGAACTGCACCGTGTACTGTTCAAAGGTTCGATGACGCTAGTATTGCTTCGGCGTGAATGGACAGTCCTGACTGATGCTTTTCGAACCATTTCCAAGCTTTTCTTGACAGGCTCAGGCATCGCAGCTAGCATACTGGTCCATCTCCTTGGCATCGACGTAGGCGCAAGAACACTCACTTCAGATATCGTTGTCGGTGGCAGTGCTGTCACTGAATCCGCGCTCAACTCGGCATATCCAGGGGCAGGCGCGGTTTCGCTCATCTTTTCAGGCCAATCTTCAGTTGTCCATTCTTCCTCTCGATCGCCGTCATCCAGCAACTGCCCGGTTTGTTCAGGGACACCCAGCTGCCTCACGCTCTGTGACTTTCTCTTACTCTTCATCAGTATTCGCGCTCGCCGTCGCTGATGCGACTCTTGTCTGGCCAGCATGTCACTTTTGGATCTGCGATGAGCATGCGTGCCTCCCCTGCTCGGCAAGCCGTTAACTGTCCCCGGGCTTAGACTCAGCTCTGAAAATCTCCTGACCTTGAATCTGGTTTTTGACGGATGGGAGTCAATGTCGGCCATATCACCCGATGTCAAAGAGCACTTGGCGATAGATCGATTAGACTTGGTTGACTCTGAAGCTAGGAGTCCACTGGTCGACTGGAGCGTCTGCCAGCCAGACGAATTCCCCCGATTCCTTGAGCTAGAGGACGACAAGACAGACGTGGAGTTGACTTGACAGTCCTGCAGAATGGCTCCAGGTGGGAGTCTGGCATCCATACTGGCAAATAGACGACGTGGTACAAGTTGGCGCCTCTCAGAACTTGTGAGGCTGGAGTGCCGTATAGTCGAGCTCGAGGTTGTTGGCCTCAAGTTCCATGGCGACAGAATCCGCGGCATACTGGACGGTGCTCTAATGGTACTCTCTCCGCTGCTGTCGGGTGCCGCAACTGAATGCTGGCAAGGGCTGTCTGATTGGGAACGTCCATCTTCGCCCTCAGTCCCATCATCGTTCAGGCCCAAGCATTCAATATGTCCATCGAGAAGTGACTCGATAGTTGATATTTCATGGATGGTAATCTGGCTGGCATCTCCGGTGACATTTGGGACAGCTTGTTCACTAGCCGCATTCTCCCACGGGTCTTGCTGCTCGGCAACATCGAGCTTTGATCCATCCTGTAGTTGCGGTGACAGAACCCTTTCGAGCGACTGCAAATCCGGATGTTCTTCCACGGCGTCAAGCCGAGAGAAGGTCTGAACGTGATGAGGTGCATCTCCCCGGTCGGTGACATAGTTGTCAGGTATTTCGAGGATACGGCTAAATCGTTTCCTACTCTGTGAGGACATTGGGCGTTCAGGCATTGGCGACAATATCTCGGGGCGCTCTTTCGAACCAATGCCGCCAGATGTCTTTGGTCGTTCCTTTAACTCAGGCGAGTAGGAACCGAAGGAAAGTGGTCTAAAACTGAACGACGGCAATTCCCAATGAGAACGGGCGCGTTGGATGTCACTGAATGCTGTTTGGGGGTTGCCATCACACTTTCGATCTCCGTATTCCATCAGCCCAGAGATGGAAGGCTTGTGGTCGAAGACAGGGGAGTGCACTCGGGCTGCAAGAGTTGTCAGGTCGCGTGGGCTCCGAGTGGCGTTTGGGAAGAATGCACTCGAGTGATCTGAGGCGCATGTTCGACGTGAGGCGGTTGATGCTCGAGGATTGTCCTTTTCGTCTTTGGACCGTCCATCGAGGTAGTCCTGATCGGCAGGAGGAAGCCTTTCGGTCACCTAGTGGTCATTCTGTCAGCACAATAACGACAACGTAACGCAGGATATCTTTGACAAGGTCAAAAGCATTGGAGTTTCTGACCATTTTAGTGACAGAGGCAGATCTCACAGATGGCGCAGTGGTGGCTCCGAGACTTGACTTTCGGGGTGGAATATTTCCGGCGTAACTGTATTTAGATTGCTTTGACTGCTCGCTGGGCTGACGATTGTGTACGGTTGGTAGCTCCAATGGGTGAAAGGCTGAACCTGGGACCGTGCCGAAAGGAGATTGAGCCTGACGCCGTTCGGGGGCGGGGAGGTTGCCTAGGATTGTCTGGTCCATGTTGAAGGGAAGATTGGCTACAGAAGGGTCATTCGGGGGTGAGAAGCAATCCTCCTCGAGAAATGATTCGGAATAATCATAGTAGTGAGGTGCTGTAGACCCAGTCGGAGACTGTGGCAGACCCCGAGATGAGGCAGCACTGTGATTCCAGACCGGCCGGAAACTCTGGAGAGAATTGGACATGGGGGTAGTCGTTCTTGGGTGCGGATAAGCGTTGACGGGGAATCCGTTCAAGGACGAGACCGCTGGCGATGGTAGCCGGACGAAGGAGGACATGGAGTTGTTCAGCTCAGGTGGGTATACAGGTGGACCTGGACGCAAATGGTGCGTAGAGACAGGGGAAGAAGCAACCGTCCCGACACTTCCCACTCTTGGATAGCCATGTCTTGCACCATATCTGTACGGATATGCCTCACTTAAGGCCGGGGACGAAGCTCGATATCCAGGCCGGCGTCTGTGACCGGAAACGATCATAGGAGAGCTCGAATGGAGGCTGTGGAAGTCGCGGTGGCTGCGGAGAGTGATCAGCGACCTGTGCGAGTGGAGCGGATGCGCAGGGACCCTGGGGCCGGCGACATGGGAGGATCGATGACGAGGACCGGCTCTCTTGGGGCGAAACCCTGAGCGAAGGGATGTCTGTGTAGAGTGGATGGTCTCTCGCCCTGATAAGGCCGAAGACGATGGGACTGGCCGTGGTCCGTGGTGGCGGTGGGAGCGTCGTCGCGGGAGTCGTTGGTGCTCGAGCTGAGGGTTGAATGAGGTGTCAAAGGAACCAGCACGACGTTTGGAGGACTGAGGCCGGGAACCAGAACGAGGAATGCGTGGAGGACGAACTGCGAATGGGCCACTGTCTCCCAACTCGGTCGTGTTTCTCAACATGCTCTGCACGGCACTGGAGGTAAGTGAGGTCGTGGACGTCCCCGGCGCCGTCTCATCCTGTTTGGCACCATTCTGGGGGCCATCTTTTTGGATGTTGGGGCTGATCTCTTCAAGCGGCATGGCGAGCCACTGTGTTGGGCGCCCCAAGGAGCTTTATGTGGGAAAAAGGATAAATGAAGCCAGAGAGGGTCTTGTGAGCAGGAAGTGAGACGGGCGGACAGACGAGAGAAGAGGACATTCAGCACATCGAGCAGACTGTGATGCTGAGAAAGAGTGTCATGACGATGTGAATCCAGAAGAGAAAATCTGACTGATGAGAAAGAGAAGATGGAGGTGCCAGAAGCAGAATGTGTGTGCTTGTGGGAAGGTGCAAGTTGAGGCTGCCGTGAGGTTTGGGAAGGAACGCCCCGAACGCGTTCGAACGTCTTCAACGACGTGGCACATTGGAACAGATGGAAGAGCCTCAATCCACCATCTTACTTCCCCCGTGTCAGAATCTTCAGCTCATTTCTTTCATCATTGACTCGAACACCATGTAATCTGTCCCTTCAGGTCGGCATCATGCTAATCTTTCCTGCTCCTCCACCGCGGTTACGGTTGGAGGAGGCCTCTTTGCTGTTGTTATACACATATTCCTGCATGCCTGAATTGCTGGTGCTAGACCGAGCACTGACGCTACTCTTAGCCTTCTTTGTAATACCGCCACTGCCTCTCTTTCCTTTCGTGGCCGTCGTTCTTCCTCGAGAGCTCCCGCCACCACGCTGCTGAGAGCCACGTGAAGTACGGTGACTCCAAGGAACTGATTTAGGTCGAGAAATGCGCTTTTTCGGTGCAGTCTTCGGAGCTCGAGTTGCGAATGCCGATGCTTGGGATACTGTTGTGTGTCAGTAGTTCGAAGGCTTCCTCTTAACACCACAGAACTTACGCTTCTCGTTGAACTGGCTGACATCGTCGGCCACACTAAAGTAGTGACTGCTCTCGGTTTCGTCGAGTTCTTCGTCGCTTTCATCCACTCGGTCGCCATCCTCGTCGTCGCTGATTTCCACAATTGATCGGTCGTGAGGTGCGCCGACATCTTCTCCTGTTGCCTCTTTCATCGCCTTGTAGTCGTTATATGCGCTTTTGACCAGTCGCAGCAAAACAGGCCCAAACATTTGAAACTTTTCTTCATTCATTCTGCAGATGTCGCGGAGCGCATTCTCATCTCGTGGAAAGTGAGTGGCGATTTCCCGAAGTATAAGATCAGATATCGACGCCTGCCGTAAGCCTTTCGCGATCTGAATGCGCTTGATCTCTTTTTTGGCATTGTCGACAAAGTCATCCAGGATATGTTGGTGAATCTCGTCAAGTCCTTCCGTTCTGTCGTCCGTAGTAATTGGAGGTCCAACTCTTCTGTTGGGCCGGCGTCCGCTAATAGCGGGCATCGAATCAAAATAGAAGCCATCATCATCTTCTTCTTCCACTTCGTCGGAATCCTCGTCAAACTGCGCACGAGGAGGGATCCTGCGAGACCTAGGCTGCAGCGGCGAGGAAACGTTGGTGGACGCAGGATAATCGTCAGCAGCGGCTTTGGCTCCAGCCCTTTGTGTTTTCTTCTTGGCCTTCGAAGCCCCTGCCTTGGATTTCGTTTTATCTTTCGGCGAGATCAAGATTTGCATGCTCAATGCTCCTCGGCCGGCCTCGAATTCCGGGGCTCTGGGACCCGTCTTCACATATTGCGTAGCAAAGCCAGCAGTGTTGACCTTATTATATTCCACCAAAGCATCCTCACTAATGAGCCGGTAGAATAATCGCTCCACATCCCCCCGGGCTAAGTCTGCTCCCATCCCGTATTCGCGGAGTCTGTTGTGGCTGAGCTCAGAAATCTTCTTGGTTTTGCCGCCACGATAGACGTCGACACAGTGCAACAGCGTAACTTGCTCGCGAGACACTTGCTGGACGATACGGATTGCATTCTTGGCATGCTCTGAAAAGTCTTGCGTCTCGAAGGTGCTGGTTGAGTTGCAATTGTCACAGGTGTTGTTACAATCCTCTCGCTTGAAGTGTTCGTTGAAATATCCGAGCACTTGCTGTCTGCGACAGTCGCTGCGATTCTCGCAGAACTGTACGACATTGCGCAAAAGGTGTTTCTGCCTCTCTTTTTGCTGCCAGTCGCCGTCACCTTTATCAATCATTCGCTTTATGGAGGTCGTGTCTCCATAGCCGTAGTAGAGATAGCACCCAGCTCTGCCACCATCCCGTCCAGCTCGACCTGTCTCCTGGTAGTAACCTTCGAGGCTCTTGGGAATGGTATGGTGAATTACAAATCGGACATCCGGTTTGTCGATACCCATGCCGAACGCAATCGTGGCAACGATAACTTTGTATTTCCCGGCCTGCCATTCTTTCTGGATATGGATCCGTTCTGGAGGTTCGAGTCCAGCATGGTAGTGTCGGGCTTGGATATCATATTCTTCTTGGAGTTGCTTCGCAACATCTTCACAAGCTTTGCGTGACAGGCAATAGATGATTCCAGCTTGTCCCTTGTAAGACTCCTGTATGAGACCAGCGATACTTGCAAGAACCGCTTGCTTGCCGCCCTTAGGTCTCACCTCGTACGTGAGATTAGGCCTGTTGAAGCTCTGAGTAAAAACCTCAGCTCCATCCATACCGAGATTATGCATACAGTCCACTTTCACGTTTTCAGTTGCAGTTGCAGTCAAGGCCATCACTGGCACATTCATGAAACGTCGGCGAACCTCACCCACTGCTTTGTAGTCGGGACGAAAATCGTGTCCCCACTGGCTGACACAGTGTGCCTCGTCAATCACAATACGTGCAAGGAGTCGCCTCTTGTTCAAGTCCAGAAAGGCCTTGAAGAATGTCTCACTCTTGTTGAGCATCTCGGGTGTGACGTACAGAAGCTGAACAAACTTCTCCGGCTCGCTAGATCGTAGCGCTTGAAGGATGTAATTTCGATGTTCCTGCGAAGTCTGCCCATTGACGAGCACAGCCTGTACGTGCAATTTTTGCAGATGATCCACCTGATCTTGCATCAGACTGAGCAAGGGAGAGACGACAATGGTTACGCCTGCTGTCCGCCCGCTCTGAACTACAGCTGGCAACTGATAGCAAAGAGACTTGCCTCCTCCAGTAGGCATCAGCACAAAGGCGTCCTTGCCGCTCAAGGTCGCATTGATGGCTTCCAATTGGTTGTGGCGGAACTCTTGAAGATGAAACTTCTTCCTCAGAGTCGAAAACACTTCTTTCGACCATGGATGTTGCATCAGAGCTGCAGGAGGAGGACGAGGTGTGGATGATGTTGTGGCAGGTTTGGGGGGCGATTTCCTGCGAATGTTGTCGCTCACTTCACGCAGAACAGAGCGCTCACCGCGATCAGGAGACGTAGCTGTTATGAACGGTAGGTTCTGTTCATACTGTTCTACAGCCTTGTACATTTCTTCGTCATCTAGACCCTCCTCAAAATCTTCATCATCGAACGAAAAGTCACGAGCTGGGCTACCCATTGTTCTTGAAAAGTCGCCCACGGTAGCCTTCGCACTCACACTGGCGAGCACGCGACTCGGATCCGACGTGTCAAAGGCATGAGGGGTGGAATGCTTGATCTTTGGGAACTCCGACACTTGGGATCTCTTGGGAGATTCACGATAGGGAGAAGGAGTGCGATTTGACGACTTGATGGCCATGTCGGTTGCATCCTCTCGGTAGAAGGATGGAGTTTGGCGGATCGATTGAGTTGAGAGGTGAGAGAGACCTTGTGGAGTTTCACTTTTCGCATTCTTGGACGTAGATTGAGGCGGCTTTTGTGTAGAGGCGACCAGGACCTTTTGATTTGATAGCTTTGGACCTGGGGACAACAAAGAATCCCGGTCTATTTTTTCATGGTCCCTCATGCCATTGGATGTCGACACTCCCACGTGTTCCAGAAGGGAGAAGACTGTAAGTTCTCGGGCGTCGATCTCACGCTTCGCTTTGAAAATCTTCTGGCATAACAGTGTCAAAACATCTTCGGGGTCGTCGGGCTCAATAACATGGCCCGCTTTATAGAGTTTGTCTTTCTGGATGACCATTTGCTCCCGCTGGTTTCGAAGTTTGAAGAGAGTGGTAGATTCGTCCTGAAGCCGCGTCGCTGCAATGATCTTGTTTGCTATTGCCTTCTGCCGTTCCTTTAATTGGCTAGAAGCAGCGCCATGTTCGCACATTTCCTCCAGAATTTGTCTGACCACGACTTTCTTCGAGTCCTCTAGCCGTTGCACGAGGCTCTGTAGCTGGTCTTTACCGTTCATCACGAAGCTATCAACCAGTTTTTTCTGTTCCAACGTCAAGTTACCGGTGATGCTTAGAGTCGGAGTGCCGTTGTTGAAGATTACGTCTGGATTCGATGTCCTCTGGGGCGTCAACGTCGACTTTGCTCGAACGGAATCCGCGGGTCCAGGCGATTCACGGACCGATAATAGCTGAGATCGAGCCGGAGAGCGGAAAACTCTCTCTGCATCTTCCTCCTTTGCCGCCAAACCATCTGGGCCTAGACCATGTCCTTCCTTGAGATATGCTCGGCTGAAAGCATCGGATTCGAGCTTCTGAGCAGGAGGTGGATCCTCATCGTCGTCGGAATCAGGAACCACGTTTTGCGACCGCTGCGTTCGAGTTTGTAGAGGACGCGTTGAAGCTTGCGGCTGATGAGTGTTTTCCGTTACTTTTCTTTGATAATTTGGGCCTCCCTCAATCGCGTCAGCTCCACGATCTAAGAATGTGTCTAGCTCAGCAGTGGCGACCCTGGGCCGTGTTGTTGTTTGCGTCAGGCTAATTTCTTCCTCAATTGTTTTCTCAGTGACGCTGGTCTGGCTGCCGCGGGTCGGAGAAGCTATCGTCGTTGCGCGTTGCTGCACCACCTTCGTCGACTTCCGACTTGACCGCGGAGATAGCAGATCCGATTCATATTCATCGCTTTTCCTCTTCTTCCCTTTCTTCTTTGGCGTTGGTCCTACACGACAAGCCGACCTTTCATTCCATAGCTGGGTTGGGGGACCAAATTCGCCGAAGGATGAAGTAGTAACGTCCCCAGTGAGGTCAATTTCGTCGATATCGAGGACGTCGATAGAATCATCAAATTTGATGTCATCAAAGCTCGTTACGGGCGTACGCGGCTTGGGACTTTGGCGGTATACGGAAGGCGTTCCCTGTTTCTTGGATAGATTCGATTGCGGCTTGCTGTCAACGGACGGTCGAGAGGGAGTGGGCGTGGGAAGAGGATTCGGGTCGCGTTGCAATTGCGTATGCAGTTTCGGTCGGGGAGGTATCTGTGGTGCCAGCTGCAATCTTGCCATCTCCTCGTTGGCGTCTGCTGCTTCCGACTCATCGTAGGATATACTGGCCGTATCAGCAATAACAGATATGTGCCCCAAAGATCCAAAAGAGTGTGGGTGCTGCAGAAGCCATGAGAGAGAGCTGTTGAGATTATTCTTTGTCATAGGTCCGTCTCATCTTGTTGTATCTCAGAACAGTTCTGCAGATACAGTGGTTGAATAGCGGTTGTGTGTGGGAGCATTGTTCGCCTGCGCCAGTCGAGTTCGAGAGGATGCCAAAGCCCCCGCCAACGACGCGTCGAAGGTGCCACGCGACGGGACTAGATGACCAAGCTGCCAAGGAACACCAGAGCACGTGACCAAAGTTTGGCTGGTTTCGAGGTCCTCTCGACCATTAGGGAGAGCGGCTGGCATGTCCACCAAAATCTACATAAAGAGCCAACTAATACTCGTACACATGCGTCATTTGCGGTAACCTTTGAGAGACCATTTCCTCGCAAGCGCCAACATGGCCAAGGGTAAGAAAGCCAAATCGGCGGAACAAAAAGCCCGCACGGCAGCAAAGCAGTCAAGGAAAGCCGCCAAAGGCGAGAAAAAGAAAAGTGCCAAAACAGCCGCTTTGAATGCCGACTCGGATGGCGACGATGACGGTGATCTTGACGCCATGCTCGCGGCCTACGCCGAAGAGCAGGCCAAGTACCTCAAGGTCACAGAGCAAGCCTGCGGCCCACCAGGTCCCAGGTCGTCCAGCACAATAGTTGCGTCGCCGTCCAACAGGAACGAGTTGTTCATCTTTGGCGGCGAGTATCATGACGGGAGCACCGCCTCCTTTTACAATGACCTATTTGTATACCTCATCGATAAAGGTGAGTGGCACCAGATAGTCTCAGGAAACAGCCCCCTGCCCCGAAGCGGACATGCAGCCTGTCGAGGCGGCAACACCGGTGGGATATACGTCTCGGGAGGTGAATTTTCCTCGCCCAAACAGAACCAATTCTACCACTATCACGACTTCTGGCATTTGGACACTGAAACAAGGGAATGGACCAAGCTCGAACCGAGGGGAAAGGGCAAAAGCCCACCCGCTAGAAGCGGTCATCGAATGACATACTTCAAGAACTATATCGTTCTTTTCGGTGGCTTTCAAGACACCTCGCAACAAACAAAGTATCTGAATGACACGTGGATCTACGACTGCAAGGAGAACATATGGCATGAAATGAAACTAGCGCCAGCAGCTCAGAGACCTGACCCTCGCTCGTCGTTCAGTTTTCTGCCCCACGAATCCGGTGCTGTCTTGTACGGAGGCTACTCTCGTGTAAAGACAACCACTGGCTCTGGAGGAGGCGGAGGAAAACAAGCCGGTGGTAAAGGCAGTGGGAGCGGCTCAGGCCCGGTGCGAAACATTCTCAAGCCGCTCGTGCACCAAGACACCTGGTTCCTCCGCATCACCCTTCCCAGCTCGGAAGCCGCAAGCGGTACGCCTCCGTCACTCCGCTGGGAACGGCGGAAGCGGCCGGCCAACTCCCCCAACCCACCCCGAGCAGGTGTAACGATGGCGTTCCACAAAGGACGCGGAATCTTGTTTGGAGGCGTGCACGACGTCGAAGACAGCGAGGAAGGCATTGACAGCGAGTTTTTCGACCAGCTGTTCATCTGGAACATCGATCGGAATCGATTTTTCCCGCTGTCTCTGAGAAGACCAAAGGCTGGGGGCGCCAAGAAGCAACTCCAAAATGCAGCAGCTCGGGGAGGAGGTCGTGATCGGGGCAAAGCGGATGAGGAAGAACTATTGCGCAACCTGGCGGCTCTGGAGACGAAGGGCTCAATATCAGCCGCCGAGGAGATCACGCTCGATATCAAGGACAAGGAAGAAGAGCCGGAGCCAACCGAGCCACCAAAACGGGTCTATCCCGTTCGGTTCGAAATGCCCCATCCTCGCTTCAACGCGCAGCTCGCCGTGCAGGACGACACACTGTACATCTTCGGAGGGACGTTGGAGAAGAAAGACGTGGAAATCACGTTTTCAGACCTCTACGCCGTGGATTTGGGGAAGCTCGAGGGCGTCAAAGAACTGTACTACGTTGAACCCGCCAACTGGAACGTAACCGTCCAAGAAAGCGACGAGGAGATGGAAGACGACGAAGAGGGTGACGACGAAGATGAAGATGACGAGGATGAGGAAATGGACTCTGACGAAGAAGAAGACATCATGTCCATCGACTCGCGGCCCCCGGCGTCAACGGCTCCAACAACACCCCTTTCCCTGCCCACCACTGGGGTCGAGATCGAAACCGAGCCCGAAACCCTCGCCTCGCAAGACGACTCGCGGCCGTACCCACGGCCCTTCGAATCCCTCCGCGCCTTCTACGCCCGCACCTCTGAGGATTGGCAGCGCATGCTGATCGAGAAACAATCGTACGGCGGCGCCCGCCAAGCGGCCGAGCTGGCGGCCGAGCAGACGATCAAGGAATTGCGGAAAAAGGCGTTCGAGCAGGCCGAGGAGAGGTGGTGGGATTGTCGCGAGGAGGTCCGCAAATTGGAGGATGAGCAGGAAGAGGCCGGGATCGGGGAGATTGTCACGCTGGAAAGTCGGGCTGGGGCGGCTGAAGGGGGTGGTGTGGGTAGGAGACGGTAAAAGAAATGCACGATCAGTAGGATCAGTAGGTTGGATATTTGTGCAAGCCAGCCAACCGTGGAAAAAATCCCATTGATGAGAAACTACCTAGATTACTCGAGAACGAAAAACCTATTTGCCATTTACAGTTTGATCCCAGAGGGTGAGGGAAGGCCGCTTTACCCTGAGCTTTAACTGAGCCTTAACTGAGCCTTCGGCTGAGCGTCACTGAGCACTCCTTGAGCACTCCCTGAGCAAAAACACCGGGACCTAATCTGGCCCCTTGCGATAGGATACGTGGTGAAACCGTACGTCGTAGTTTAATGACCGATCCTTAGCGCCTCGGGAATGCCTTAGCACTCTAAAAGTCATAGGGCGATGTAGGTAAAGGCTTTTAGTGCCTTGGTGCTGAAAGGCCCATTTACCTCTCACGTCTATCTCTTTCGTACTTCGTACAAACCACATAGACTTTAGAATACCACATTATCTCCTCGGGAGGTAGGCCACAATCGTACACCTACTCTCACAGCGAGCGAGTTGCATGTCACGTGGACTATCACTGCTCTGTCACGTGGACTATCACTGCTCTGTCACGTGATAGCCGCCTCGGCTTACCTACCTACCTGGTACCCAAGCGTCCAAGTCAGTCAAACTCTCCCACCGAAGCAGCTCGTCTTGTGTGTCTGTTCGCCTGCTCCCTCGTCCTCACCCACAAGCTGGACTACTGATACCTGGAGTGGTTTGACCATACCTCGTAGTCTCGACAGTCATGCCACCAAAGTCTAAGCTTCATTTCTTTGCGGTTCGACTCCCGAACGTGACCATTTGGGACCGAACGCGCGTTGGCCACACAGTACGATTCTCCTAGCTCGGTATTAACAAAGCCATGTGGCATTCGGACCGAACGACCCACCCGTCTAATTGTTCTGCTTCAATGGGAAGACAGTCAATGCTACCAATGTCGTCGATACTTATAGATCTGGGGTTCGCGTGTCCGCGTGGGGGCCCCAAGTTTTTGCTCCAGGTAGGGGTCTAATCTATCAATTTGAGTCAGCACCTTGATCGTCACCATGGCGTCAGACACCACACCACAGCTGGCTGCTCCCAAGTTAGCGATCGGGTCTTTTCACAGAGGAGAAGTCGGAAAGGAACAACTCGACCCTCACATTTATGACGATCACGGAGATCCTCACCGCGCAGCCCTCGAAGACGCCCAGGCAGACGCCCAAGTCAGCAAATCGACATGGGCCGCGGTCTTCTTCCTGGCCTTCACCCTGCAATCCTCCCTTAGCTTTGCTCTGCTCACGGTGTTCCCGGTCCTTGTGCCGATCGCTTTGGAGTTGCAACACAGCACCAAGAACGTCAACTGGATGGCTTCAGGATGGTCTCTCGCGGCCAGTATCTCCATCACCATAGCCGGCCAACTCAGCGACTATTTCGGCCGTCGGTACGTCCTGTTGTTTGGTCAAGGTCTCCTGATACTCGGTCACGTTGTCGGTGCCACCGCGCAGAGCGTCAGTCAAGGTATTGCGGCAATGGTCATATTAGGCTGTGGCACGGGCACATCTTTTGTGTGAGTGAATCTCTGCTCCTTCTAGGATTACACAACATGAGCAGACTTTTGACTGATCATACATGAGACGTCTAGTTTTGCCGCAGGCATCTCAGAAATCCTGCCTAACAAATATCGATCGGTTGGCATGGCTACCACCGAGGCCAACCTTCTGCCATTCAGTACCTTTGGACCCCTGATTGCCCGCTCCCTCGTGGTAAATGCTACATGGCGCTGGATATTCTATCTGGGCATCATTACTGGAGTCATTGCACTCGTAGGCACGGCAATCTTTTACAACCCTCCCTCTCACCCCTTTCGAGACCGGACTAGACGTCAAGTCCTCGCTGAATTGGACTATCTTGGAATCTTTCTCTACACCGCCGGCATCACTCTCTTTCTGATGGGTCTCGAATGGGCTGGTAACCAACATCCTTGGCACAGCGCGGCTGTGATAGCGCCCGTTGTCCTAGGCGCTTGTCTGTTTATCGGCGCGTTTGTTTGGGATTTCAGTGGCCGCCCGCAACGACCCATCTTCCCATGGCGCCTCTTTAGGATGTGGCGCGAGTATCTCTCTTTGCTCGTCATCATTTTTGTGACCGGGTTGGTCTACATTTCCACCACGGCCCTGATTCCACAGCAGATCAACGATATGTTCACCAGTGATTCCATCAAAGCCGGCTACTACAACATTCCGGCCGGCTTCGGCGCCTCCATCGGTGGTACCATCCTCGGAGGCTTGATATACAAGATCCGACACGTCCACTGGCAGCTGTGTGTTGGTATCGCAGTCCAGACACTGTTTATCGCACTCTTTGCCCTGATCACCCCGGACCGAATCGCCATGGCTCTCGTCTTCCAATGCATGGCCAATATCCCCTTTGGCTGGATCCTTCTCTGCTGCTACACCACAGCTGGCCTGCACGTGCCTCAGAGGGACATTGGCCTGGCATTCGGGTTGATAGGCTGCTTCCGGTTCCTCGGAGGCGCCGTGGGGACGACGGTGTTCAGCACAATCCTCAGCAACCGAGCGGCCACCACCATCCCAGCACGGGTCGTCCCCGCCGTCCTCTCGCTCGGCTGGCCCGCCGCCAAGATCCCCGTCCTTCTTAAGGCCCTCCTGTCCGGCGCGCCGCCCTCGACCCTACAAGAACTCAAAGTGCCTCCAACGGTCATAGCGGCAGCGAGAAATGCCATTCGACACGGCTACAGCGACGCCTTCAAGTACGTGTGGTATGCGTCCATCCCGTTTGGCGTCATGGCCTGCATTTTTGCCCTGTTCGTCATCGACCCGTCCGCCTACTTTACGACCCATGTCGCCGTCAAACTGGAAAAGGAGAGGTTGGAGAGGCGAACGGTGACCGTGGATTACAGCAAGTCGCAAAGCCAGCATGTCGCCGTCGAGGAGCTCGAGAATGTCGCGAACAGGGCCTGAGATCGTAATGGCTTGCCTTCAGGTCGAATAGAATATCCTTCCATTTTCGTTCCATGTCGCACGTAGCACAAGCCAGGACTTGATTGGCAGATGCTCATCATTCATGGACTGGGTAGTTACTTTGACTTCTGCCGCGTTAATCGTATAGCTCTATCTGGTCGTGCTGGGGGCGGTGGAGGGTCCTGTAGCTGCACTGAGCGGCACATGAGCAATGGCAAATGGCTGTATTGAGGCAAAAAATCTTGGTTAAGCTCCAATCGGTAGTGCTATAGTCTTTACAAGTTATTGCGAATGGGGCCTCTAAACCCCGACTCAGCTCACACTGCTGAACAAATGAAACGTGCTACTGCCACAAGTCGCCGAATCCACGCCCTCCAGCCATCCCTCTGTAGGACTCGTTGAGCTCTGGCATAGAGAGAAGCTCAGCTCCCGGCACGCCAAACCAATTCATGTGAGACTGTTCGGACTCGATATCATAGGATTGATCGGACGGATGAAGCACTGGTTCCAGTCCGGGTTGTAAGTGGGCAGTTATCGAAAGGTCAATGTTCGTACCGGCGCCAGGAAGACCGGGCAGGCTCGTGGAAACAGAACTGGGAAGGCTGAAATTTCTGTCGTGGCGCTCGGCAGATGATGCAGCATCGTCACTGATACTGGAGCAGGAGAGGTGATTAAAATCATCACCGGCGTCTAAGCTTGAGTTTCTCTCCTGATGAAACGATGCCCGGTGCAGCTGCAGGTTTTTTGTAATGAAGTTGTGATGAGTACTGACGCCCAGCTTGTCTTTCTTCTTTCTGTCAAAGCCCAAAGGTGAAGGAGAGCGCGGACACTCTTCTTCACCCTCGACTGGAGTGGTAGGAAAGGGAATGAAGGGAATGCCGAGTAGTCTTGGGAGGCCTTGTTCTGCAGGAGGAGCGCTCGGAACGCTTTCGGTTGTCCTCGACCTGGGATGCTGCCGAATGGTGTGACGATAGGACCCATTCATGAGCGTCAGCAAGCCGGTTTTGCATATACGTTCGATGCTGGAGGTCCGATCTGGTAGCTCTGCTGGCAGTCGACCGATGAGGCTCTGCAGCGACGGTGAGGATTCGGTTGTGGAGTTCGAACCTCTTACTATGCGTTCACGCTACCAGCGAGAAGAAGGAAACATGTCAGCAAAGTCCGGCTAGAAGACCGCAATTGAGGTGCGAAAGTCAAGGCAAACTTACCAAAGGTGTCAGTATAGGCCAGTAGATTATGAGCTCGTCCAGGAGCAACAGTGCTACCTGCATATGCTGGCAATGTGCGTCGGCGACTGGCAGACTCGGAGACAGGGAATTGAGAGTAGAATGGACCAAGCCCACGGCAAAGGTACAGTAGCCAATGAAGGGTGGTATCCTTGTTACATCCGGTTTGGTGGCGAGAAAGTCCAGCAACATGAATGTGAACTGGGTCGCGGCCGTGAGAACGGTTCGTATGGACGTTTCGAGCATAGATAGGGGGACTGCATCGTCATTCTTCTCTCCTTGCTGTTGACATGAGAAGATCGGAATCAGAGATGCGTAGAGGAATATGAGGCACTGATAATATACAGCCTGCAGATAGAAAAAGCTGTATGAAAGATCGCGTTCGTCGGGAGAAGAGTCTGTCTCATCGACGACGGTGTTGATATATGTTGTTATGCGCTCTTGTAATTGGCGAATCTTACCGTCCGCTACCAACATGCTGCACAGATAGACTGGAGAATCTGCTTTTGGTTGGTCCTTGATCATTTCTTTGATCTCAGACCTGGGCAAGTGGCGAAAGGTAATGGATTAGCAATCTTTTGAAAGAGATCAAGGTTAAGGGAATAGGTTGTAAACTCACCATAGCGTAAGGGCGCGGATCACTAACGATGTCTTATTGCTCCGACAGCACTCTTCGGGCAAAGAATCTGACAGCCGCTCAGTAGCCAAGTTTCCAGGGATAAGATGACCTTCTGTCGCAGCCGCTCCCAGATCCTGATCATTCATAGGGAGGCAAAGATCACGGATCGAACGAATATTGTCGCGCGGGTGAAGTGGCAGATCCCGAATGCATTGCGTGATCCAGCAGGCCCAGAAGCATCTGCGAAGCAATTCTGATTTTCTGATTCTTTCCTGGTTGGAGATATATTTGGATGGCCGATTGAGACCCAGGAGTTGACAGGTTGTGTATGACAGTGCTATTGACATTGAGTGTTAGTACACCAGCCCAGCCGCGGCTTGGTACTCTCTGAGCACGGGAATACTCAACTGGAATGGACGCCACTGCGTTCTATGTCTCCCATAGCAAGCCAATACAAAGATAGATTTTCGCAAGTCTGAATGACCTCCAAGCATGGCCGATCGGATATCTGCAAAACCGTGATACCGGCTCTGTCTGCCCATGTTCTCCCTGTGGAATGGAGAGAGAAGAATGCTGGTAAGCCAGAGTCCCTGGTTATCCCATCGTTGGCGGATTTCTTGAAAAACCTGCGCACTTTGTCAATAAGTGGACGGGCTAGAAAGGAGGCGGACGAAGTGCCATCTCGTACAAAGAAGCTAGAGCAAAAATGCTGAGGTTGACATGTTCTTGCAGTTCGCCTGCTCGATATCTGGCAATCAAAGATTCCTGCTCAAAAAGCAAAACGGCATTATGGATGCGCGAGAAATAGACTTCAAACAAGAGCAGGCCAAGCTCTTTTGGAATATGTTGAAGAGGCGAGGCTAGATCGTCACGATTCCCACAGCTTTCGGAAGTACGAACACGTTTGCTTGGGGGCGGCTATCTCACCGGGGTCAGTGATGGAATAGTGCATGGATCTGGCATTACGGGGCAGCATCAAAATTGGTAGAGGGCATGGGAACTACCTCGATATCGTTCTGCTCCCGCCGCATGAAGGAAGGCGACGCCTGACTTGCTGCACCATCGTTTGGATAGTCTTCTGGAGTCGAGTCATGATTGGCATCACGAGAGCCACGGCCGTCGTCAGCCCCCAGTGCTCGGAATGAGGCGAGAAACCGTCGATCGGGAGGTAGAGGGTAGTCGCATCTTGCACCTTGCTTTATGCAACGGGCACAGTGTGGCTTTTGACGGGAGCAGCGAAGCTAGATGACGGAAATACATCAAGTCGTCAGCATTCAAATGGCCGAGCCCACGCGAAGGTGAACTGAACCTGCTCCCGGAGTTGAGGTTGACGTACCTTCTGGCGACGGCATCGTTGGCAAGCGGTAGGGGATTTTGGAAAGTGAGGATCTTGGTCATCTGCCTGTGTCATCGGTGCGGATCTGGAACGTCCGGGAATATTGGTTCAGGATCAGGACGATGTGGTGTGCCTTCGTGGGCGATGTCGATAAAGGTCAGTCGAAAACGCACGAAGATCGCTGACAAGGAGAAGGTGGAGGGACATCGAGGGATCGAAGCGTGGAGGGAAAGTCCGGGGGAGCCTTGGGCGCACCTGGCCTTGAGACCTGGTGAGCTGGCTTGCTACAGTATGGAGCATCTTCTTGACCCGAAGATTCCGTGCAGGTTGTACAACTGCGGGTCCGAGGCCCAGCAGCGGCTGCCCTGGTCCTATCATACTAATAGGGGCGTCCTGATACGGGGTCCCAGCAAAACCTAATTAATACAGCTTGGAGAACCTGGGCAAGGCTATAGACCTAGGGAGTGCTCGGTGACTCTCAGCTAATGACATACATAGCAATTAGGTTTTTCGTTCTCGAGTAATCAAGGGAGCATCCTGTACCACACTCAGCGGATGAAGACTAGGTCCAGCAGCAATGACCTGCGTCTCAACATCGATAGAGTAAGACTATTTAATAACAGAAAAATTTATGGTCATTCGTTTCAGTCCTCGGATTTCGCCCATTTTTCCAGGAAGTATTTGTAGTATAACAATCTCTTAGTGACTCTTGAAGTTCGCCGTGCTGGGATGATCAGACGACAGCCCCGACAATTCCTCACCCAGTATCTGGCCTTGGACCCGGACCGGTAACGCTTCGAGGAGAACAAAGGCCACCCTAACCCAGTTTTCCTTGCTCGGATTGTACCAGCTGTGTTTGGTGGCTCGTTGAACCACCACATCTCCGGGGCGCATCAACTGCGTCTCTCCAGAATCCAAAATCAATTCCGCTTCTCCGAAGATGACGATACCGTAGTCGACGGACTCGGTGCGGTGCATGGGGGCCCGGCCCCGGGGCTCCATGTCGACGATTCTGCACACCGAACCACCACGGATCGAGAGGGGCAGCTATGTTACAGATCTCCGAGTCAATCACCTGTGACTGTCTCGTGCAGTGTGAAGTACTCACGTCTTGGTTTGCTTCGTTCACACGGATGTCCTCGTCGTTCTCGAGGTCTATCGGTGTCTTTACCGTGCTGTAGACGGTGTTGTACTGAGCAACAGCTCCCAGGACGGGCTTGAGATGACCTTGGTCGACGGTGTGGAAAACTGCTTGACCCGCGGCATTGTGAGAGGTTATCAGCCTTCTACTGACGGGAAGATTGTTGGGTATGGCTCGGTCTGTAGACATGGTTGGTGCAATATCGTAACAAAGCCTGAGAGGACTGCAAGATTGCTAATGCATCTATCCCAGAAAATGGCAGACAAACCATTCTCTGGAAACTGATGACTTATTGTTGTTCTCATCTTTGACGACACACCAGCTGACGAGCTAGCTACAGTGCCACTTCGTACTTACTTGGACTGCTGGCAGAGAATTGTCTTCAGCGTGAGGTTTAGAGTCGATTTCTCCTAGACTAAATGTTCGGACGGTCGGACCGAATGGAGCACCTGAGCCAGCACTCTCCAATGGCATGGTCTACCTCTAGGATAGTATTATGCTCCGCATGTACTATGCTCCGATATGTGCTATGTACTTCGTACGACGCTCCGTGCCCGGCCCGGCTAGACGCGAAAAAGTGGGACGCGGAGCACCAGACGCCAAAGTCTCTCTGGACTTGCTCGCTTGCTGCTCCGGCTTTAGGTGAAGGGCTCTGACTTGGTGATCTGAGACCGTATTACGGCTTGTTACGATTCTATCTGTCTCAATTCTATTGCATGAGCTGACCTTCGGGGCAAGTGTCTGTATGGCAAAAGGGGGTGACATTGTCACAGTTGGAAGCCATCACCAAAACACCTCAATGCCTTGAAGCGAATGCGGCGACTTTGATTCATTGAGTGTCTTCTCGTAAAGTAATTTCATCCATATTGGGCATCCTGACGACCCTCGTCGGCCCAATCTGTCCTTTCAACCAGCTATTCCTTCGTCATTTAGGTGACGTGCTCCAGGACAAACGGGATGAGGCCAGGTGTGAACACTTTCGTGGCTTCTCATTGCTCAAAATGTCCGGTTGTTTACGCTGTAGTGAGTCGGTTTCCCCTTCAATAACGTTTCCCATTCAGGCAAAGCCATGACTGGCTTGGCCCATTGATTCACGCCCTCGGGAATCAAGTCCTCGTGCTCCGTCTCCTGCAAACGAGCAACGAATACCGCCACGTGCGCGTCGAGAGCCGTGGGATGCTCTCCGCCGAAAAGCCACAGGCTCCCTTCAGTCGCATGCTGAACGCGAACTGCCTCGACCTTCTCAAGGTACTTCCTCGAGTCCTCGTTCGCTTGGCGGCAGGACTCGTCATCGACCTGAGGCTGCTGTTGGGACGTATCACTGTGAGAAAAAGATCAGCCATGGGCTCGGTGCAGGAATGACACACAGGCCATTCGGCGCAAAGGCATCCTGGACTGACTAGTTGTGTTTCCATTCCAGAGCATTTCTGTATTCTACCGAGATATCGGCGCGGGCCAGCCTTTCATCGATATATGAAGTGATGTTCTTTATATAGGCCTGGTGTCGCGGTTTGAAGAACGCCAGAGCCAGGAAACTGATCCCATGCAGCTCTTGGATCAATTTCCTGATCGTGGCGGCGTGTTGTGGAGGACACAGGCTTGGGTACAACTCAAAGAGATAGTATGTGATCTCCATGCTGTCCGCGATAGGTTCTGGGAGAACCGCTTTATTGACCAGAGCGGGGACCTGTTCGATCACCAGTCAATCATCTAATGTTTCTGGGATTTCCGAAGCGAGTGTCTCCCTACCTGGCCTCTGGGATTGACTTGACAGAGATAAAATTCCTGCAGTTGGCCCGAATTGTAGATGTCGATTTCGTGTTCTATAAATTCGATTCCAGGCGCTTCGAGTCCTGCGAGTTTTCCGAACAAAATGCACAGACGGACTTGCAAAGCGCAAATGGAGAAGGGATTGTGGTATAGATCATAAGGTGGCGGTGGCTGCTGGTTTCCCAACGCTGGCGACATGTCGATAGAGCCCATGATGGATTTGGTTTCTTTGATCAATTCAAAGCCACTGATGCTCGAACGAAGAAGCCGCTCATATAAACATCATGAAAGTCAACCAGCCCCCAGCTTGTACGATCGGAGCTCCCTTCCTTGTGTGTCGGACCTCTGACATCTTGAGACCCAGTGTGTACCATTCGTACCGTTCGGTCCGAGTCTAGCAACGAGTTAATTAGAAATGCTGGTGCGTATCATGTTCAGCCCACCTTCAATCACAGCACCAATGACTCACCGCGAGAGCTCCTCGCCAGCATGAAAGCGGTGCTTGGGGAGCCTTTAAGAAGCTTGGGGAGCCTTTAAGAAGCTTGGGGCCGTGACCTCCTCCGATGTCAACCCGAACACTCCGAGGTATTTAGCAAATGCAGCAGAACGGTTCATGTATTCAAGGAATTTTAATGATGGCCCTTTGAATGGAACTACTGTTATCGTGGCAAGAACGAGATGGCAACCACGGTCAACGAGTCTTCTGGCGTAAACGATCTTCACTTGAAAGGGCAGTGCAATTGCGGCCAGATAAAGGTGGTCATAAATACCAAGATCGCCCGCTTGATGGTCAAAGGTGGCACCTGGTGCCATTGCGCCAATTGCAATAGGGTGGGCGGCCCTAGTAAGTAGCCTACCCAGCCAATTTAATGCTGTCTACAGCTAAATACTTGATGCTGATACTGCCCGATGAATGTCTAGCTGGTATGGAATACCTTCTGCTCCCAGACGCCAATGTCTCTTTGGAAGGAATCCCGCATTCGTGGATCGATGAACATACAGAGAGCGGTCGGAAATTGGAAAGGCAGTTTCGCTCCAACTGCGGATGGTGAGGGATCCTATAGAGTTCGAAGCTCGCTCCATCGTACTGATATGACGGAATATCAGCCCTATCCGGGGGTATACCATTGCTTTCCCGGGACAGTCGTGTGAGCTAAAGGGTATCCCGAGAACAAATCCTCAAGCATGCTGACTAGTTGTGTTTGCAGTCCTTTCGTTAGGTCTCTTCCCAGAGGCACCAAAGCCGGTGATGGAGTGTTTTGCGAGAAGTAAGCCACAGTGGGTGGCTTCCGCCGATGAGGCACTCGTATTCGAAAGCAGCCCGGGTATTCGAGATCGGTTCAAGAAAAGTCAACAGGAACACCAGTGAATCTATCTCCCCATCGGAGCTTTGCTCTTGGGATATCATGAAGAATGGCACGGACCGGCTCGCTAGCAACTAGAAGCGTGCTGACAAGGCCTTTTCTTCTTCATGTAGAAATCATAGACAATAGTGCCCCAAGAGGCTGACTTGAACTCACAACGACGCGACCTAGTGAAAGCGAATATTGTTATCAGGACATTCTCGAAACTCGAAGTCCGGATGTCTAGTCCCATAAAGATTTGAGGCATGGGAGAGCCTTTCGACATGAGTTGATAAGTTTCGAATAGTAAGGCGTCCTTAATAGGGTCTTTGTTATATTGAGTACAATATATGTGGCGCACACGCGGTCAGTGTTCGCAGTATATTAGTCTTGGGGAAGAAAACATGGAAAGACCATGCTCAGCCCATAATTTTTTTCGTATCTCTTTGCCGAATATCGGTTCCATCCTGTAGAGAGGTATAAACATCCTAGTCTTGTCCGATTCCAAACCGCGCTGTTCTGCCCCGTCGAAGAAGCATGACAGGCCTTTCGCTATCGAGTTTAGAATGGTTGTAGCCCAGAACAGGAGAAGGCTCGTTAGGGTCAACACGCAGAGGAAGAAGAACACTTGACGAGAGCCTGAGGTGGAAGCGTGGCTGAACGTCAACGCCGCATTGAGGAACGTAAGTGACGTTTCGACAAACATTCAAGCCCACAACTTAGTAGTAGAAGGGGAATATGTCGCGGGCGAGAAGCAGCCTGACTGAGCCATTCGAGCACTATGGTATGGGGCGCCGAAATAGGACCTCCCAGCATCTCGAACGGATCGCCTTGTCCAAAGTTGACCAAAGTTGGCGTTTGTGAATAAAGCGGAAGAGAGAAGACTCAAAAGCTCATGAAGTACTCCGGGAGCAGCAGGGGAGCCGAAGGTGAGCAAAGCAGCCAGCGGCTGATCAGAACGATAAGGCGGGCGCCAGGTTTCTCGCATCAGACTACCTAGCTCGCTAGGTAGGTGTCGGTGGAAAGCAAATCGATAATCTATTCCACTTTTCCTTTCCCCTGCAGTCGATCCTTGACTCGTACAACCATTCCCTTTACCGCGCCCCTTACACTCCTAACAAGACCGGGCAACTTGCCCTCCCCAACCTCGTCCGCACCCACAAATCTCCTGACCAACAAGTTATAAATGCTCCCAAACGCCAACGCCATGACTGTACTGGTCAATATGATGACATTATACGGCATGGAAAAATCCGGCGTGGGCAACGGCAATAGTAGGGAAGTCGTTCGGATATAAACATCCCTGGCGTTTCCCGTGACCGGGTCCGTGAGTTGTGGTGAAAGGATACGAATTACCGCAGGTGGAATATTGAACCCACGATTCGCGTCGGGAGGATATTCTGTGTATCGAAGGATGGATTTTTCAAAGGCATAAGTTAGAGAGATGGTGGTGAGAGGTGGGACACTGAGTAAAAGTTCGAGTTGTGTGCCGCGATGGCGGTCGATGGCTGGCCGATAGTACATGTCCATGATTATTCTTTCTTGGTCGAGTCTCGAAGAGTCAAATGACGTCGAAAACGAATCCGTGATTTGAGCCTTGAGAGTATGCATATAGGGGCGCATGAACCACGGTAGACTCTCAAAATAGACGAATTGGACGGATTCGGTCGAGGATGGGTTTGTGAAGATCGTGCGCATTCCTCCGTGTGCAGCACCGTGGCCGGTCATGGTCCTTTCTGCTCGAAGCAGTTCATGGCCCAAGTCGTGCTTTCGAGAAGTTGATTGCTGCCGGGGCAGTTCGAGGTCGAATTCTTCGAATGGCATTATCGAATAACACCTTGACTCGCTCGGGCCAGGTTCAGATTTGACTTCGAACCCGCTGTGATTGATCAGAACCATTCGATCGTGCGGTACATTCAGGCAGACTGGTTTCGGGTCAGGGCCGTCGTCGTCTGCGAGGGGACATGTCCCAGCCAATGTCCTTCCGAACACATCCTTGAGTGACCACTGGATTTCGTCCACCATGTCACGAGGATAGCAGGTATCGTGGGAATGGTAGGGCTTGGACTCGTCGCAAACGAGTTGTTCTGGGGGAACTGGTCTCGGAATTGGGTTGTCTCGCGGCCGCTTGGATCGCTCAATATCGAGGACAATATCAATGGTCTGGCTGATTTCCATCTGGCATTTGCCTAATCCCGCAGAACACTTGGGCAGCACATCAATGGCCATGCTCTGCCATGAGGCATCAAAAACCTTGTGTCCGTCTAGAAGGCTGGAAATCCCAGCCTTCCCTTTACACGGCAGGAGCTTCAGGAAGGGAGTCAAGTTCTCTGTGCACACGACTTCTCCAGGAAGTACACCATGCAACAGATGAAGATTCTTGCTCCTGTTCTGGAATGCCCCCGAAGGCTGGAAGGACAAGACAGGTTTGGTGGTCCTGGTTGAATCGATGAAATTCAATGAGGCACAGAACAAGCCCGACAGCGATTGTGTCAAGGTTGTCCACTTTTTAAACGCGTCAACCTCCGAGTCGGCATCTATCCAAGCCCATAACTCGACTCCAGTGCCGCCCTCTTTGGTGCCATCCCAAGGACGCGCTCCCCAAAGCTCCGGATCCCATCGTCCCGTAGTAAACCTCAGATGTAGTTCTTGCGTGTCGGCATGCCGCAGCGCCTGACCCAGGGAGCGCGGGAAATACCTGAAATTCTGGGCATTGTAGTCGGCGGCGCTTTCGTTACTGCGGAAGTCGAACGAGGCGAGGAGGGAACCGAGGGGTAAAGGAGTCAGAGTCAATCGCTCATAGTAATCGGAAGCTTCGGCGCTCAAGGCGAGGAGCGCAGAGGTGAGCAGAAGAAATAGAAGCCGGGACATGCCGGCATCGCTATGAGTAGTCTCTCATTCCCTTTGTGCTGAGATCATGACGGACTGACAACTGACAACCAAGTGAGGCGCGTGAAAGGACACTTTCTACCAGACGCAAGAATTCTGCCGCAGTTCAGCCGATTCCTCCACCACTTCTTTCTCCCCATTTGCGGACTTTCCTACAGACTACTACCTCCTACAGCACACGTCCCATACAACTCGAACTCTACACTAGATCTCATCCATCCCTCACCATGGCGGCCGAGCAGCGAAAGCTGCTTGAGCAGCTGATGGGCGACCAATATATGGGAATGGGCTCTTCGTCCTCCAAATCCGCAAACCTTTCCCTCACTTCGCCCAACGTCTGCCGTTCATACCTGGTCGGAACATGCCCCCACGACCTCTTCACAAACACGAAGCAAGACCTGGGCCCGTGTCCCAAGGCCCACCCGGAGAACCTGAAGATGGAATATGACGCTCTGCCTCCCGCAGAGAAACAAAAATATGGATTTGAATACGACTACATGCGGGACATGCAAAAATACATCGACGATTGCAATCGAAGGATCGACCAGGCACAACGGCGGTTAGAGAAGACGCCAGATGAGATCCGGCAGACGAACAACCTCCTCAAACTGATATCAGATCTCACAAAGACCATCAACACGGGTCTCCTCGAGGTCAGTTGTCTCGCGGAAATGGGGTCTGTGAGTCTGGCCTGCACGGAATTCCACAAAGTCCGAACCGCAAAGATAGCAAAAGAACAAGCCGAGCGGGACCTGAAGTCGTTGTCAGACACGTCGGGCCCATCGGGCCACCAGAAATTACAGGTCTGCGACGTCTGTGGCGCATATTTGTCCAGACTGGACAATGACAGGCGACTGGCCGACCACTTCTACGGGAAAATGCACCTGGGCTACGCGCAGATGAGGCGGACGCACGAGGCGCTGCAGAAAGAATTGAAAGGACGAGGCCCCCCGCCAGTAAGGCCGCAAGAAGAAAACACGAGCGGCAGTCCCACGGGGCCGAGAGGCTACGACGATGGAGGATATGGTGATGGGGGCGGATGGGGCAGAGGTGGAGGTGGGGGATACGGTCGGGGAGGTGGTGGCGGTGGTGGTTATGGTAGAGGCGGCGGAGGATATCGCGGGCGAGGAAGGGGGCGGTGGTAGAATCGCCGCTCCTCTCCTGTTCTGGACAGAGACGATGTGCCTTCTGGATTTGTGGTCATGAAACATGAATGCGACGCATAGCGAGTGTTTTTGATCTAGGGGGGAACAAAACAATACCCAGGCCAGGGACCGGAAGGTGGACTTGTCACTACTACTTCTACGCTCAGGGTTGCTTCCAGAGGCATGGAGCAAAGACGCCCGCAGAAAAGAGCACAAGAGATACCCGCTGAAAATTGAAATGCATGATTTTTGCAAGGACATGATGCATGGTACGCTGTTCACAGAATACGGGCTGCCCCATCTGTAGAGTCCTCCCAATACCTCGTAGTGTGTACCCCGTAGTATATAATATGTATTGTATAATGTGTGGGTGTATTGTGCATAGCAGCTAGGTAGGTAACCTACCTAGGTCCGTCGTTCATCGCAACGCCCCCCACCCCCCCGGTGGACCTTGACGAGGTACCTCTGTCACTACCAGAAGTTGCTGGGCTTGCTCGTGTTCTCGGCGTCGAGCTCGCTGGACTCGACCTGCTCGGCCCAGGATCCTCCTCCACCGCCGCCACCGCCGCCGTCGCCGGAGCCCCAGGCTGAGCCCGAGCCGGTGCCGGTTGAGTCCCACCGCTTCGATTTGGGCTTGGACGCTGGAGCACTGGCAGTCGTGGTGGCGGTCGCGTCGCCTCCGGCACCGGGCTCCTTTGGCGCAGTGGCAGTGGTATTGGAGCCAGGGAGAGAGGGGAAGTCTGTCTCACCAGATAAATCCGGCTGCTGCTGCTGCTGAGTGGAAGCGTCACCATTGCGACCAAAGCCGCCGCCGCCTCTAGGACCACCTCGACCTCGACCCCTTCCTCCGCCTCGACCTCCTCTTCCCCTCCCTCGTCCCCCTCGTCCCCGGTCGTCATGCCACTCGTACATTCTCAGATCATCCTCCTCCGCCCCAGGACCACCAGGGGGCGCAGACGGAAACCCTCTCCTGCCCCCTCGCCCATTGCTCTGGTGCAGTTCTTCCTCCTTGTCCCGATCCCACTCCCTGCCCAACTGGCCCGCCATCTTCCTAAGACGATTCTTTTCCCTCTCCCCCTCCATCACCCTCCTGTCCTTGATGTCCCTCTGCCTCCTCTGCTTCGCTTGTCTTTCTCGCTCTTCGAAATTTGCCGCGTCCGCTTGCGCCCGGGCGTGCGCTGCCGCAAGGGACTGCGATCTCTCTTTTGCCGCGGCGAGTTTGGCTGTCAACTCCTCATCCGACAGTTTCGGAGGGCGGACACCGCCGGTGGCAAGACGGTCGCCGCGCACGGCGAGCGTACGACCAGCAGCGGCAGCAGCAGCAGCAGTGTTGTTCGGAGACGGCCCAGTGGGGATGTTGTCGGTGCTTTGAGTGGCCGCCGCCGCTGCCGTCGTCGTCGCTGATGCGGATGATAATGCTGGATCTTCTCCAGCAGGAGGCTGAGACTGAGGTATTGATTCGGGAGGTGTGGTGTTTGTCTCTGGAGTTTGTTGTTGACCTCGTCTCCCGCGTGACCGTGTAGACATTGTATCTCTGCCACCTGCAGACGGACCAGTCTCTCCACCTTTTACCGCTGGCGCTGCTGCTGCCCACTTGGAGTCCTCCAGCCCAGTAGCAATCTTCCTACCTGCTTCTCCTCCCCGCCCAGCCCCGGCATGGCCACCTCTACCTCTGCTGTGCTTGGGCTTGAACCCCGGAAACGGAGCTTCAGCAGTCGGAGTCGGTGATTTCGCCGCAGGTACGGACTCGAGTGCGAACGCTGCAGAAGGTTCGGCAGCGACGACAGGCGGAGGGGGAGCGGGAGCAGTAGCAGCGGGCGAAGGCGAGGGCTCAAGAGAGATCTGCTCGAGCTGAGCGGTAACTTTCTCTGGAGAGGGCGCGTCGTCGAACGGGATGATTTCGTCGTCGAATAGATCGTCGTCCCCACGGGATTGGGAGAAGTCTTCCATGGCTGAGAGTGTGTGTGAGGGCTGCTAATAGTAACAAATTCTATATGTGGGCTGAATTTATATCAATATAACTCCGTACAAGGAAACCCTCTTCAAAAAATTATAGGTAGATTTGGTGACAGTAAAGGAACCAAATCATCAACAAAGGGAGAAAAAGTTCGGGCAGTTGATCTACTTGCATGCTGCTCCGCATTTCCCAGTGAAATGTTGGGGAAACCCTCCGAAGCCTGCAATGCAAGGCTCGAGGCTGGACAGATTCAGGAAGTATGGCAATAAGGAAGATGATCAGACGACATTTGGCAGTCAAGATTTTACAATTCTATCAGAAAAGACCTAGCAACCCCATGCCCTCTAAATGTCCACTTTTTTCGAGGCTCGTAGCCTATGGCATAATCGACACAATCCTTCGCCCCTAGTTGTTTCCAACATCGATCAGAATGGTGGCAGCCAGAAAGGATAACCTCCGTTCTTGACCCGGAACACACTCATCAAGAAGCTATACATGCCGAAAAGAACCGCCGCCCAGATGATGACTGCCGCTTGCTGGGTCTTGGAATCCTTGATCCGCGGCACTCGCAGAGCTAGATTGATCGTTGCAAAGGCAAGAAGCGCATCTGGTAGTTTTGACAACTTGTTAGCAATGGTCCACATAGAGAGTTTGCTTATTGTCTGAGGTCAGCGACTTACACATTGCAGCGACAATCTGCGTCTCCATTCCATACTGGTTCTGGAATCCGCCGGCAAAGTAGCTGATCCCACCACGCCCATTTCCAGCAACGTAAGGAACCCTGCGGATATGGTTGAACATATGACCACTGGTAAAGAGCAAAATCATGATCAAACTAATACCAGCCCACAGGTTGCGGTTCTGAATGATTGGCGCCAGATAGGGATATGCAACGGTAATGAACGTAAACAGGCCCAAGGCTATCGTAAGAAAGGCGCCAATTTTTGCATAGTTGATGGGTCGGATGATGGGAGGATAGTCATCGGCGGGGAGATGTCGCAGGAGCCATCCGTAGGCGCCTTCAGCCGTTTGCGGACCGAGGAAGTCTAGTCGCAGGGGTTGACCATCAGGTTTGGCGTGCTCGCCGACGGTGGGAGGGAAGAGGAGGAGGACAGGAGCGGTTTGGAGTTGGAGCTGTACGAGATGTCTGTCAGAAACGACTCCCTCCCATTCCGAGTTGTCATGCCATCAACAAACCTTCATGAAAACGTTCCTCCCCTGATCGAAATCGATCGTGCTCAGCAGCACCCTCTTGTCCCCATTCCGATCGCCCTTCTGCCAGCTTCTTCCCAGAAGTTTCCATTCCGGATCAAAGTCTCGACAAATCCCACATGCATATTTGGCGTCTCGAGCAGTGAGCAGGACAGCAAGGGTGTAGTCCCGCGGTGAGGCCGTCAGTTCATTGTAGCTTTTCTCGTCGAGTTCGAAAGGTGCGGAGGAGGCCTGTTTAGCGAAGTAGGTGTCGAATCTGCTGGTCGTGGCAGCTTTTTTTGCCGAGACAGCGGCGGTCAGGGAGAGCGCTGTCAGCGCCAGCAGTCTGAAGAGACGCATGTCTTTGGCCTAAGCAAGATGATCGAGTTTAGATATGGGCGTGTGGGTGAAATACAGACTGCGAGACAGGGTGTTCAATTGAAACTCTTTCGGCAAAGTTGCACCTTTTACGAAGCATGGGGATCGGGTTGAATGCTTCCTCTGCTACTCGTTACGTATTCCGTCTTTCTCGACTTCCGCCTCTCTTTTTGAAAATGGACACGTAATGATCTCTACGAATGCTTTAACCCAGAGGGAAATCTCGGATCTTGCAAGAAGATGTGGGGGCTTTGTTTTTTTCAAGGCGCATAGTGCTTTAGAATCTCTCGCCCGCTGTATTAGCAGCCTTGTCCAAACGAGTCTGTTCGATCTCTTTGTCTGGCATCGGAGTCCCCGACATGGATGCAGCTTGTAACCTCATGGTCTCTTGGAACCAAGAACTTTGTGTTTGAGAGGCTGAGTCGTCGAAGAGGAATCCGCTCAGAATGGGCACAGTATCTTCCCAGGTGACAAGTCCCATATCGTGAGCTTGGCGGGCAAATTGTTCATGGAACCAGCCATCAAACAAGTCGTTGCTCAAACCAGGCTGCTGCTGGCGGCCTTCATAGATAGCACCGACGTAGAATGCCCACAGCCTCGCATTCTTCCATTTCTCCCACGCAGGACTGCCTCTGGGTCGCTCGCTCTTCTCAAGCAGAGGTCGCAATGTTTCCAGCACATTCCCCGCCCAGATGTTCTTGCCGCACACGTGGTTCTGAAAGGTGAGAGCCCTCGACCACTTGACGGCACTGATGGACATGTATTGCTGAGCGTAATCGTAGTCGAGTTCGGGCCCTGAGTCGGTCTCGGAGAGCTCCTTGAATCTGCAATAGCGATTCACCAGTCTCCCCAGAAGAATGCACCATCTATACTGGCCCCAGCCAAGGTGCATCGTGGCAGATTTGGCAGGAAGGCCGTCGGACCACCTTCGGCGCCATCGAGCGAAAATCTCGCGACACGACTTGACGCAAGTCGTCATCTCTTCCGAGTCGATTGCCGGATCGAGGTGGCAGAAATCCAATGGCGCAGGAACAAGGATAGGCTCGATAGCCCGAAGGAAGGGGTCGAAAACCTTGGGCAGCCACTCGTAGACGTCAAAAGCAGGGGGGGTTAGGAGCTGTGTGGCCATGTTCATATCTGCATAGAGGAAGAAAAACAAAAGCTCGACCATTGTCAATCCAATCTCGTCGATCTTGTCGAAAAGGCCTGCCCCCTGCTGAAAGTGCTCGTCAACCAACTTGTGTAGCATTTGCCCATGCATTCGCGCTGCTGCCACATTTTCTGCCGCAATCTCGGCGGACCAGATCATGAAAATGTGCCACCAGATCCATGGATCGACTTTGGCAAGGCGGGCCAACTTTTGTCGTAACGCAGCAGTGCTTTTGAGACGGAAGACCAGGGACTTTCGTTGCAGAGCCTTGCCCCGACGAGTATCAGATCCTATACACATTGCGACAAGTGAAGCGTTGCTGCCGATGAAAGCCAGAGCTGTTCCCTCATCCCGTAACCTGGAGGTGTTGATTTCCCAGTCAGCTTTGGCACGAGCACTTCCTAGATTATGTTTGGATTTGGCATCAAGCCGCCACGCTGCAGGCAGAAGAATATCCCGATAGAAAGTCAAGATGCTGTTCTCTTCCACCGTGATGGGGATCGCACACGCTCCGAACGGATCGGAACTGCCTTTGTTGAGGATGGTAACTGGAGAGATGGGCGGAAGACGTCTCTTCTCGTCATAGCTCTCTGTACTCTGCTCGGTATTCGGTACATCGTTGCCAACAGAGTTGTTCTTGCGCGCGCCGGTTCGCTGCTATTCCAACATCAGACATCCTGGAGACGGATCAGAGTTCATACTCACCCCCGAAAGCCGCTGCTGACTTCTTCCTGGGATCTTAGCAGAGGCGCGCAAGGCCCTGGCTTTCTCCAGTCGCCTCCAGTCGCGATAGCCGTTCTGGATGTGTTTGTAGACCTGCTGTCGGTGTGGTAACGAATCCATGTGTTGCGCATCATAATTGACCCACAAGATGGCCTTGGTCTCCATTGCGGCGTGGGGAAGAGGGGGGATGGGTACAAAGACGGGACCTGAGGTAATAGATGGGCCCCAGAACGAGAGTTTTCAGTTTGATGGAAGGTCGGGCATCTCGTCAGTCCTGGGACACCCACAGGGAACTTTATGAATCCTCTTACATAAGGGGCCCATCACATAAGAAGCCCATCGGCGCCCGGCCGGTTTCCAGACTCATAGACACCCAGGCACCCCAGGCACGGCTGGGCAGTAGCTTCACTAGTCCCGGTCATAACCAGCATCTCGGCTACCGCGTGAAGGTCACGCAACTGCTGCTTCAACGGCTCGCTAACGGCCACCATTGAGAACTTGCTTACTCAGTTGCGCCTGCATTGACCCCAACCCGAGCACATGTATAGTATCGTTCTAGACTCATGTGGTGTCAGACAGCCTAACGGTTTACGGTTCGACACAGTGCAAGGAGTCTTCACGGACAGTTATCAATCGTCGATGAAGCAACAGACCGAACCTTTTGCAGAGTCAACATGCACCCCGTCTCCTCTCTCCGAGACTAAAATAACTATCAGGATCCCACTGGCATGGCTGTTGGATGGATGCTGTCGTTGAGCAGATGCTTGACAACCCCAATCCTCACAAGTGAAATCTCCACCTGGGATCCTCGTCTCCAAGCCACGGCCCATCGAGATGAGCATTTTCGGTGGCCCTAGCTTCTCTTCGTTCGTTCTGCCTTTTCAAGACCAACCACAGCGTCGCAGTCACGACCAAATTAGCCATCATGTAAGCCAAAGCGAACGAGTGTCCCAGAAAGTAGCGCGGCGCTGTTTCTGTTCGATAGAGCTGGGTGCCGATCACCGCCCCGAGATTCCCTATCGAGATCTGCAGCGCGTTGGCAACAGCTCTCTTGGTCTGTCCACTGACATTGTTTGCCGGCCAGGCAAGCGTCAAGGCCACCGATGGATAGATGCCGGCTGCAGCGAATATGATTCCGACATAAGATACTCCAGCGCGTGGGTCGCTTAAAAGCAAGATGTACCCGATGATGGCAAGTGAAGACGACATGAGGATAAAGGGTGTTCGGCAGCGATACTTCTCAGAGAGAACCGCAAGGGCAATGGTAAGGAAGAACGCGATTGCATAAGGTGGTATCGTCATAAGTTGTGCTGTCGCTGACGCAAATCCGAGAGATTTGATGATGGTTGGGAGAAAGAGTGACAGCGTGTAAAGTGGAAGCGAGAGTGTGTGAAATCCAAATGCGTAGAGGTAGCATTTGATGTCGGTGAATGCCTTCTTGACATTGCTCCAGTCCAACTTTTCATTCTGGGTTGCGTCGCTGTCGGCCTTGAGACGGTGCTGGATGTACTCTCGTTCCTCGTTGTTTATGAACTTTGCTGTATCTGGGTAATTGTGGATGAAGAAGTACGCAGATGCCGAAACGACAACGGTAAGTAGGCCTTCCTATGCATCGTTCAGCAAGCCGCATTGCAGCTTTGACGTGAACCTAGTACTCACCAGAATGAAGATCCACCTCCAACCGTTATAGCCACCGACACCTTTCATGTGAGCAATACCCCATGCGAGAATACCCCCAAAAGCTCCTGCCAGCGAGGCCGCGCTGAAGAAAAGAGCCACTCGCAACTGCCGTTCATTTCGCTTATACCACATTGAGAGGTAAAAGACGATGCCTGTCGAGGTACACCGTCAGCCCAACCAAGCTAAGGCTCACACAGAGGGTTGAAAACCATACCTGGGAACAGTCCCGATTCAGCCACCCCCAAGAAGAAACGAACGACGAAGAAGCCAGCACGGGATTGAGTGACACCCATGAGCGTGCTCACAACACCCCACACGAGCGTCAGAGTCGGCAGCCAGAATTTTGGTTTCCATATCTTCAGAATCAGATTACAGGGAACCTCGAAGAGGACGTAGCCGATGAAGTAAAGCGTGAGCCCGGTTAGATACTGGTCCCCCGTCATATGTAAGTCCGTCGCCAGGCCCTCGATACGTGCGTTGCCGACATTGCTCCGGTCCAGAAATGAAAGAAGATACAGCGAGGTCAGGGCTGGAAGAAGGGTGATGTCCAGCTTTCGTACGAGGGCTCGCTCATTGATGTGGTTCCCAAGGCTTTCATCGAAATCAGTCGCGGGAGTACCTTTGTCTGCGCTGCTGGGATCGTTGACAGACGTCTTTTCCTCCATTGAAGCCATTTCCGCTTGCTGATAGCACTCGTCCTCTTTGAAAGACAAGCCGTGCTTCAGAAGAAGGTAGAAATTGTGACGGAAGCGTGAACATGGCTGCGCGGTCAGTCCTGGGAATGGAGAGGTTCATATATGCACTCGATATCATTATAGGAAGGTGAGCATTGAACATATGGATCGATGACGCTGGATCGAAAAGTAGTTGGGAGGATCTGCCGAATAGTTGTGGTGCAAATCTCATGGCAGATTGCGTGATTCTGGTGGCCGAATTTGGAAACACCATCTCCATATTAATACCAATCGCATTGGGCGGTCTGACAGTCCATGCTGAGAATCCTGATGCAAAGGAGATCCCCGTCCTTGTTTGCACATTGATAAAGGTAAGTTCGTTCCTTGACTCTTTTTGTGTCGAGAATTGTTCACGAATCAGAATATAGGTCCACACACTCCGTACGTGTATAAGAATAGATTAGAGTGGAAATGCTCTATCTTGAATGGCGATCCTCCGCAACGATATGCCACACCTTGATCACTGTTCATTGAGACGGCTCGTTGCTGGCTATCGTCTCTGCGAACCATGTGGCCAGATAAGGCTCCAAGAACTCGTAGAACACGAAATGGTTGAGAATATCTCGAGCCTGAGGCCACTCAATCAGCTGTAGGATCTCTGCCTGTCGAGCAAACTTCTTAGTAAACCAGGTCCTCGGGGCCATGATGTCTTGAATCGTTTGATTGACACGCCACTCAAACCTTGCGCCATAGAAGAATATCCACAACAGGGCCTCGCGATACTGGGTCAGTTCATGTGCCGTTGCGAAAGTCAAAGCTGTTCTCATCGTGCCTTCGAGATGGTTTATAGTGATCATATGATGGCTAGTACGGTGGTCATACCCGTAGATGGTGGCCTCAAAAATCCCTCGTCGTAGTATGTGCAATGTCGTAAGTGCCAATGATGCTTCAATATAGCGGAGAGATTCTTCCATCTTGTAGACCTTGCCAGCGATGAGATTAATGTAAGCATTGATCAAGGCCCCAGAATCGTATTGAGCATACGTTGTGAAGATCGTGTAGATCGCATCGGTCCGGTCGAGGTCATCGGGATCATTCAGATTGACTGTCGTCGATCGGACGAATAAGTACTGACGGAGCCTGATAGCAGCCTGACGAGTGGCATCCAGTTGGATGCTTTCGTGGAGAGCCTTGTAGTCAGCCGGCAATTGCGGCATGTGCTTCTCAGGTGTTTCCACCCAAAATCGAGCAATTTGCTTCTGAACCCAGTTCTCAAAGTCGAAAAATGTGTTTCGCATCTGGGCTATAGCCAATTCCGTATCATTATTCATGCATGTCATGAACAATGTCCGAATATGGAGATCCGGAGTCTCGACCCTATCAACCAGACGTTGAATGATATTCGCGTGAACCTTTGCCGCAGGGATATCGTTCTCTTTGCAGGCTGCCCGAAAGAGGGAGACAATCTGTGATACCAACGATATCTCCGGCGGAACATCAAGCGATAGATTCTCGATTCGTTTTTTGAGCATCATCATGCTCTTCGTCCGCATCTTGATAGCAAGGAATTGCAGATCACGCGCGGTTTCTGGTGAGGAGAACTTTGCCAGAACTGGAATGTAGCTGGAACACCAGGAAAGCGCTCGTCCTTCATCTGAGAATTCTTCCTTCATTGAGTTCCACACTTTTGCTACGGTACGTTGACCGAAGACGTGAAACCCCTCTCCGATCGTGGTGAGCATCGGAGCCCCTCGCGGTGCCTCTTTGAACTTCATATAAGAAGTGATATAGACCCCAGGCAGATATCCATCTCTTATGAACGTGATCAGTTTGTTGATCTCGGGGGTGATCTGTAGAGCCAAAGCATTGAACGGATCCGAGTTACCACCGGGCAGAACTTCCAGTAGACTAGGGATGCTGTCTCTAGCAGTGTGTGGCCTTCTAGGTTGTAAAGAATGGTCTCCTTCATAGAGGAGTAAGCCGCTGTCCCCACGTATCTCCTTTTGTCGACCCGCCGAATGTCCATAGATGGCGCTTGCGTCATGATCTGAGCCTCGATAAGACCGTTAATTTGGCACATGCACGTCAAGAAACCAGAGACGCCTCCACTTGCCTCGACCTTCAGAGAGCAAAAGTGCTTTTTGCTCCTGTTTCCTCCTTTTGCGCTTATCATGGGACCATCTCGCAGCATGTGATTTCTGGTTTGCGGTCTCAAGTTCCTTCTCAACTTGCGTAGCCTCGGAATCAAGCTGTGGCACGAATCTCACGGTGAGATATCCGGAAGAGGGCATGGTCTCACCTTTATGTCATCCACTTGGCCATGCCAAAAAGAGGTATTAAGTCAAAGGAAACAGACCAAATTCAGGCCGGGTATTGGGCCGCTCTCTGTAATATACCCTTTGAGACCATGTTCGTAGAGGGGTTGAATTCAAAGACAAATCCCGAGCCATTATCCCTGAATAGGAATCCAGCTGAAGATCGATAGGCCCGCGCAAGGCTCGTTAAATGAGCAGCACGTGCGTGACTTCTGGATTTCGGATAGAGAGCAAGTAAACATGCGGCCTCTCTCCTCTTCGCTGGATGTGCAACGCTAGACTTTGGTGGTCGGTAAGCGATACAGGCCATTACGGGATTGGGAAATACATTCATTATCGACGCTGAGCTATGAAATATGGAGCCTCATGATTGGAGTTAATAAGCAAACGGGTTCTTTTGGTGGCCGATAACAATTGAGACAAGGAAAGACGTAACCAGCTCTGGCTGAGTGTCTCTGTCCAGCAGACACACGGGCCTCGAGAACGGTACAAGGCTTCGAGTGCGTCCGAAAACATTACCTTACAAGCTCCCCACGTGTGAAATGGTTAGAGAGACCAGAGCAACCGCCCAGAATTGGCTGAGAAGAAACTCTCTCGGAGAATATCTCCTGATTTATGCTGTAGTGTCTCGTACTCGGTACCTGGTAGTCAGTGAGGAATGACAACATTGAAGGGCCGGAGATACCCGAGGAAGAACACCCGTACAAGTATCATGCCTAGATGCCATCCCGATTCCAGGAATTGACCTTTTGCTAGGAAGCATCGAGGATGAGAGGAGGTAGCGACCTCCTTGCCAGGAACAGTAACTCTACTCCACACACATGCAGGACACCGGGGGGTGGGGGGCAGATCCAGACAAGGGGAAACAAGAAGACGAACAAGTCGGGCACTCATCAATCCTGAATCCGTGCGATATGATTTAGATGCCGATTTTCCGCTCACAGCTGGCGGGCCACCCAAATGGCCAACTGAGGTTTGCTGACAGAAAGGACAAGACGTTCCAATTGCAGTGAGAGCCTTCCGACGGATTATTTGACTCCCAATTTGGGGCTTCTATGGGGATTTGTTGCGAGATGTCTTGCGCAAGAGGATCTTGCCCTCATGTTGTAGATGAGAGCTTGCCTCTGTGACAGGCCTCGGTCGTGATCCGACAACATATGCTGAGCCTTGGTGCCTGAGAGCATCATCTCTTTCAGATTACTGATCCTTTGGTGACGGCTGAAGATGGATCCACCAGAAATACATCTGCACAGTTATTGGGGGATTGCTCAACTTTCACTCAGCACAGAGCGTGGCAGCAAGTCGGCGAAACTGCACACACACTCTCAGAGCAGTGGGACGGTGTCGATGTGATCGCTCCACTAACCATGTTATTTTTCTTCCACCTATCTATTTCAGCCGACTCCGGTCAACCGTAGCTGTAGACCAAGCCGGCTCTCGTTTGCACCTGGGTCTGGTGCTTCGGTCTTTGCGGCGGTGGCTGAGAGTTGCGTTCCGCTCGATTCGACTGACGCTTGCTTGGGCTTCTGACGACGGTAGAGGAAAACGATCACAAGCTTTCGCGGAGGGTGAAGCTTTGATCTGACCGAAATTGACGTTGAAGGTGAAGGTGAGGGTGGGACGTAGGGGTGATGGAGATGGTTTCAAGGTTGGGGTTGCTGTGAGGCATGCAGGCGTCATACAACTCAACATTACCAGAATAATAACATTCAAGGCAGTTCTTATGCAAACACTCCGAAAAGAGAAGTATTCCTTTCTCCCTATTTACGTAAAACTAGAATCATTTTGTGGCCACTGCGAAAGGATCCATTCGAGACATGTGGTCTTCTGGGACTACATTGAGCTTACATGCCGTGACTAGATTCCCATCATCTCTGCCAGCCATTTCTCGTATGCACCCTCAATCTCAATGCACCTCTTTCCTCTGACCCACAAACACTTGCCATTGATATCTGTTTCGTTCTCTGTTGTTGCGAGATATGCAATTCCCAATGCAACATCCTCCGGTTCACTTGCCTCGTGTCCTTGGAATGCGTCGGGTGGTAGATTGGCGGTCAACCCAGTGCGTGTGAGCCACGGCCCTACCATAGCGATAGATACATTCTTCGCCCTCAGCTCTTCTCTTCGGGATGTGCTGCGCATCAACCCCATGAGAGCGTGCTTCGATGCCACATACATGTCTTGGTAAGGGACGGGGATGTATGAGGCAGCGGATCCGGTGATGATGATACGGCCCGCTCGTCCGTCTTCAAGATGATGCACCGCCAGTTTGATCCCATAAAGGACGCCATAGAAGTTGACGTCAAAAATCACTTTCGGCGGCGGCTTGAGGAATTGTCCGTTTTCCTCGTCCGCGAGGTAGTTGCTTGCAACTCGCTCCTTGGCTGACGCTTGCTCCGAGGTTGCAAGCTCGGGATCGATGCCAGCATTCAAACACACTATCTCTGGCGGTCCGTATATGCGAGTGGCCCAGTTGAACAAGGCGACTTGTTGCTCCCATGACGAGACGTCGCACGCGTAAGAATCGCACTCATGGCCGATACTTTGTGCCACATCTTGCAGTTTTTTTGCATCCAGATCAACCAAAATAACCTTCGCACCGTTTTGGGCGAACAGTCGGGCAGTTGCAAGGCCTATTCCACTTGCAGCTCCAGTCACAAGGACAACTTTTCGAAGCAGTTCTTTGAGCGTGGCGGGGTTTGGGAGGACAACTTCCGACATTGTTTCTGTGGGAGTCAGTGGATGGGAGACACACAGCAGAAGATGATTGTATATGGAGGAAAGATTGTCAACGAAGAAGGAACTTCAAGGGTTGCGGCTCAGCAAGCAGGTCTGGAGTCAGGCGTCTTGCTTGTGCCCGCTCTTGCTTGTCAGGCTAGGTCATGTTCTACCCTTAACATCAGCACAACAGTGGTGGAAAAGCGAGGAGTGGCATCATCGAGAACTTCGCAACACTAGGCTGTACTCGACCAGGAGCCAGCCAGGAGGAGGAATGCAGTTTAGGGCCTCCTAATATCCGTGAAGAGTAGTCGGTGTCCTTGTGCAACTGCAGTCATCAATTGGTACAATGGACGATCAGGCGCGCAGCCGGAGAGGCGCGTCAGGTGAACGCAGCTGAACCATTTAAGGAAGGTTAGACGACAGACGGTCTCTCGGCCTGTAATTGGTCAACGCAAGGCGCCCGTTAGTCCGTTTCCAGTCGTGCGTAAATAAACGAGAAAACACTGCATACATACAAGGTACCGACTACTTGCCAGCATCACCGAAGCGCTTTGTATTCGACTTATTTCTTTGCCGAAGCACTATTCGACAATGGACATAGAATTATCACACATGGACACTGCCGAAATCGCACAATCGATCCAAACCACAAAACTCGAACTTGCCTACGAGCGCGCCGTGAGAGAAGCCGAACGCATCTATGAAGAAGAACGAGTGCGCCAACTGCGCGTCCAGCTCCTGCTGATGGAACACGAAAACGATGAGCTGCAGGAGCAAGCGGAGAGCGGCGAGGATGAACAGCATCATTTGCAGGAGGCCAATGAGGTGCTACAAAGCCGTCTGGCCGATGCTGAGGCGGACTTTCAACAAGCACAGACGGACCTTAGGGCGCGCCTCCGTGATCTAGAATACTTGAAAACAGAAGTCAACGTCCTAAATGCTGCGAGCAACGATGCAAGCAAGCTCCTCGCCGAAAAGCTGGCGTTGTCGAGAGAGCTAAACACCCTCAAACCAGAACTTGAACACCTAAGATCCCAAAACTCGGCCTACCAGAAACTTCTCTCTGAGAAGCTGGCTCTGCAGCGGGAGGTCAGCTCTCTTCAAGTCGAGCTCGAGACGGAGAAACGGGCGGTCCAAAGACTCAAAGCACAAGAAAAGTCATCTAGCCGTGAAGACTCGGAGTTGATGGCAGAGGTCGAGGGTTTAAGAAAAGAGCTTGCCAAAATACAACGGGATGCACAAAAAACAGAACGGGAGAGCAGGAAGAGAACAAGCGAATGGGAGAACGAGAAGGAGGTCTTGGAAGGGAAACTGGATGCTTTCCGCAACAAACTTCGATCTACAAAGGACCAACTCAAGGAGGCGCAAGACGAAATTGAGAAACTGCAGGCAGCGCAGATGGCGCAGTCGTCTGAGATGACCAAGGCAAGACTTAACGGGGCAGGAGCCACGGCAAATCCTAGGAAGAGAAACGTGGCTAGGTTTGACCCAGACATGACCATCGGCACGCCGGGACATGGCAGTCTTGCGACGAAGAAGCCTCGGATTTCAGTTAATGTTGGGGACAAGTCCAACTTCTCCATCACGCCCTTCTTGAACCGCACTCTCAGCATCTTGCCAGAAACGCCAGCCGAGGACGAAGCTGAAGGGCAAAAGGACGACAACGCAACCGTCAGTCAGCGCGTGGACGCGGTAGTCGAGGACGAGGACGAGGTTCCCACGGTTCAACCGAGAAAGAGAGGGCCGGTCATGGCGAAAAAGCTGACTGCACCAGCAGCCAGGCGAAAAGGCGCCCAAGCTCTGAAAGACACGACCGATTCAAAAGTCAATAACACAGTCAAAAATCAACAGGTTGACAAACTCATCGAGGAGGTCTCGGACATGGAAAGTGATCGAGAAGATACAGCTAATAGCGATGGCCAAAGACCGAACAAGGAGAATACAGAGCAAGCCAGTACAGACACCACCACTCTGGAGGCAACACAACCGTCCAAGAAGCAAAAGACACTAGCGAAACGTGCCAACATCTTCGATGAAGAGGACAGTGCGCCTGCACCAAAGATCAGGAGTCTAGGAGGTGGGCTTGCCGGCAAAGGGGGCGTTTTGGGCCGCATCAACCTCAAGGCAAAAGGTGTGGGCAAAGGAAAACCATTGACTGAGTTCTCGCCCCTTAAGAGGGACCGGAGGGCTCCTAGTGTTGTTGATATGGGTTGAAAGGGAGTTAAACGGTCTGGGCTGCTACGAGTTGACCCTCGAATGGACGACTTTCATGCATCTGGTATGAGTTATTTGGGGACATGGAACTTCATAATGTGGATGGCAGTTGAACCTCTACAATAGCGGCAACACGCCCTTACCAATGGGGAAAGCCGAGAGGTGCCGCTTTATGGATCAATGACATCTGAATCGCGAGCAAAAAGTTGCTTGATGGCTTTATGAATTCCAGGTTCTTTTCTTGCAACTTACTTCGTTTCGCGACACACCCTTTACCTCCCTGCCGAGCGCTCTTTGGCCTCGCTAGAGCGTGCTATGCAATCATGTAACCCACGTCTTGCCCTCCGCTCTTCGGCCAGCGTACCAGCCACAACCAAGTACCTCGTTCATGATCCGCTTGCGCTTCGCCCGCGCTCGAAGCCATGTCTCCCCTCGCCAAACTCTATCTCATTGCCTGCTGGTCGTATATTATCTCCTTCCACATCACCTTCACGCTCCTCACCATGCTCGATCTTCACGAAAGGAGTACGCTTCGCTTCCTCGAGCACGAGGCGCTGGACTGATCGGCAGCGAGGGGATCAGTTCGCTCGCGCGGCAAAGGTCCAGGGATTGAAGAGTCGAGCGGCTTTCAAGCTGTTGCAGATCAATGAACGGTACAGGCTGTTCAAGCCAGGCATGACTGTCGTGGATCTGGGGTTTGCGCCGGGAAGTTGGAGTCAGGTAAGAACACCATGCGCGAGGAGGGAGAGTCAAGAGTTGGGGAAATTTGGAAAGAACTGGACCGGAAGAGCTTGGGCTCTGATGGCTGACACATATCTTCCTTGAAAACAGGTCGCCATTGACCTGACGAAGCCTCGGGGTCGAGTTCTAGGTGTCGACCTCCTCCCCGTGCAACCACCAAAGGGCGTGTCGACAATCCAAGGCGATTTCCTGTCCCCGGACATTCAAGCCGAGATAAAGTCGTTTCTGCGGGATCCTGACCGGGGCCGCCTACGGCGATCGCTGTTACTAGGCCCGCCCGAGGAGACTCCAGAAGGCGGAGAAGAGGACCAGCAGGCGATGCTTGAAGAAGAGGCAACAGGGTATCTTGACCGCGAGAGTCACGAGAAGACACTCGAGGAACAGCAAGACCGAGAACACCTGGACAAGTCTGTCGACGTGGTCCTGAGCGACATGTGTGAACCCTGGGACCCGCTTGAAGGGCTTTACAAGAGGAGCATCAGTAACCCTTATCGCAGGTTGATGAACACGAGTGGAAACGCCTTCCGCGATCATGCCGGAAGTATGGTATGTCTGTCTAGGCCACCAGCGGTCCAATTCCTCCTCCCATTCATTCATTCATTACCTTGTCAGACCCCTCACAAAACTCTCTTCCACATTCATTTTTCTAGGCAAACACGATCATTAAAACTACCGGACTGACGCTTTTGTTGGGGAACCCCCCGAGCAGGATCTCTGCAGAGCAGCCCTGCGCTTCAGCTACGACACGCTCAAAGTCGGCGGCCATTTCGTGTGCAAATTCTACCAGGGCGCCGAAGACAAGAGCTTGGAGAAATCCCTCAAAGCCATGTTCCACAAGGTCCACCGTGAGAAGCCCGAGAGCTCGAGGAGTGGATCCAAAGAGGCCTACTTCGTGGGCATCAAAAGGTTGGCAAAGGCGGATCGGGAGGCCGTGTTTGCTGAGCCGTAATTTATCTAGGTAATTGTCGCTCTCATGCGATACACCGGGGGACGATGGCTGCCCATGTATTCATTCTCTTCCCCAGAAAAGAGGGAGACGAATAGAACTAGATGGGAACGTCCGGACAAGGAAAAAGAAGAGACACAGCGCTATGTGTGATGGGAACTATATCTGTATCAATAAGCGGTGATGGAAGGCTGCTTCCCAATCACCCAGGAGATCCCCTCCTGACACCGTTCAAAATAGTGGCAAGAAGGGGTGTGTAACATAGCTAGCTAGCTCCCTGGTATTCTTAGATCAACTCGCCCTCTTCATCCTCGCCGCCCTCGACGCCTCCTTCCTCCTCGCTAAACTCGATATCCCGCGCCGCATCCTCAGCCAGCCTCTGCACCTCCTTCAACCCACTGACCTCCTCGACGAAGCCCTTCTCATTGAGTGCCCTCTGGACGAACCCCCAGGGATCGGCCTCGTAGGCGTCCAGCACTTTGTCGGAACAGGCGCTGCAGTACGTGTACGCCGTGCCGGTGATGTTCATGTTGGAGAAGGTGGCCAGGAAGCCGCGGACCTGGTGGGGGACGAGGCCCAGCGGGTGGTCACCGCGAGAGTCGGGAGACAGCGAGGACGGCGCGGCGGCACCGCGTGGGTGCTGCACGATAGACACGAAGAGTTCGACGAGGAGCGCCGAGGCGATGGCCGCGATGCCCGGGCGCGTTACCGTGCATTGCTGGTCGAGCGTCAGGTCTTTCATCGAGTCCGCGGGAGCGACCACGTCGTTGCAGAAGTAGCACCCCAACTCCGCTTGTCCTTGGTTTTGCTTTTGGGCTTCCTCTCTCTGTGTTCCTGGGAGGGTGGGAGGGGCTTTAACGCCGTGTCTCATGACCACGTACGTGTCGAACCCCAACGCGGCGTTCATGACGATCTTGCCCTTTGCCTTGCCCATGACGGTCGGCAGCCATCTCGACTCTCTTGTGTCCATCAACAAGAAAATCGCGTCGTGCTCATCCACCAGTTTGGTTAGTGTGTCGTATTCGGCCTTTGTTTTCTCGAGGTCCGTGATCGGATGTCCTGCCATGGGCACGCTCAACACATACCCCGAAGACTGGACGCCCGGATACACCGTCTTCAGGGCCTCGGCTGCAGCGGTGGCCTTCTTCTTGCCTCCGTCGAGACAGTCCTGGAACGTAAACAACGGCTGTCTTACAGGGTTTGAGAAAGATACACTCCCGTTGTCCACGAACGTGATGTGCCTGACTCCCCATCCCATCAGGTTTCTCGAAACGTACGATCCCAGTGTGCCAGCGCCGAGTAGGAGACATTTCGTCTCCTTGATCTTCTCGAGGTTCAGGTTGGGCGAGATGCGCCATTTCATCAGTTTCAGGTTGAGATCGACGGACGAGTCGGCCAGTTTGGTCGGGTCCATGTATTCGGTGAGGTCGGCGACGCGGCCGGTGAGCTTGTTCAGGGGGTTGCGTTCCCAGCCTACAACTTTGGGCATGGTCTGTGAATAGTCCGGTGATTGTGCTGCGTCTCCTGCGTTTGCTGCGTTGTTGGTTTTGGACGGTTGTTTGGATACCTCCATGTTTAGGATGACGCTCCGCGCGGCATCTCGCCGCATTTGTGTCTCACGGTAACACAGGATTTGTACTTTGTCGAGTTTCCACCTTTGCCGGATCAAAACCAAAAGGTTTCGAAGCATCCATCCCGGAGCCACAGGACCGGGCTCGGTGTAGTTGGAAGGATCGACGAACGCGACGAAGCAGTCTTCCGGGTCAGCGCTGTCAAAGAAGCCTGTGTCGAAGCTTGACAGAGACGAAACCTGCCACGTGTAGCCGAGACTTGCTGTTGGGGTAAGAGGCGACTGCGGAGAAGTAGGCCCAAAGTCTTCGTCGGCGGGATTGTTGGAATTGAAGTCAAGAGGGTGCTCGCGTGCCTTTTTCACCAGGAAAAACCCATGCTGTCTCGAGTCCACGGCGTATTTCCAGGTCTGGACGCGGTCCACCAGGGTTGTGCTCTCGATCGAGTTCAGTTTCCTGTAAGGGATCCCGGTCTCTGGACTCTTGAGGCTTCCACTGCTGGCCACAGGCACCCAAGGCGGGTCCATGACCAGAGCGGGAAACGCAAACCAGTAGTTGAACTTGTACTTTTTGAGATCTGCGAAACTGAGCACCAGGAAGGAGGCCAGGAGACTCGGGCACGAGTAGACGGTGCCGTCGTTGATGGCGTCCCAGATGGTCTTGGCGGCCTGTTGAATCATGGCCAGCTTGTCGATGTTGCGGTACTCCTCGACCGTGTTGACGTTCTTGATCATGCCCTCCGCCCGGTAGAAGCCCGCGGGGACCTCATCACTCGTCAGTGCGTTGGCGTGGATTTGCATGCGGCAGGAATGCTCCTTGTTGTCGGCGGGACGGATCTCATAGAGGCCCAACAATTTCCGGGCCGAGTCATCGAGCTTGTCATGGTTGATCTTGTGCGATGCCAGGGAGGCGTAGAAGGGGATTTCAATGTCCGAGGCGAAAGGCACGTACTGCATTGTCCAAATCGATATGCGATTGCTCCTGGCGTAGGCGAGTATTGCTTTAGTCCTCCCTCGTGTGAGACTCGAACAGAATCTCTGTATTCCGGATTGATAAGTCGGTATCTGCGTGGGAGGATGAGGCTCTGTCTTCCCAGGCAGCAGTCGGACTATAAGAATGATGCAATATTGGAAACTCGGTCGAGGTCAGACTGAATGGATCATCTAGGCAGGCAAGGCAGGGCCATGTGGTAGTTGAGCGGAGTGGCTGGGGCGGGCCATGTGCTGCAACGAGCCAGATGCAGGAGGCAAGGGGCTAAAAACAGCGGCGGGCCGGACCAGATCTCCGGTTGTCTTTCTGCCTTGCTGCTTTATGGATTGTGAGTCCTCTTTGGGTTAGGCTATGACTTTGCCCGGCTAGTCCGTCATTTGACGCGTTCCGGGGGCATGACCACTTTACGCGTTCTCGATATAGAAGGACAACCTCGTGCAGCGGCATCAGCACAGACAAACGGCAGCAACGATCAGCCAGTTCAAGGAGTACAGAGACCCCCCTGATCATTCTTCCTCGAGTAAAAATAGCAGGCACCCGTTTAACTGCCCCCAACTGGTGAGCAAACGGCCGAGTTTGAGGGTGTCTCGCTGGGATATCAAACGGCACAGCCTTGCGCCAATCCTCCTCCATCCCCTTACACGATGCTGATCGGCATCTGCGGCTCCATCTGCGCGGGCAAACACACCACAGCCGAGTATCTTGTGCAACGGGAAGGCTTTCTTCGCCTGCATCTCCCAACACCACCACAGCATTTCCAATCGTCGGCGTCGCAAGGTCCCTCTCCCGACTACCGCCGCCTCCTGCCCACCATCACCGACCAAATCGGCACGCGTGGCCTCTCTTTTCCCGACGTCGAGTCTCTGTTGGATTTCGTCACCAAGCGATGGCGCGAGCACTGGGTTCTGACCGACATCTACGACGAAGCCACGCTGGAGATATTGCTCAGAAGGCCGTTCTTCATGTTGCTGAACGTGGATGCGCCCCTGGGGACGAGGTTTGAGCGGTTCACTCGGCGGTATGTGTTGCGTCTCTCTGGGTCTTTCTGTTTCTCAGCTTGTACGAAGTTTCGGGGAGCTCAGACGTTTTCCTTTTGTACCTGCTGGTGTTCTATATTCCTTCCCTGCTTCCCATGTGCTTGAGTTCCTTAGAGGCAGCGAATTTCTCCTCAATAGGGGGACTCAGCAACTGTCATCTCTCTTTTCCGCGTCTCCTACCTCCCCACTCCCCCCAGTCATCACGGTGCAGACAGTATAGCGAAGCTAGAACCCTGTCAAACTGACCGACGGTTCCATATGCCCTGCATATAGGTGTGTGAAACGCAAACTCTTACCAATGTCCCTCACGAACTTCGTTTTCTACAACGACCTCAAAATGTACGGATCTCGTACCCTGGCTTCGGACGCCTTCACCGACGCCAACGGGCACCACACCTCCGTGCGCTCATCATCGACGACCACCGACACAACCGACACCACCGACACCGCCGACGGTCAAACCGAGGAGGATCTTTCAATGTCACAAACCGCGCTCCTTCCACTGCTGTCCCACACCCACCTGTCCATCCTCAACTCCTTTCCAAGCATCTCTGCATAGTAAGTCTTCCTCCTCCTGCCGTTCCCCTATGTCGAATATAAAGACCAAACCTCCACGAATCAAAACATCCGACATCCTACCCTATCTATTGTCATCCCGCTACCTCCACGAGCATGCCCATCCTTCCCCTTCTAAAAATTTCAAGTCCCGTCCCCCCAATCCTAACCTTCTGATAAAAATACAGCCACACCTTCCTCGACACGCTCGACCTCCCTTCCCCCCTCCGCCTCCGACCCACATGGGACGCCTACTTCATGACCCTGGCCTCCCTGGCCTCGCACCGCTCCAACTGCATGAAACGCCGCGTGGGCTGCGTCCTGGTCCACAACTTCCGCATCATCTCCACGGGCTACAACGGCACACCCCGCGGACTCGTTAATTGCAACGAAGGGGGGTGTCCCAGGTGCAACGGGTCCGGTAACGCCGGTGGTGTCGCGCTGAGTACCTGTCTGTGTTTACACGCCGAGGAGAACGCGCTGCTCGAGGCCGGCCGGGAGCGTATAAGGGACGGCGCGGTCTTGTATTGTGATACGTGCCCGTGTCTGACTTGCTCGGTCAAGATCGCGCAGGTCGGGGTCAAGGAGGTCGTGTATAGTCAGAGCTACAATATGGACGACGCCAGTCGCGAGGTTTTACAGGATGCGGGAGTCGTTCTGAGGCAGTTTGTCCCCAAGACGAGCGGGCTTGTGGGCTTTGATCTTCCCGAAACGGATGACGGGTCGGTTGATCATGTCTACGAAGATGGAGGAAAACAAGGGCAGGAGATGATCGTCTCGAATGGCAGAAGGTTGTGAATGGGCAGTAGCCAGCAGCAACCAACAAAAGAGTGTGCACATATATCAAATTGGAGTCAACACTAAAGGGTATTAAAATTATCACAGTCCCTAAAAGGACCTGAAGAAGATTCGAAAACCAACGAAACTGAGTTGAAAATCCGCTCTTCAAAACTCACGGCATTTCTCCCTACTTTCCCGCGAAATCCCTGTTCTGTGACCCGTTCGAACCGAGCGCAGGGTTGAATGCTCCGGCCGAGGACGGCGTGGCAGCAGATGAGGTGGCACTCGTCGGCTGCGCAGTCTTGGGCGTTGTTGCGCTCGTTGGTCCGCTCGTCACCCCCTGTGTCTGATTCTCATCCAGCCTAGTGGTGATGGGAGTAATGTTGCGGGATTCTGCCGGGCTAGTGGGCAAGCTGTTGGACGAGTTGGCAAAACTAGCAATGATCGAGTGCCATTGCTGTGCATCCGAATTGGTGTGCGACTTGAACTGGAAGTCCGAAGTCATAGCCATCTTCTGTCCCAACTTGCTGCCTGAAGAGTCTTTGCCTTTGATGGTGAATTTCTGCCCGTCCACAGCTCCGATAATGCAGTCTGGGAGATACAACGAGTGCTCCGGGCTGGGGTCCTTCTGAAAGTTATCGTTGTCCTTGTACTCGTGCAGGTAGCCTGCAGGGGTAACAGCATAGTGTGCGCTGCTGTACCCTTTCAGAGCACCCATGCCACGAGATTTGCGCTCAAGGGTGCCTTCAATCAGCGGCCTGGTAGAACGATGGTTTTCGTTCGGAAAAGACACACTATCCATCGACCTTGGCGGCGCATTCGGGTTGACCAGGACGTGCTGATTGCGCTTGGTAAAGCCATTCCATTCAAAGTCCAACGGGATGTTGCTTGCAGTGGAGGCAATGTCGCCGAACATGGCTTTCTGCCGATCTGCCTGGCCGCCCATAAATTGGTTGTACGAGTTCAGTGCCGTCTGCACGGTTTGCAGAACGTGCGACTCAAACTTGGCAAACGAGTTCTGGACCGCAATCAAGTCTTGTCTGTTGCTGTTCTCTTCGAGCACCTGTTTGTTGAGACGGTGAAGGGTTCCTCTCTTGAGTACGTAGGGGTCATGCTGCGCAGACACTTTGCCCCCCGTCGAGTCGAAATGAGAAGCCTGTTGGCCCAGCAGGTCGATGTGCTTCTGTGACTGCGTGCGCGCCGACTCAACAGCCTTTGCACCTTTCCCAGCGCCGTTGGAGATTTCTTTGTTCTTGTTCTTGATCTCCGCGTGTAGACGCTCGAGGATAGGAAGCACTGATCCAGTCAGGTTTTTGGAGGTTTCGGTGTACAAATTGATTTGTCCTTGAGTGTTGGCCCGCAAGTTCTCGAACAGACCAGCAACGCCCCCTAACGCGGAGTCGAAATGATGAGCCTCCTTAAGAGGGCTCGACAATGTCTTTAGGATTTTCTCTTGCTCTTTGGCGCGGCCGGCCTGCTCCTTTGCAACTGCGGAGACGTAGTTCTCGAGATAGCCACACATGTGCTTCCACGCCTGCAACCGCTCGATCAACAGCCCGGCGGTGCTCGAAGGGTCTCCCGGGGTCACGGTATCATCATCGGAATCATTAGCAGTTCTGGCCCTGGTGGGCAGCGGAGGGGACGCCATAGCGAAGCAATAGTCGGGAGGAGGAGTATTGTACTACGACACTGCCATGACAGTTAGAATGATGGGGATGGTAAGATGAGTGCGCTTGATGGAATGCTAACGCAGAGAAGTAGATGCTTCAATTGCAGTACAGCTGAGGTTAAGGGGTAGGGCAGTTGTGCGTCTGCGACTGCGCTGAGCTCTGCGTCCAAAACCGAGCTCGGGTTGAGAGCCGAGAGCTGAGGCGTGGCTTCCGAGTTCAGCTGCCACAGCGAGGGTTGGAGGAGCAGTACTGAAAGGGCAGTTCGACGGAACAGATTCTGAGACAATGGCTGAAGGGTTCAGTTCAGGTGGCAGAATGAAGCTGGTGCCAGGGCATCCATCGCCTTGTTCTTTGGCGCCATCATTCAGCCTTTTGGCGCCGGTGACGCCAAACCGCCAACGCGACGTCATTTGATCGACGCCTGCACATTCACCCAACAGTGCAAGTGTAAATCATGCAGGCAGGCAGCGTGCTTGGTCGCACAATATTTCTCTATACACAGGTCATGATGTGCTCCATGTACCTGGAGTGCTTTTCATATATACAGTTTCAATCCTTCTGAGACGCAAAATATACAATATATAAGCAAAGAAGCCGGCCAATCGTCAACAGAAATGCATCGTCAGCAGTCCAGCCCTGCGCTCCGCAAATACACCGACCAAACGCTTGCTTACCCAAAATCCCCGTGCATCAATACAACATGGTGCTACATTCTTCACCATTCATCAATCCTAATCCTTGGATATATCCAGTTCACTGTCGGAGCCTGGTATCAGCGGCCCCGGGGAGACCCCCTCGGCATTGTAGGCGGTTTGGCCCAAAATCTTGCCCGTCTCGTCAACGTCCCAAATCCCATAGTTCTGCAGCGTGTTGATAAAGTATGCAAACTCGAGATCATCCTCGGACCTCCAGAACTGACACCTGTCCGTCTTCACATTGTACTCGTGCCAGCCCGGCTTGACGATGCGCCGGTTTCCATGATCGTCCTTCTGCGCTACCCAAGCCGCGATGTATGTATCGTCTGAAAACCCCTTCTCCGTGGGGATGTATCGCGACGGATATCTCTGATATTTGGGATCGTCCTCCCGGACCCATTCGCCGCAGCATCTGTCGATCGAAGGGGCTTTGCTCCAACAATTTGGTTCCGTCTGGATCAAGCCACTCAAGAATTTCGGAGGCCTGTCGCAGAACAGACGCCACTTGGCTAGCGCCGCGAGCGCGTCTCGCGGACAGCTGTGCGTCGGCATCGGCATGTTGACGTCGTAGATCTTGACCACACTGTCACACCCTTTCGCCCGGCATCCGATCGTCAACTTGGAGTATTCTGGAGACGTCCTCGACGGCGTCTCAATGGGGTCATTATTATATGTTGGAGTGGAAGAAGGCTCATCCTCAGGAAGGGCGTCCAATACATCGTCTGGAAGGGAGTCAAGTACATCGTCAGGTAAGGCGCCGAGGACATCGTCAGGTAGCGTGCCGTTAGAGAGGGCATCAAGTACGTCGTCTGGAATGGCGTCGTACATATCGCCTGAAATGCCGCCGTACGCATCGGCCGGCACGTTGTACGCGTCACCGGGGACAGCGCCTGCCCCTTCAGGGACATCACCGACACCACCAATGGGGATGCCTGTTACAAGGCCAGCCACTTCATCAAAAATGTTGGCGATGTTCCTGGCCTGCTCATCGTCGTCAGGCTTCAACAGGTCGATGGATGGCCCTGCAGCGAGATCTCTCGCCCTCACAAGGTTGGTGACATTGACAGGCTGGGCCACAGCAGTCATCGTAGCCATGACAATGAGACTCACGACAAGGATCTGTTGGATAGCCATGGTGTATGATATGTGACTGTTCAACAAAGGAGGTAAACTGGAACGGGCCTTTGTACGCAGCTCTAGGTACAAATTCCTGATGGTCACCACCTCTGGGACGACTGCACAAATCTTTATATCAGTTCTGCTCAAGGAGGTCCTCAGACATAAGATGCCACTGTGACTGGGACCCTCCCTAGGGAATAAGCCTGGTTGGCCAATAGGAAAGCCATAATTCAAGTCTGGAACGTGGTAGTGTGGACGATATACTCGGCTTGGATGTGGAACAGGCATTTCAGTCTCCACTCAGTGGTGAATATAGTTTTCGCTGCAGAAGCTTGACGGATGCTGTCCTTGTCCGGTGCAATCAGAGCCAGAGCTCGCCCCAATACAGAACGTAGTTGCACAATAATTACAAAGTGTGCCAGTTATACATACATAGTTGGACGTCCAGATCTGCAGCTCTTGTTGAGCCACAGGGATCGTGACTGTTGGTGCCAGTGGCTTCACCCCCGGATCCAAGCGGCGGGCTCCTCAACGAACCACTTCTTCTTCGGCCTCAGGCAAGCTCTGCTCGTCACCCAGTTTAGGATCGCGAAGACAGAACGCAAAGACGATTAGAAGGGCGCAGAGACAAATTCCCGTGATACAGAGCAACCTCTGTGCATGTTGATATGCGGCGATGATGGCTGTTCGCACTGGCGTGCCCACGGGGTATTCGTATGCAACCGTGAATGGGTCGGCATAGGTCGCCGCGGCCAAGGTCGAATTTCCAAGTGGCGCCAAATTGCGCTCGAGTGTTGATGGAAGCACGTTGGTCCAGATGGTACCGGAGATGGCACCGCCAAAGGCAGACCCGATATTATAGGTTGCCAGATACAGACCCGTGATGACGGCAACGTGCTCGTGTTTGGTCGCAGCCTGTATCGACGCCTGGGCCGGGTAGGGAAACATGCCTCCGGCAAACCCCAGGAGGACCTGCGCACCGATGACGCCCGACTGGCCAGCTGAATTTGGAGAACCACGGTAGTGAATGAGAAGTCCAAATGCAACCATGAAAAGACAAGTTCCCGCCACTATGAACCATTTCAGGCGTCTGACATTGTAGACCACCATGCCCAGAAGGAAGCCAGCGACGACAGAGGTAAAACTGTACAAGGAAGTAATTCGGGTGGCTCCCATGATACTGAAATCAAAAGCGATGATCAGTACTGTGTAGAGATAGTCGCCTTGCATGTACCAAGCAAAATTCAGGGTGCACGCAATACCTAACGCCCCCCAGACGCCGCGATCCTTCAGGAGATCAAAGGGCACGAGTGGTCGAGGGGCTCTTAGCTCCCAAAAGACGAAAACCGGGATACAGAGAATTCCAATGACAAGAGGCGCAATGACATGTGCGGTACCCCATGATGATGTTGATCCTCCAGCAATTGTCAAGGGAACAAGGATGAGAGCGAAGACCGCGATCAACAAGATGATACCGGGAATGTCAAGGGCCCAGAAGAGCTCCTGTGTCAGTCCTCTTGCGCCCATCATCTGGTACGGTGTCTTGTATTTCTCCAAGACACCAGCTTTGCGGGCACGCCGGCCGACGAAGTAGAGAGATATCATGAGCGGAAGCGCACAGACCGGGTAGATTATGCACCACATCCCAATGCCCCATTTCCAGGTTGTCGCACCCAGGACGGCTGAAGTGATATTGCCACTAATCCAGGTGTTCACCAAGAATGGTAGTGCAGGAATGTAGCTGAAGAAGAGTCGAGCTCGCAGGGAGGTGATGTCGGCAATGATCACTTCCACCAACAAGAGAACGCAAGTATAGCCGATCTGATAGAGGACTGAGCCTCCAGCGAAGGTGTCGATATTGGTCGCAGAGGCTTCAATGATGGTTCCGACAACATAGAAGACCACGCTGACGAAGACCAGTTCCAGACGGCCGAAGACGTCGGCGATTTTGGCAGCCGTCGGCTGGGCGGCGGCGGCGATGACAGCGCGCAGCGTGTTGATTGTGGCCAGCAGAGAATGGTGGCCCATGGATGCAGTCGCTGTGGTCTGGTATGTATATCGAACCGTGCCATCTAGTCCATAGGCATACGCAATGAGAAACACGCCAATGAAGAGGAAGAAACGATCTTTCCTTGTGAGAACTTCGTTGATGGCCTCAATCCTCACGACACCTGGCGACTTCTCCGCATCGACAATAGAGCTGCGTCGACGGGACGGTTCCTCGACAGTACGAGGAGCATTATCTTCTGCAACTTTGGGCGCTGATGGCATGTCTGCGGTCTTGGGATAAGAATCGTCCGAGAACGGCATGGTGAATGAGAAGTTGCGATCCCGCTCAGGACTCTAGTAATGTGTCGATGGTCAAGGATGTCATTCAACGCAAAAGATAACTGACAGAGAAGCAGAACTGCTTATGTAGTAGTCAAGCACGATGAGGAGTCTCACTCGGCGAAGTCGGCTTGATTGACTTTGAAGTTGGTCTGTTCAAGGGTTTACAACGCCCTTGGCAAATAGTCGAGGACATGTTAGATCTCCATCCGGACGGCACAAATGTCACGAAGGACATTCTCGTACAAATTTGCCTTGATGGGTGAGGCAACGGTGGGGGGAGAGACGTCGTAGTGAACAAGCCATTGGACAACTGATGATAATCTAATCAGATCATCAGATAAAAATTTTCACAGCGGGGCGGGAAAAGCGGCATTTAGGACGAAGCAGAAGCTGTACTCCGTAGTGTAGCGACGCCAAGGACATGGCTAAGAAAATGATTTCAGGTGCAGCGGTGCCGTTAGTGAGGAAGGGAACACTTCTTGTCAGACCCATGGGTGGTGAGCATCGAAGGGGGAGCAAGCGACCTCTACCATGCGCAAAGCCAGGGATCTAATCGGTGATCAAATGATCTAATCAGACATCGGCTCCTCTTGCCCTAACAAAGAGTTTGACGGCGTTGGCGGCGTTCCGCTCTTCGCCAAATCAGTTTTCGCGGAACTTGTAGTGGTGGCCAGCAAGGTGGCAGTTTGCAGGACGCCGTAACCAGGGCCTGGTCTGCTAGGTACAAACTGCAGAGTTGGACCGCTTGACGGAGAAAATACTAGATCGAGCACAGGGATTGCGCAAAGCGTTGCATTTCTGCGGACACCCCGTCTTGTGAGAATGGTCCGAAGTCGGACATTGTCCCACTTGGGCTGGGCAAACTACATGGCCTGCCCCAGCAGCTGAGCACCTCTGATCGCCGTTGCAATGTGCCAGGGGAGGCATTCGCTGTTTGGATCTACGCAGCCTCGAGTAGCGCCGAGAGTCACAAGGCCACGGTACTGCTTGATCAAATCTTCGAGCAACTCATCTGGCGACGTCTCGCTCGATGTGTTCGATATGTGGATCGTCGACGTGACTAGGCTGAACTCAATCAGGTTGTGTCCGTCCTCCCACTTGGTTCCTCTCCGTTTCATGAGGTATCCCGTGACTTGTGAAGGTCGAAGGTCGATGAGGCTTCTCGTCTGATTAATCCCGAACGGTAAGATGACGCCCCAACTTTCCTCAGAAGGATCCAGCAATATGAGATCACTCTCATTGTTTGGATCAAACCCGGGGTCGGATGGTGTGGGAGCATTCATAAAGGAGCTGCCACCCGGCGTTGGAGTCGCTGGCACTGTTTGTTCCGGGGACGTCATACTACCCTGCGGTGTCGAGGCGGGTGTCCCATATAGGTTCTGCGCTCCCGTCTGGGCGCTTTTCCCCTGGTTCGCCGGTAGGAAGATCTCTAACTCTGGGTCGAGTTGGACGGAGAGAAGCACTAGCAAGCATCGTTTTTGTGACGTAGGGGAATTCTCGAAAAGTTGATGCCAGTCGAGCAGCTCTGGTTGATCATAGTATTGGTGCTTTACAACCGCCAGCCGCCACGGCCCACGAACTTTGCTCATGAGGTCTTGCGAAACGTCCCACATCTCTCGAAATATGTCATGCCTGGGCCTGCTCTTCCCTGACGGCCGAATGCGAAGACAGTAAGACATGCTAAGTGCGACCCGTCCTAACTCGTCCGTCCACGCCGCAGTAAGCCACCTGTTGTCTTGGCTGACAGAGTATGCGAGATGTAGGCATGGTCCATTCTTCTCAAGAGGCGAGCCATACGTTGGCGTCAGTTGCAGATGCACCGAATTTTCCGATTTCGATAGCACCACGGCCGAGCTGCAAGCAGCTGGAGGCGCTGGAAATTCTGACGGCGGGAGCCGATTGTAGACCTCAATGGCCAGCTGGATGTAGGCTGTTTGGGGAGGGATCACCAGGGCTTCCGCACTAGCGACAAAGTTCTGCGGAATAACTTGTAAAGCAATATCAGACACGCCCTGGTTGTCCGTTCGCGCCTCTGTAAATGATTCGAATAGGTACAAGAAGGCAATGCAGCTTTCCAAGTATGAAATCGCACTTTGATTTCTGGCAATCATACAGACAAGGACGGTGCCCTTCACGTCTGAGGATGTCGCAAGAGCTGTACCGACAAAATTGCATGTCTGGAGGAGGCTGTGTTGACCCAAATCATTCGGGCCCCATGATATCGATCCAGTATCCGTGATACCAGGAAGTCGGCCAATCGAATGATTCCCCAGCGAACAAGAGGTGTAAGTTTCTGCAAGTCGCTGCAGCAGACTAAGACATCCCTCTGTTACATTTTCTTGACTTGGATGGATGCAAAAAGACGTTACATCCTTCGGGCCATTTTCAGGTTGAAGGTTCAACGAATCCCAGAAATTCAAGATAGACATAGAGGCGGTAAGTGGCCGTTCCATTCGTCGAATGCGAATCTGATCCGGTTGGATTCTCATCACCTTGCCGTGAACCCTGCCATTGCTTTGTTCGGCTTTGAGGTTGGTGAGTTGAAATACACTCGAAGGTGCTGCAGAAGTGTTGATCCCGCTCAAGTCAACGATTACATCCATTTGATCACGAGGCGGAAGCTGTGTCACCCTCTGATACTCCCCATGAGGTAGCAAGGTTGTCTGGGACACCTGTTCCACCAACACGTGAGCGATTTGCAGGAGCTTCTGTGGAGATACTGGAGGAATCCTGCGATGATCTGAATTATCCAACCAGAAATCAGATAGCGTGGGGGGTTCTATCAAGCCGGGCCTCAAAAACCCTAGTAACTGTTGTACATTCTGATAGATTGTGTTCTTGTCGATCTCACTCTGACGATTGGTAGCGCTTGGCGATGGAGGATGATATTCTGTCCACTGTCTGAACGGCACATGGGCTGCACTTTGCGTAGACGCAGGATCTGCCGAATTGCTGGAACTGGTCATCAAGCTGTCACTGTCTGATGAGCTTGACGCTGGTCTCTGAAGGAGCGGATTTGGCTTCGAGAAACCCTTGATATTAGAAAAAGTCGGCGTTGGGTCGAACCAATAATCCCCGCCTGCGCCGTATCTGCTGTCATGTCTTGACACAGACGGAAGTGAGTGTAGACCATCATACAGACTTGAACGACGTTCACGCTCAGCACCAATTGTGGGTTCTTTGGCAGACTCTGGTCGCCACAGAGGAGGACCCCGTTTGGGTGGAAGTTGAGATGCCCGCTTGCTTTTCGCCTCCGTAACCGTGGTTGGTTGCTCCGTCCGGCCTTGGGATTGCTGCAAGTTACTGTTTGCAGACACCTTTGGCGCTGTATCAGAGCCCGTAACTTCACCCTTCACCATAGCTGGATCCCGAGAAGCGGCACCTTGATCGGCGCTTTCATCGTTGACTCCCATCATCCCCGGCTCGATCTCGCTGCGCACCGCTGTCTCTTCGATCCGCCCGTGGCTCGTGGCGCGTGCAGAGTTAGGGTCTATCCCAGGACCGTCGAAGAAATCCCAATTAGGCTCGTCTCCATTAGCTTCCGCGCCGAGGTTGTCATCCGGATTCTCCTCGAATAGGTCTTCGTCATAAAATGTCTGCAACCCACTTGCTGTTGGTTCATCCTCGAAATCTGGCATGTCTTCATCCTGCGGTTGGGGCCTTTCAGCAGTACCTCGAGGGATATTTGCGGGAGTCATGGCCATCCCGTCGGCGGATGAGAAGCCCGGTGTAAGATGTGTCATTCCAACCTCAGACGGAGTCGGGTATATTGTCTGGCCAGGACCAAAGCTTGGAGGCCCAAAAGGATGGAAATGGACTGGATCATCAAATGTACCTTCATCAGTAAATAATGGTTCATCATCCTCATCCATCACATTTTGCCGCTCAGCTTCAAGCTTTGACGTGCCGCTGCCCGTGCCAAGAATCCAGTCCCGCACGAATTGCATTGGATCCTGGTTCCCTTCGGTCTTGTTCACTGCGACAGGCTCTTCGCTGCTGAAGACAAAGCACAGGCGTGCTGGCCAAAAGATCGTTCTCCAAGTAACTGAGTCGTATCTAACCATATCAGGACTTGAATTATCTGGTTGACTGTCGTTTGACACGTCATCAATCTCCTCTACGGGGATTTCAATCTCAATCCAGTCACCTTCTATTGCTTCGATAGTCGTGCTCATGTGCTCCTGAAGCCAAGACGGTAGCAGTTCTTCACAAACTTCTCTTTGTGCATTGGACAGTTGGGTTTCGCCACTGGGTTGGTTGCCAGTGATGCCGTTAAGCTTTGTGCTGGCCAGGATTTTTGATCGCGTTGATCGTGCGATGCGCCCGATAGGTGCGAGGTATATGGCAGCTGTTTCAGACTTTATGTGATCATTCCAGTTTGGCTTCATAGCACATTCTCGGATACGGAAGAAGGTGAACGCGCCATCCTTCGCGATTGTGAGTATGATCTGGCCACTTGGAACTACCTGTAGATCGATGTGGTAGAGAGTCCACTTCTTAGCCCTGTCAAGATGATGAACGTCGGCGGCAGATGGAGCCTGCTCAACGAGATATAGATTGGGGCCAAGTGGCTGGAGCTCGGCCTCCCCAACGGGCACAAACTTGATACTGGATACAATCGCAGTAATAAATAGCCTGTAGAGCCGGGACTGTTCCGGTTTCAGCAAGTCGGGAAGACGGGCGGCGGTCTTGTAGGCGATTGTACAAGTGTTAGTCCGCAGCACGTAACCAAACTTCAACAGCAAAGTTTTTTGGTCTTTCGGAGCAGTAATGTCCACCTTCTTGTAGAAAGTGAAAAGTTGACGAGCTTCGACATCTAGTGCAGCAAGAATGGAAGCTTCTCTGAATTGACGCTCAGTTTTCCGGAGTCGAGCAAGAGTGTTCTCTGCGGTGGTGATAAACGCTGACGGATCCTGCGTAGGCGGAGTTGCTACTGTACATACGATATAAGCTATCTCGCCAAAATCGGTCTTGATAGCCATTAGCTTGAGTGGGTACAAAATCCATTGGAATTCAACGACTCACAAGGGTGTAGGCGTTGGTGGAACAATTACTCGGGAACTCCACTGGGGTGTTCATATCGTCAACCGTTAGGTGGAATGAGGACTGCTCGTCGGAAACAGCAAGACAATATAAGCTGGTCGAGTTTTAAGTGCATTGCACGAGTGTCTGCGAGTGTACGAAATGGTCGGTCGTTCAAAGGGCCCTGTAAGGCTCTGAGAGCAATGATGCTGCGGTGTGTGCCGGCTGACTTGGTAAGGTGACCGCAACATAAGCCACTCTGATTCGAGCTTTTGAGCGCAATATTTTTGATTGGAATTGAAATCTCGTGGCCGTGTTGGAAATAGAAGATATACGGAGAGTGGAAGAGGCCAGCTCTGGTATGTTACGATGGAGAGGTTTGTCGTTGCAACATCAACACCGGAAGACCTCGACCGCCGCGCACGTGACTGGCCTGAAATCTTGGCGTGGATTTTCGCATGCCAGTGACAGTCGGCCAGGGAAAAAAAAAGTTGTCAGTGCCACCAGGTATGGAGTGGCTCCCAAGTTTACCATTCAGCAGCAGACGACTAACGAGAAGCAGGTCGACACCCTTGCCTCCCTCATGTCTCTATACTGACATGCTTAATTTCGCTTCTCCTACGAGCCCAGGATGCGACTAACCAACAGTGCGGTTCCGGTCTATACCGTGTCTGGTTCGTCGACCTCTCGCAGTCTCCCGGACTGGCTTTCGCAGCAACAGAGAAAAAAGAAAGACCCCGAATATGCCAACCGCGTCGAGTTACTCCAAGATTTCGAGTTTGAGGAAGCCAGTCAATGCGTGCGAGTTAGCGAAGATGGCGAATGGGTGATGAGCACTGGGACATACAAGCCTCAGATCCATACACACTACCTGCCCAACCTCGCCCTTTCATGGGCAAGACACACCAATACCCTGAACAAGACATTCCTCTTTCTTTCATCCGACTATTCCAAGTCTGTCCATCTCCAAGAGGACCGCTCCTTAGAATTCCATACACCAGGTGGATGTCATGACTCGCTACGAATACCCCGGTATGGTCGTGACCTGGCTTATGACAGGAACAGTACCGAGTTGCTGGTACCAGCTGTCGGCGTCAATGCGAATGGCATGGGAGAGGTGTTCAGGATCAACTTGGAGCTGGGAAGATTCATGAATGAATTGGAGGTAGATGTCGGAGGTGACGACTTGAGCTCCATGGGCGGTGGCGCACTGCAAGGGGGTATTGGAGCCGGCAGTGTCAATGTTGCCGCTGTGGCAGAAGGTAGTCACAACCTGTTGGCATTCGGCACATCTCTGGGCACGGTCGAATATTGGGATACCAGATCAAGAGCCCGAGTGGCTACCCTTGGTGTGCCTGCCGACTTTGAAGGACGACCGGAGGTGACGGCACTTGACTTCCATCGATCTGGAATCAACATGGCTGTTGGCACTTCCTCCGGCCTCATCTATCTTTACGACTTGCGATCCTCGCTCCCAACTTTGAAGAAGGACCAAGGATATGGTTACCCCATTCAGTATGTGCAGTTCTTGACGCAGGGTGTCAAGACACGGGACTCCATTGGAGATCCCAAGATCGCCTCAGCAGACCGACGGATATTGAAGCTCTGGGATGAGCGGGACGGAACACCGTGGACTTCGGTAGAGCCAGCGGTGGACATTAACTGCGTTGCTTGGTGCAAAGATAGCGGGATGTTCCTGACGGCCAATGAAGGTCGACAACAACATGCCTTCTTCATTCCTCAACTTGGGCCGGCTCCAAAGTGGTGTTCGTTCCTTGACAATGTCGTCGAGGAGATGGCAGAGGATCCAAACGATCCTTACGCCTTCTCGAAATCAAAGATAGGGGAGGTGTATGACAATTACAAGTTCCTCACGCCATCTCAACTGCGCATGCTCAACTTGGACCACCTCGTAGGGAAGACGAATCTTCTCCGGCCTTATATGCATGGTTTCTTCGTGGCTCAGGGATTGTACGAAGAGGCTAGGCTGATTGCCAATCCAACCAGCTGGGAAGAAGAGCGGGCGAAGCGGGTTCAGGCCAAGATTGACAAAGAACGCGAAAGCAGAATCCGTGGCAAGAAGAAGATCAGTGTCAAGGTCAACCGGAAGATGGTGGAGAGGATTCTTGATCGCGAAGAAAAGAATGAAAGACGTCGGGCTCAGAGGGTCCTGGCACAAGGAGGCGATGAGACTGCTGCTGCAGAGGCCGCCAAGATCCTTTCTGCTCAGGACGAAGAAAAGGGTCTTCTTGCGGATTCACGTTTTGCCAAACTCTTCCAAGATGAAGATTTTGCTGTGGATGAGACATCCCGAGAGTTCCAGCAACTCAACGCCAGCACCAAGGTGCCTGCGTCGAATCACGACCAAGAAAAGGGGCTGACCGCTGTCGAAGAGGAAGCAATAGATGAAGTTCCTGGGTCGAGTGACGAGGATCAGCCAGATGAAGATGCTGGTCCCTCCAGATACAGAACGACAGACCGAATATCCACTGCTGATTACAAACGCCGCTCAAGTAAGAAACAGAAAAAGAAAGGCGATCAAATTCAAATGCGCGTCACGTCTTCGAGATCGAATAATGCCGTCAGAACGCCACACGACCGCTCATTTGGCTCTCGGGCAGAAAGCTTTCAGCCAGTGGAACGGGCAAAAGGAAAAGTTGGTTTTGGCGACGCCGTCGGTGACAAGGTCATCTCATTCGATCCGACAAAGAAATCCAAACGTGCAGACAATACTTATGGCGGCACTACCAAGACATCAAGAGGTCAAGATCGAAGAAGCGCATCAGGTAATACGTTTAGGAGAATGTGATCTCTCTGGACATCCTAAGAGTACAAATGGCAGCTGGCTACCGCCCGGCAGGTTTAGCGATCAAGCCCAGGTTTTCATGGCTTCGATTATTTTGCCCGACTGTGTCACAGCGCCGAAGACACCCCCTTCCATTTGGACAGAATCCAGTGCAAATCGATGCAACCTGGGTGTGGCTGCGGCCGTGGCGTCTTCTAGCACGAGGCAGTCAAAGCCGCGGTCATTCGCCTCGCGCATGGTACTGGACACGCAGACGTCCGTTGTGACACCTGTCAGTATCAAGTTTCTGATACCACGAAGCCGCAAGATATGCTCAAAATCCGTATGAGAAAATGCTCCCCTCCCAGGTTTGTCGATAATGATCTCTTCGGGTAACGGCTTTAACTCGGGGATTACATCGTGGCCTATCTCTCCACGAACCAGGAATCTTCCCATTGGGCCTCTGTCACCGATGCCCAAATGTCGAGGGTTATTGCGGGATCGAAAATGTTCCCGACTCGATAAGGTGGAGAGGTCTGGCCTATGACCTACACGAGTCTCAGCAAAGCAGAAGCATGTCTGCACGACCTCCAATTCGAACCTTCCCGAGTGAAAAAGACTGGGAACGAGCCTTCTCGCGCGCTAGAGAGAAGGGCTTGAATGGCCGGGATGATGGCACGGGCATCTGCCACATCGTAGCCTTGACAGTCGAAATAGCCGCCCACTTCGCAAACTGCAGCGGAGAATGGTCAGCGCGGCACTTCAAGCAGCCTGCCGAGCAGTCGTCCTACAGTCTCGTTGCATGTCAATGATGACCAGGGCGGTTGTTTCGGGAGACAGGGAAGCATCATGCGGGTATGGGTAAGGATCTGCGGGGACCTGGTCCCTGTGAGACACGTCCTGAACCATTGGATGTGAGGGCAGTCAGGAGAAGGAGATGAAAGGAACAGAATGTCTAAGGCTGTGATCAAGCACAAAGAGAAAAACTATCTAGAGACTTTGACCGTGGGAGAAGTCCACAGCCAATGCCAAGGCTCCGCTGATAAACACGTGTTGGCCAGCCTCGCCGTGACAATATCAGAAGGCTCTACGGAGTACTCCGCGCTACTCAGGCAGCAGAAGATAAGCCTAAAGGTGAGTAGAGATGACTCCTCACGTGGAGACAATGGGACGATAGGACAATTGGGTTTTGGTGTGTGCATAGAACACGTACATAGAACTAAGCAGAAGCCGAGATCAATCGGAGAATTACGTGCACGAGATGGCAGATAATAGGCTTTCCTTGGCAGCCGGCTGTTGCCAGTGCAGGGGCCCGTCAGCGCAGTCAGCGTCCGTTATGGTTCCCCCCTGGGTACCCAGCGAGCTAGGTGGCCCCCAACCCCCCGGGCTAGTTAGTAGTTGGGCTAGTGACGCCTAGTGCCTGGTGACCCGTTGTTTGTCGTTTGACGTGCCTGCAGGTCCGTTTATTTGCTGCCCCTTCTAGACTTCTTCCAACTTTGATACAACAAAAGGCCGCTTCCTCTGCCTGCTCGCTGGGACCGTCACCCCAGCGCAGGCTCTCCCTGCGAATACTAACCATAGCAGCAGCATCAACCGCGTCGCCTCCTCCTCATCCGCGACCACCAAACATCTCGACAACAATCCGAGCGACCCCAACCTCACCGCCTCCGAACCCGCGTCGCATCAATCAGAAACCAGCAGCAGGCCACCACCACATCTTAGACGACTCATCACGACAGCCGGATCGCCCAGCCTCCAGTCGCGACTCCGTGAACAAGAGCGACCACAATCAGCGACCACAATCAGCGACCACAATCAGCGACCACAATCAG